CTCGTAGTTGCTACTATATGTGACCCAGTTTTTCCATATTTTACCCCCTGGTGACCACAAATATTTAAATTATATTCTTTAGTTTTTTTAAACAGGCAGTAAAAAAACAACCAACTGATTAGGCTCATATTTATCTTTCAGAATCAGAATCAAAAGTCATTTATTCGGTCTAGGCTGTTACAAACACTTGTGAAGGTGAAGAAGCTACGCCGTCGGTTCGCAAAACTACGGCGGGAGATCTTGTACTGAGAAAAACCGGCAAGAAACTCAGCAAGGGCTGTTTCTTTCTACCTGTATTGTTATATACAGAGTCCACAAGTTGAAAAATGACTTTAGAGATACTTCTGACGTCACCTTCCATTACATCATTTAGAATATATAAATCTATATAGTTACAATAAATTTTATAGTTAACATTATATTTCGTATATAGGAAGCTGCATTAGATAGGTACAATATTACTGTTATGAAAAATGACTAAAACTCATCAAATAACAAATTAATAGAAACACTCTGTCCATGCATTACGATTATTTAGATAATCATCTTTATAATAAATAGCCTTTATTAGTATTGTGCTCGTCACATGACGAAAAGAGTGCGTGAACAGGTAAATATCACAACTAAGAAATATCTCTTCAAGATGAAAACTTCCCTATAGAATATTGACCTAACCTGAACGGGGCTCGTACGTAAGATGGGTACAGTGCATGGCAAGCATTAATAGGCTAATGGTGATGGAAAAAAAAGTGCTTACTAACGTGTAATGGTCTTCACATTACACTCCGTACTCGGCTTCTGCATTGCTATGTCTGGCCAATACTTCTATACGGATGCGTGTTTTGGACTATTAAAATAGAGCTCAGAAAAAGTATAGAAGCATTCGAAATGTGGGCTTACAGACGAATGTTGAAAGTTAATTGGACTCAAATGGTAACAAATGATGAAATCCTGCGACGTGTCGGCAAGAAACGGGAACTTTGGGATACCATCAGAGTGAGGAAGGTTGCGTATCTAGAGCACGTGATGAGACACGAAAGGTACGCCCTTTTACAATTAATAATGATGGGCAAAGTTGCTGGAAAACGAGGCGTCGGTCGAAGGAAGAAGTCTTGGTTGAGGAACCTACGAGAATGGACTGGAATCTCGAGTGCCGCTGAATTATTCCATCTCGCTAAGGATAAGGAGCTGACTGCCAACCTTCGCTGTTCGGAGAGGCACTAGAAGAAGAAGGTGATGACAAATAATTTATATTTTTTCGTGTATACAGAATCTCACAAGTGTAATTTGTAATAAACTTTGCAGTATTAAAACGCCTAAATCGTTAATCGATGCCAGTAATCTAATCAAACTGCTATTATTTTATCTTCATCAATATATGATATGAACGTACTTATTTCATACTATACTTATCGTCATCAGAAATATTTATATAACTTACCAACCTTAATAAATATTAATGTAATTATAACATGACACATTTTTACACCTAATTATTTAGGTTTTATCTTTCATTTCAGTACCTAGATAGGGTTATGAGTGTCTTAGTAAGTTCTGAAAACTCAAAGCATAAGTTTATAACAAGTTATTGGATGATCGGCCATTGTATGCTGACGAGCACCCATAGCACGAACCAATATCGAATTCGATTAGTTGGATTCGATCTCAATACTTACCGCCTCAAATCTCTACTAGTTTTGTATGGGAATTTGAACAGCGCCACAACGGATGTAACGAGAATTAAAAATCTTCCAAACCTCTTGATAGCTGACGCGTAACGAAATCTAATTCAACTTTTCGAATTCGATATTACTTTGTGCTCAGGATACTGCTAAAGCTTCTAAAGTGGCTTAGAAATAAATTGTTTCACTATACTTATTTCGACGATACGATTCGGGTATTCCCCTAGCTGCCATTTACGATGTCACGCAATTATTCGTCCAAGCGTCGATATTAGGCGGGGTTATTTAGTCTCGGGGATAGATTGCATTATATATTTATAATTTTAGGCTACTTACACGGCCAAAATTTTCCACCCAGTAATATGATTGTGTGTTCTAAAGTTTTTTTTTTTTTATGAGCCGAAGGTTCTTGGGTCGTATTGGTCCGGAAACACTGCTGGCGACAACATATTCCACAGTTTTGTCGTACGTGGTAAAAAAATTCGACAAAAACGCACGGTTGTGGATAGCCACGCATCAAGATGATGGGGATGAAATTTTTGTCGCGATGTACGATGGCGAAATGCAACAGCTGGAATTAATCCGAACAATTCCTCAGAACACTCCCCGTGATAAATGCGATAGAAGATGCAGAGCGAAGCTACATCCCTACGCAAAGCCAAGCGATCAAGCTGATCGGAAAGGTCCTGGCCGTCGACGATTCGAGCCGCTCGGCGCTGGATGCGATCCAAAGGGAGAAGCTGGTACTGGGGTGCCCCCGCCCAAAGATGAGAGCAGTACTCCATGTGAGGCCGAACCTGTGCCTTATAAAGCTGCAGTCGGTGGGCCGGTGTGAAGTACATTCTCGATCTATTGAGCACACCAAGCTTCTTAGAGGCCAATTTGGCCTTGCCCTCTAAATGATCCCGAAACTGGACGTCGCTCGATATGTCAACGCCAAGAATTCTAATACTAGCTGAGGCAGTTAGAGGAGTGTTCTCAAAAAGAGGAGATACGACAAATGGTATTTTTTTGCGGTGAACGCGCATACTTGTGTCTTCGAAGGGTAAATTGGACTAGATTAAGTCGGCCCCAATTCGTTACTCGCTTTAACAAAGTTTCGACTTCAGACACAAGTTTTTAAGTTGTTTTTTCAAGTTTATACGCCGGTTTTAATAGTGTCGCCGACTAGAGAGGTCCTTCCTGGGTTCGAATCTCGGTAGGGGCAGATCTTTGTGTGATGAATACGAGCATTTGTACTCCAGTCATGGATGTTTAATATGTATTTCTATATGAATATACTTATATATGTATCAGTATATGTATTCTATCCGTTACCCTAGTATCCATAACACAAGCCTTACAGTGCTTACTTTGGGGCTAGGCTAATTGGTGTGAGTGTTGGAAATATTATTATTATTATTATTCAAGATCATCCTATTTCATTTGTAATGGATTTTGGATTATCTATGTAAATGATAAATTTTGAGAGGTCATTAATAAATAATATAAATATTTTGGAACTAGTGCACAAAAACTGGCCAAGTGCATGTCGTGCCACGCGCAGTGTGGGGTTCTGTAGTTGCTCGGCGTCACCACAATATATTTCGGAAAGAGTCTTTATTTTAAGCAATTATTTCATCTGTCTTTTTTTATGTTTTCTTCTAGGTAATTTTTATTAGGTCAGACATTTTCTAATATATCAGTTGAACGATTATTGTACTTAAAATAACAAATCTATTTTAACCATTATATTTTTTCTTAAAAGTTGACGAAATGCACTATTATCATGATTTTTTCCAGCCTTTTCAAGGGAATAGTTTAGCTTTTAGACGGGTAGGGATGCCCTACGTGAACAAAAAATATCATTTTAAAGTACAATATTTCGCAAACGGATCCATAAATCGAAAAATCTATTTAACTATATCCCACACGATGGGGTAGACGATGAAAAAATAAAACCTACAGGTGACATGTAGGGGAGCATCCCCGCAAAATAAATATTTTTCAAAATTTTATTCTACCATTTTGTCAGCATGTTTATAGCTCTCCAGTACTAACAGTCTCCAAACCGAGGACGGACAGACAGAGGGACATAACGAAACTATGTTGGGTTCCTTGTCAGGACTACAGAACCCTAAAAGGGTAGGTGTTTAGTGAGGTAGGTATTTCTGTATAATAAATTGTATGTGTATTAACATTTTTCGGTGGGGAATATTCTTCTATAAATTAATGTTTGTTTATGTTTGTCAATCCCATGGTATTATTTCCAATGTTTATGTCACTAATGTTAATTTATCTTTCTCTATATGAATATCTTTTATACCACTATCAATCTTACATTCCTTCAAGGGTCATGACGGGCAATTTGCTTATAAGGAGTATAAAAAGTATTCCTTCAAAGATTCATATTACAAATGCTTTGACGGCAATCATTATATTAAACCTCTCATATTTTAACTTTAGTAAAGTTGATAATGTCCGTTTCTATAAGATACCAATATTGATTGATACAACACGATATATTTTCAGGCATTAAACAATGTCTTTAATCGCAATCCTCTGTAATATTTCTTCAATGTAACTTGTGGTCTACTGAACAAAATAATATATCTAACAAGAAACATACGTAGGAGCTTAGAATTAATAAGCCATTAGACAATAATAATAATCCTTTTCAAATAGGTATTTAGATAGATATATTGATTATTATAAGATTATTTATAATAATGTTAGACAAGCAACGGCCGCGTTGTTTCAATCATAATGAAATTTTACTGCCTTGATATAATCTTAAACAATTATTTATAATTTGGTTAAAATTTTACACGTTAACTATGCCTTTGAAGTTACATTAGCTAAAGTCAACTTTTACTATCGCTGCTATAAAGTTTGTTAAAAATGTCTTCCGCTAAATAAACTTCTCCTTCTTCAAACATACTCGTTGCAGGTCCTGGTGGTAAGGAAGGCATCATGACTTTTCAAAAACTAAAGAGACCTAGTAGACCAACGGCAAAGTGGACACTCCCCCGCGGAGATATACCCTCAAAACTCCGCCAAGAAAACCAGACAATTCGCTATTGCTTGGGGGTATTTTAGAATCTCGCGCTGTTAAGTCCGATGATACAAGTTTCATATACGCAAACTGGGTATCTAAGAAAAAATATTACAAAATACAGGAAAAGGATAGAAGTAATTTAAATAGTGAAGGCAACGATACAATGATCTTTACGATCGTAATCCTATGTTGCTCTATCGGCAGGAAGTTTTAATGCCATTTTTTCGATAAAAATAAGTATCTTAATGAGTACCGACGAGAATTAATTTATTATCCGGCCATGATAAGATACTGCTATTTTTTTGCCGAAAAAATTTGATAACGATATTTTTTATTAAATGGTAAATGATGCAGATTGGCATCATTTGGTGTAGTGACATGATGGTGAGTTCACGGTTCTTTTATTTCATCATTTTATGGATTACTCATTTGGCTTGGGAACGAAGCAAAATATATAGGGCGAACTAGCTGACAAAATTCTTTGTGTAGTTAAGTATAAACAAACGTTATCAGCAGGACCATGGACGAAGGATTTTGGACAATATCCAGGATAATTACTGCGGATGATAGGCAGGTGAACCTGTCATTGGCGTAACATTCAAGGCCAAATGTGGCGTTGTTGGAGATTATATTGGAGTGTATGGCGTGAAAATTGTGGTGTGTTACATACAAAAATAGGATACAGCTGCCTTTTCGCTTGATTCGGAACTAGGACAGGAATCCTCCTAGAAGAACGTTACGTTGTCGAATAACATCTTTTTGTAGGGAGTAGGAAATCAGTATCATCTTGCCATCAAGTCAAAAAATATTTTATCTGCCTCGTGGTAGTAGTGTTTCCTTGCGGCTGTGTCCCACCAAACATTGCAAGGAAAATAATCAACAGAAATTCTTAAAAACCACATGAAACAGAATGAGATTATAAGTTAAGGTATACCTGTACCTTGGATCTGATTATTTATGCTAGGCTCAGTCTTAAACTACCACATAATAATATAGTGATGACGACAAACTCTTTTTTACGTCTATCAGGTATAGTTATTTATTAAATATTACAGAGATATATTGATTTGAATAGGGTATTTGATAAGTTTTAGAAAACGATCTCACGTTATTGACTAATGTATATGGAGTCCGTAAAAAGTGGATATTCATCATTCTGTTGTGTATTTCAGAAAAATAACCAAATCAAAAACTCCATTTTCAAGTTGCCGTGAAAACGTTTCTCTGGACAATATGGAGTCTTACTAGTGTGTGACGTCACACGACTATTATTAAAACGTCGAACGATACAATGTAATGTCACTTTAACCGGAAGTTTACTTGCGTGTGACGTCATTTTAGGCTTCGCCAATCCCTAGCGTTTTGGGTCACGTGACAATAGATAAGAAAACTGTTATCTTTTTCGTGGGTTTTTAGTAAAATTATGAATATTTTTTTTTGTAAAAATAGTAAAAACCCCTGCCAATATTCATTCTAAATACAGATGCTAACAATTGGCACTTTATTTTTAATACTGTCAAGTACCCTATTGTCACATGACGTCACGTCTTGGTACATTTTGTTCTTAGCAGTGACGTCACGAGCCCTCTCTTCCAAACTAGGACACGCTGTAGCTTTATAATTTTTGGGTTAATTGACAAGAGAAATAATAACTAGTCCATTATTTTTTGATAATCTAACTGACAGACCAAATAGAATTTCGTTAATTTTACCCCGTCAATGGTGTGGATTCTGGCACGATTCTCTAAAGCTAACCTAAATTTGACAACAATGTCTCCTTGTCATTATCTATACAGAATGAAAAAGAGAGACTGTTTTTTTTAGTTTTAAGTTTAGTGTGACGCCGGAATCGATACCATTGTATTAAATCATCAAATTTTTTTCTCCAACATTTATTTATTTGCAAATCACATCCTAAAAGATGTTTATAATCATCTTATAGAGAGCTTTACTGTGTCAATGCACGGCAAATATAAAGGGAAAATATACCCTTTTATTACTTAATGAATTGATTACATTAAAAAACTATTAGAATTACATTACATAAAAACTGAAAATAATAGTGTATTACGTGGGAGAAGTATAAGGATGCTGTGCAGGCAGTTTCGCCGCCGCTAATAGAACAAAGCAGTTGACATAGACAACAGTTTTTATTGAGGCGACAATACGAAGATAACAAAGTGTTACTTTATGCACCCAGTGGTGACTCACCTAGCGTGGGTGCAAAACTAGGGATGGCGATCTCAAATCGATTAATCGAAGAACGATTTTTGGAGCCAAAAAGATCGATTTTCTAAACATCGGTTTAACATGTAGTACTGAATCGATTCGGTGAATCGATATTTCACCCTTGAAAATCGACATTCGATTTATTTTATTTTTTTGGTATAAACCAAAAAGTATTTACAATTATTTGAATGTACCCGTTTTAAAAGTGCTGCTGGTTAAAGGATTAATTATTAAAAAACTAGCGAGATGGCTGTATGTTTGGATTTCTTCGTCCCTCGTAAATAAAAAAAAGTTACGTTTGTTAGAATAAAAATATTTTTTATCATCGAATTACCTGATTTTACTGATAAGAGATCGTTCAATTATAATATGTATCTTGTTTTTAATAAAATAGATTTATACTACGTTATAATCAAAAACTTGAACAAAAAGATCGATTTTTCAGAAATCGATCTTATTGGCCTCGATTTTTTTGGGGATTGATTCATTAGGTCACGATTCGAATCGATATAAAAATTGATATTTTTCGGAATGAATCGCCATTAGCGATGGGCGTTGAATAAACGAACGGTTTAAATAGACGGTCTACGTTCAATCGACGCTTCGACGGTCTACAGTTAATTCGTTAACTAGTTGAATTCATAGACGGCTAAACTGAGAGTCCACAGCGTTCATATCTATCTACTGACAAAGCGTCGACGACGCGTAAACGTATACGGTTTACCCGTTACAAGTCCATACGTTCGTTCATTCGTTGAAATAAAGCAATTTGAAACTTAAGTATATAGCGTGGGAGTTGATATTTGTTCATTTTTTAAAGTAGAGTTGTTAGAGTGAAAAGGTAAGAGTATTTTTATATTGCGTGAAAGAGTACGTCGATGGATCTGACTAAACGATGCAGTGCAAGATGAACGGATTTATAATAATGGTTTTCCAGTTTCCTCAAGTAGTTGCAGTTTTGTTTATTGAAATTTGAAATTAGTGTGTAACGAGGCCAAGGTCAAGGAACACGTGAATGCGGATTTAGTGCAAAGTTCGTTTGAATTGAATGTTTATGTTATGAGATTAATTTGTAATTTATTTTGTAAATATATGACTGACTATAATGGAAAGCGAATACTAAATAAAGACCTCGTCGTCGTTGCGTCGCGCCCGTAGACCAGTCACCGCGTAGACGATATGAACCCTTTAAAGCCTGCCGTTATCACGTCAACTAGTCAAAGAATTCAACTAGTTGATCGACTAGTCGATGGACGGTAGTAGACAGTTTCGTTTCGTCGACGAAAAATACGTCGACGACCCACCTCTAATCGCCATCCCTATGCAAAACCAGGTGCCAATACTTATTAGGAGTGAAGAGCAAGTAAAGACTCGGAAAGAATCAACTTAGTATAGTTGCAACTAGGGATGGGCGTTTTTAGAATAACGATGCGCGATAACGATGCCAGGTTTGGATGCGCGCGTCGGCGTCCGATGCGACTGGATGCCGATGCCATCTAGTTTTCGTCAACGTTACTATAGCAACAGTGCCACAAACTTATCTGTGCCGGTGAAGATGTCGCTAGCGGTGAACAAATATGTCATAAAAATGTCACAATGCTATGGATAAATTGTAGTTCCAAATTTTGCTACCAGCACTGAAAAGTTTGTGATACTACGATACCGACTGACATTCACTTGGCATCGATGCGATGCCGGCATCGGTGCGCGGATCCGATGCGATTTATCTGATACCGATGCGCATCGATTTCACAAATATCTAAAAACGCTCATCTCGAGTTGCCACCTCGGCGCTGTACCCTGCTTGTACGAAATTTGATCTTAGACTATATACAATGTTCGAACACAAAGGCAAGCGTGATTCGAATGACAGGCAGCGCCATCTAGTAATGACTATCGGAACTAATTAAATAACGTTGTTTGAATGTGTATATAAATGTTTGTGTGTTACAATAGTTATTTATGATATTAGTGCGGTAAGTTGCGGTTATTACAAACAAGTAGACGAATGTAAGCCCCAGACGAAGTCGAGGGTTTACCATAGTGACGAGTTTGTAAATACCAATTCCACTCTAATGTCATACAACGTTTTTCAACACATTTGCGAGACAACAGAACTTAGACCTAATGAAAGTAATGAAGCAAACTTTTTCTAAAATGAAAATGGTGCCATGTGCCATCCGTACGTGAAAATTAGAACTATAATGCAATTGAACTAAGAATCTTAGATTAAAACAAAAAGGGTAGATACGGTACGCTCATACTTGCATCAAACAAAAACTGATCCCACGGCAGCGCGAACGGGAGACGGCGAGATCCGCGTCACTGCATTACCGACCCGAGCGAAACCGACCAATCACGCGACCAGTACTCGACGTCACTACCGAATAAGATTCAAAACAAACAGCAATTTTTATGAAAAAATATATTTTATAGTACTAACGAATGAAAAGTGATGCTGTGGGTTTTATTTTTAGTTCTTGAGCAATTTGAGCACTTTTCAAAAACACGCTTAGGCATTGTTTTATCATATAAACACAAAATATTAGCAATATTTCTTTTTGGCGTTCACATGTCCGTCGTTTGCATGTCAAGTTATGACTAAAGCGATTAGGGTCGTGGACCACAATTGGTGCGGATCACTTTTGTGAGGCTAGTGCCGTATCTACCCTTTTTGTTTTAATCTAAGCTTAGAATAGGACCGACTGGGCGTCACATTTTGACGTCATAGCTGTCAAATCAAACCAAATAGGTAGAGTGAGCAAAAAAATGTTGCTATTTAATAAAACTTATTTTCTAAGATTAAGTGAGACAAAACATCAGATTTTTTAATAAAATAAATTTACTAAGGTTTAGAAAGAACACAACCGATTTTTAATAGTATTTATTTATTAAGACTGTGTGAAATAAATTGATTTGATTTGATCACAATCTAGCTCTTCAATTTCGCTCATCTCTCTTAACTTCAACGATCGCAGCCGAATGCACTAACCACTTGCGCCATCGAGCTCCTCACTTCTTTTATCATATAAACGCGCTAAAATAAGTTTTTGTTGTTAAAACTCAACCTGACATTATTTGTTTTCATTGCAGGCGCACCAATGGGTCCTCACATTGGTGTTGATCGCCACAATTCAGGGTGTGTTTCCCCTGAGTCCTATACCGGTTCCTGATCAGGAATGGGAACAATTCAACGAGTTGTTGAGGAATCCAGCATACAGGCTTCCCGGAACAACAGTCCCGAGACACTATGAGCTCTTCTTGAGTCCAAACTTCGACACAGGAGACGATAGAGCTTTTACCTTTGAAGGACTTGTTAAAATCTACATTCAAGCAAAAGCCGAATCTTTGAATGAAATCGTCATGCATTGCAATGATCTCAATATAAATAGTGCCTCTGTTCAGTACACAAACAGTAGTGATAATGTGATTTATCAGATTCAGTCACCCGAGCAAGACTTGAATTGCACAGAGCCTTACAGTTTCTTAACAATATCTACATCAGAAGTTCTGCAACTCGACGTGGAATACGAAGTGATCATGGAATTCACTGGTCGCCTTCAAAGTAACATGAGAGGGTTTTACAGAAGTTGGTATAATGACGACACTGGTAGGAGGTGAGAATACTTCTGCAAATATTCAATAATATTATAAACGAGAAAGTACTAATGCCAGCACTTCACTTGGCTATTCGTCTTTGGTATTTGTAAACTTGTTATCAGTTTGTCCTTTTAACTTCTTATAAATTTTGTTAAGGACAGACTTGCCCAGATTACAAATAGCAAACACGAACATCAAGTAAAGTGCCGGCATAATAATTACGAATGTGAAAGTTTGTATGGCTGTATGTGTGTTACTCTTTTGCGCTAAGAGAGCTGAACGGATTTAGCTGTAATTTGGCATTATTACATAGTTTATTGGGTGCATAGATTAACACATTTAATATAACATACACATATATATAGTATACTTTTTTTAAAAAAAAAAGTGGAATTCTCGAAAACTAAACACGGACGCAGTTGCGGGGTTTCGCTGGTATTATTATATAATTCCAATTTAGGGGATGTTGTAGTTTGCATTATTAACAAAATTGATGTTTAATTTTATTGAATAATTATTTTTTTAATCATATACAATACTAGAGGTGCTCTGCGGTGCCACCCACATTAATTAGAAGAAGATAGTTACACTGGATAACCCTAAAAATATAGACATGTGCTATCGCGAATTTTTGTGTAACTTCTACCGTTTACGCAGCGCACTCAACTCTATCAAGCTCTCAAATAGAATATTTTTTCGTTATTGCATAATTTGTCATTGGTGCACCGCTCCTGTTTTAGGCCCGTATTACAAAATGACAACGAAGTGTTGATCTTTACTTGAGTACAGTTAGAAAGGAATGTCGCTATGTACTTTAAATAGCGACATCCCTTTCTAACTATGCTCAAGATTAGATCAATCACTGAGAATCTTTCTATAATACGGGACTTAATCGTTGCCGTATGTTTATAGCCGTCCTCAATAAATGCACTATTCAACACATTTTTTTTAAATCGGACCCAGTAGTTATTGAGATTAGCATGTTCAACCAAACAATCAATATAACAAATACTTCAGCTTTTTATTGTTCATATGATGAGATGTATTCAAGTATTTTCCTCCTTACAGATGGATGGCCACAACCCAATTCCAGCCGAGTCACGCTAGGCAAGCGTTCCCTTGCTACGATGAACCTGGTTTCAAAGCAACCTTTGACATCACTATCAGTAGGGAACCTGACTTCAGCCCAACGATTTCCAATATGCCAATACAGTATACTACAAACAAGTAAGTTGTTTAAATTAATAAAACCTTACGAATTGTCTAACAAATATCATCGTATCATCTCAGTGTCTTGATTGGACGATTCTTGCGCTATGTTGTCATCAAATTTGTTTATTTATTTGTATAAATTACCGCTGTAGCAACAAGTAATAAAAGCATATAAGAAACACGTGATTTTTTCATATTGTTCACTCTCACAATTGCTGTTTTATTTTAGTACACATTTATTTATTATGTCCATAAAATTCCATTTCACAATGTTACAATAGAACAGATGTACAAGAGTGATATAATAGTATAGAGTCTGTGCGGAAAGAGAATGGGATTTAGATTGGAGGGCGCTGTAGTGCTTTTCTACCGTATTTGTAAGGTTTTACCCCTTTTAGACATGATTAAATCACAACAACAAACATTCCGTATCAATACAACACTTTGACGTTTTACAGATTGCTGGGTTTGATTGCCAAATAAAAATTTTAATGTTAGTTCCGTTATTCGCCACGCCCATTCTCTTTCCGCACAGTCTCTAGCAGTTACAATATGAGCAGCAGAATCCCTAAACGGGGATCCCGCGGTTCCGCATTTAGCCGCTTAGAGGGTATTCGCAGGGGTTTTTAGCGGATATTATACCTTAAAGCGCCCGTAAGAGTTACGTGGTCCTCAGTGGGCAGCCACTACGGGGGCCCGTAAAGCTTGCGGGAGCCATGTGTGAGGTCCGTTCAGCGGTATGCCTCTTAAGGGCGCCGTCGTCTGTAAATAGAGGTGTTGCCTACGTAACAAAAAACAAAATAAAGTAGGAAGTACGATGCGAGTTAGAATAGCACTTTACTTATAATGTTTTTTGTTCTACAGCACTGACGAAGGTCGCGTTTCTGAAACTTTCTACACAACGCCGTCAACATCTACGTATCTGCTGGCGTTTATAGTATCTCACTATGACAGAATTGAAAACAAAGATGATGACGGCAGGCCATTTGCAGTATATGCTAGAAACAATGCGGGTAGTACTGGTGCTTGGGCTCAAGATGTTGGTATTAGGCTACTTAGAGCGATGGAAGATTACACGCAAATACCTTATTATACAATGGCCAGTAACATGGACATGAAACAGGCTGCCATCCCTGATTTTTCAGCTGGTGCTATGGAAAACTGGGGCCTTCTTACCTACAGGTACCGTATACCTTTTTTTTTGTCGATGGGAAATCCATTTACGGACCGTACCGCGCGCTGGCTGGGCATGAGGCGTGTGTGGGACTCCCCGGCGCGGAACAACGCCGGTAGGGGGAGGCCTACCCACTAAAACGCCAGCGATGGCCGCCATCAGGCATTGTACGGGGCCTCAGGATCGAGTATCGCATATGAGGACCCGCAGCCTTTGTTCCCCTGCTTCCTCCAGGGGAGCCCTTCTCGGGGGAGTGTTCGCAACCTCCCCCATCCACCCTCCTACGTCGATACCACAACGCCGGTCCTACCCACTAAAACCCACCGGTACGCTCCTACGCCCATATGGGAGCGTTTCAGGATCGGCGCACCTGCGTGCGCCACTTCACTGGAACGCCCCCGGACAGGTACCGTATACCTACATAGTTTATGATAATAAAGTCAGTACATCCGCTAACTTCTCCGAAACTACGAAACACTTTGATATGTTTTTCAGCAGTTGGATGATTTTTCATTGAAAGTAAATCGTCATCATCATCATCAGCCTATTAATGTTCCCACTGCTGGGGCACAGGCCTTCCCTATGGATGGAATAGGGAATGGGCAATGACCCACCACGCGGGGTCAGTGCGGATTGGTAGGTGCTAACGACTGCAGATGCAGCCGGGACCAACGGCTTAACGTACCTTAGTAAATTCTACTATATGGGTCATACACAAAAGTGGTGCTCAAAAAAGAAAATAAAATAAAAAGTCAGATAACGATTCGAATTTTGGTATTTATTTTAAAGTAATTATTATCAGTCTTACAAAATTATGAGCGTAGGTCAGTCTTCATTATTACAACAGAAAAATCACATTTTCATAAATTTTCCGTCTACAGGATAGATTAATTAATCTACAGAAAACAATAAAAATATACTTTTAGTATTTAAAACATAACAAATATATCAAAAACTTCTTTTATATTAATTAATGTGACTTACTTTTTCTTTATTATATGCAATCAAAACAAAAACAAGTATATAAAACTTTAAAAAAAGAAATCAAAAAATGTCTACAGATTCGACATATCGTTCTGTAGAAGAAATATTAAAAAATGGAATCGTCGTCTGAACCTTCCCACATTGGAATCAGAGATCGTCTTTTTTTGGGAAACAATTCTAAAGATGAATCAGAGTCTTCTAAAAGATTCTTACTGGGCTGAACTCTTTTGTTAGGCCTAACATTTTGTTCAGATGCCTCAGTAGAGACTTCGGGTGTTAACCTGTCACTAAAACCAGGTGAGATTGATACAGTTGAAGCTTCAGGAGTATTTGGAGCTTCTGGAACCTCTGGGGTATTTGGAGCTTCTGAGATATCTAGAGATTTAGAATTGTCGACAGGTTTACAGTTGACATCTATTGTCCCTAGTTCATAATGTGGACATTTAACATGTGTGGCGCAAATCAGGCAACTCAAACGTCTTGCATGTATTAGTGTCGGTTCTTTAATACTCCACGTTAATTGATGAATTTCACGTGTCCCTTTAAAGGGCCGTATAATACTTCTGTTCAAAATGTCTTCTATATTAGGGATAAGTGATTCGTTGATTCTGTAAACCTCAATGCCTTTACAATTCGTAGATAAACAAGATATTAATCCTTCCAAATTAGAAACATCGTTGCCTCTTGCCACATGGCTATCACAAATTCGTTTTATGCACCCACCTACACCATCGGGTGCTCCTTTACCGTGACCTCTTTCACTGAAATGCCATGATATTGTATCCAGTCCAAACTCCTTGCTTATATAGGTAGCAACTAAATTAAACATCGATTTATTTCGATACTGCGTTGAGGGACCATCACTTAGAATATGTAAGTGTTTTAAATTAGGTGACAATTCTTCAATTTTTGCTGTCAGTGCTTTCAAATGAACACAAATTAATACGGGGTCGTGTCTGAGATTTTCGGATACCGTACAAAATGATGTGGATTGCAAAAAATTATCTGGGGGATCCAAACGTGTACTATAATACACTGATGTATGCAATGACAATTGAGGTTTCGATCCACCAAAATGCGCAGATTGGATTTCCTGACTATATTTGCAAGTGTAGTTTTCCGAAAAGTCTATGTGAAGTAGGCCATCTTCAGGTGAAATTTGTTTCTTTATATCATGAATTGTATTCATTTGGTGCAGCATATAAGCAATATGTTTCATGAATGTCGGCAATATTGAATTTAAATTATCAAATATATTTTTTTTAGTTGTTTGCACTTTTTCTTTTATTGTTTTTTTACATTGTCTTCGTGTACCTTTAATAACCACAGTTACATCTTTTGTAACCCATCTTTCATAGGTAATGGAATCCTCATCGTCAAAATTATTTGAAGTGATAATGTTTTCTTTACATAGGGGATACTTTCTTTCTAAACAACGAACGTTTAAAATATTATTGCAGCATAAGGACTTGACAAGATCAGTCGCAGTTTTAAAAGGAATGACTTTCGCATAGTGAAGTGCTTGAACAAGAAAGTTTGTATTCGTATGTATGATACATAAACAGGTATTCCTACTTTCAACTTTAGGAAATAGAATCCAAAACGGCCGATACCTACGAAATGTTTCATAAGATATTTGCATTCCGGTTTTTTTCACAAAAATCTTATGAAGGTTTAATAGCGAGTCGTTCAAAAAACGTAACTGTTTTTTTATTTTATTACGCGTGATTGTTTCTTTTTTTCCTGATGTAGACCTACTATATTCATCTTGCAATAAAAAGTCACGAACCGCCGTTTTTGTCTCTCTATCTCCAATTCTTTTAGGCCTCCTTTCTTTCTTCTTTTCTTCGTTCATCTTTTTTCTTGCTCTAATACATCGCATTCTATACTTTGCTAATTTAGACTCCAATTCACATATTTTTTTCTTCAAATAAATATTCTCATTCTTAAGACGTCGTTTGTTACGTTGTGATATTGTACTACCAACACTTGCACGTGATAGGGTCGGAGTTGAAGGCGGAGTATTGATTTCTACGAAATCATGCGCAGCGTTGTGTATTTTTTGCTTTTCTCGTTTTTTCTTGGCTTTTTCCCTCCACAATTTTCTTATTTGTCTTTGTTCTCTCGGAGTGAAATCTTTGAAGGTTTTAATAAGTCCTTGTTCTTTTTTCTTATGATATCTTTCTCTGTCTTTTCTTCTCCGTTCTTCAAGGTCTGTTTGACTCATTCGAGCTCGAACACGTCGTATACTTATTTTTTTCTGTTCACGCCTTCGTTTTATTTTTTCTTCTTCAGATAGCTGTGATGTAGACCTACTTTTTCGTGGCATCTAAAAAATATATAAGCATAAGTAAATTTTAGTTGATAACCAGTTATTGTTCATGTAAGTATTTTATTTAATGTAAATTTTCTTAATTTTTATACTCGTGTTCAAAAATATCAGTTCTTCTGTAGAACTAACTCATAATTTGGTACATGTTTTGAGACAAAATTAACTCTAACGATGATATATTTACTAAAGGGTAAATATAAATATGTGAAGCAAGCATGTGTATGAATTATCAAAACAAAATTCCTGTAGACCTCAACTCTCCTGTAGACACAGTGTGTGCCTTTACATTGTCCTTTCTGTAGACAAGATCTCTTCTGTAGACACCATGTCTACAGAAAATATTTCTACAGGGGGGACACACAGGTGGTTAATGTAAGATGGCATGAAATTTTTTAAGGTTAGAAATTTAACGGTATATTATTCAAATACTACGCCTTAAAATTGACAATGAAAATACAATCAATCAGTTTTAATCAATATACTTATCATGCTACACAGGACGCAGGAAAGACGCACTGAAATTTAACAAAAATATGTGTATTCACATAAAAATATATTTTCACAATAATTACTCACCTTTTTCTTGTGATGGCTGCCGACAACTGACACAGGACGCAATACTGCCAACACAGGAAAAAAAAATTTGATATGCGTTCCGTTTCAAACAGATTATTACTCATTTTTCACGTCTACAGAAGTAGACTCACATTTTGAGAACAGTATATTTATTTATTTTATTTCAGTATTTTAACATGTATCTATTTAGATATTTAAATAACTGTACACACTATCTAAAGAATAATTATGTTGTAAAAATATTAATCGAGAAATGGCATACAAATATTTTTAATAACCTCTTGAAGTTCGGCATTCCTATCCGAACAGTCTACAGGAGGGGACGTTTATATAAAAAAATACTAAAATGATAATCTGAAAAACAAAGCACCGTTATTCTTTTCAGATAGGAAAAACAATATAAAGGCGGATTACTTAAATGACAAAGTTTTCATGTAATATAATTAAACCGAATAATTTTTTGGCTACAGAACACTTTTTTTCCAATTTTTGTGTATGACCCATATCATAATAAAGATGTGAAAGTTTATTATGTTGATTTCACAATCACGCAAAAATGCCTAATAGGATTAATGTATTTGGATGACATTTAGCACAAATTTAGTTTGATCTAGATAGAGAGGGCAGGCAAGCTGTATAGGATCGGATTTACCATCAGTCAGGTCATTTTATACTTGTTTGTGACCCCTTTGCATGATAAAAAAAAGGTTGTCTGTAAAGTCGATCGATCAGGGGGTCAAGGGGAGCCGGGGGGCGTCGGGGGGGGGGGGGGGGGGGGAAGAACACCGATTGTCGGCCTAGGCACACCTAAGAGTACCCTGACGACGAAATTACCCGCGTCAAGTCCAATAGATGCCAATATATGTTATCAACATCTATTGACATTTTAATTAGACTGTTTTTATATTTAATGTGCACCTATCTAATTTGTATTCAATTTTGTTTTCTTTATCTTTATAATATTCGTATATATATTCTCTACAATATTCGTTCTATAATATTTATTGTGGGCGTTAAAGGAACAAATAAATGATTTCTATCATTCTTTCTTTTGACTCATATTGCTTTGTTGTTGTTAACAGGGAAGCTTTAATTCTCTACGACCCCCTAAACTCGAATCATTTCTACAAACAACGTGTTGCCAACATCGTGTCCCACGAAATCGCCCACATGTGGTTTGGTAATCTAGTCACTTGCGCCTGGTGGGACAACCTGTGGTTAAATGAAGGTTTCGCTAGATTCTATCAATATTATTTGACTGCCAAGGTAAGTTTGTAAACAAATACTATTTATGAAGTATTTGGTGATTTTTTTTTGTCTTCGTTTTTTAGGATTCCGTATCGCGATCGACAAAAACGGATCCCTTATAGGATCACATTGTTATCCGTCTGGAAAGTGGAGGTATCGAGTTGAAATTTAAACAACTTAAGTCTACAGTATCTTAAAACATACGTTGATATCAAGGAGATACCTTTGTATTTCTTTGTTTTTATGTTTATGTAAATGTACCATAACAATTACATTTTCAATGAATGTTTAATTATTTTTTGTTTTTAATTTAATTTTAATTTCGTTTATTGTATTATAAATTTTAATCTGACATTTAATTGCGTGTCCTCATCGATATGGGTCAGAACTGAAAATCAGCGATTTACTCTCTGAATAAATGTTACGCTGAGTTTTCGCCCATTCGCATCGCTGCTGCACACGAAAATATCATAGTATAATTGTATAAATAGAATTTGTTGCATTGATTTGAAAGCATTTAAATAATTGTAAAATTTATCTTCAATTTTGTATGTGTGCATGTTGGTGCGAATAAAGTTTTATCTGTCGGATGGGCGAGCGGGATAGGCGGTTGGCCACGTGGTTCATCTTGATCCGCCATCTTGGTTATTCAATGATATTTCCCGAAAATAAAACTGTAGTCTAGTGACCAAGCTAACGTTTAATTTGAATCTTCTGATCATTTTACGACATCAGCAATGATTTCAAAGGCGCAAACGGATTCCTTTGCGAAGCGTGGAGAGTTCTGTGCTAACGTCCGTTCATTATCGCGGCTCACGTCTGAATGCTGAATGCCCCTTCCAATGAAGCGTAGCTCCTTAAATACTACCCTTAGCATAGACCACTCCGAAGTGATGACAGCTGTCACTGTCACAACTTGACGTTTCACAAAGCAATGGTACAATGACTGATGACATTTGTTGTCGGTTTTATGTTTCGCAGGAGCGAGCGAGACGCCATTCGCCGACGTATCTATCTATTTGCAAAGTAGAAGGTTCAAAAGTTGTAGTCGTTTTTCGGCAGTGACAAAACTTATATCATTTCAAAGCTTGTTTTATATTTTAAAATTAACAGATTATTTTATATTTTTTATTAATTTCCGATTCATTTTAAATCGTGTTTAAAATTGTATCAATTTTGTTAGAATGCTGACCGGGTGGTCAGCTTTCTATGGCAGGGTTGTCATAAGTAACGTCATATTTTAAGTGTATGACAGCATGAAACGTCCACCCAATCACTATGACAAATGACAATCAGACCAATCATGCATGATATTCGTGGTATCATGGTGAACTTAGTACACCAATTTATGGTTGATTCCTCTTGAAATAAAAACCCATAAGTTAACTAATAATGTAATTAAAGATGAAGACAATAATTATAACCGCTTTAGTTACCTATTGGATAAAATATATTTGAGGCTTTGGCAACAAAAAATACATAAATAAACTTCGACACGGCCGTTAGGGCCGCGGTAGCATAATGGTCAGTGCATCCGCCCGGATAGCGGAGAGTCTCCTCTGCGGCTTGGTGCGCCTGGATTTTTTTCCAGTAAAATTTTCTTTACATTTAAACACCCAGCAATTAAATGCTCTAAAAATTAAAATATATACTATAAATAATTTTGAAATGCCTTTTACTTCTTTATTACTACTATTATATTTATAATTTAAATTAATTTATTGTTAAATTAATTTAAATTTTAATTTATTAATTTTAGTTAAAATACATTAAATTTCTCATTATAATATTCATTTAAATAGCACTTTTGTAGCAGAAAGTGCTTTCATTTATTTAGAAATTGACTAATGTTTGTTTCTGATCTTAAGTTATAAGGTAGTTTGTTATAAATCTGTATTGCAATACAAAATGGTCCAGAACTAATCATAGCCAATTATGCCAGCCGTTTGAATGGTATTATGTCGCTATGGCTACTTCTGCTTATCGTGACTTTTGAAGCACGGAGGAGTTCTAATTCATTCATATTGTTTGGTTAACCGTCCTTTCTGAACGGCCGTTGAAACTTTCTTAACTTTTCCTATCGCAGGCCGATCGTGTCAGCCAATGCCGCACTTGAAATCATATTTATTATAACCAGCAATTTGATTGCAGGTTGCACCCGAGTTGGATTACGAAACACGTTTTGTAAGTGAGCAGTTTTTCCAAGCTATGACTGCAGACTCGGTGGATAGCGCACATGCACTAACAAATCCTAGTGTCAACAGTCCATCAACTGTTAGTGCACATTTTTCAGCAATCACTTACGCCAGAGGAGCATGCATTTTGAGAATGACTCAGCATCTACTGTCTGAGGCAACTTATGTTAAAGGTCTTCGAAGCTATTTGAACGATAGGTGAATTCATGATTAATAATTCTTATTACGTGAAAGTAAAGTATTCGTTCACCTTTTCAAGCACATTTTGTACACGGCAAAGTGTGACATTATTGAAAATTAAAGAATTATATGGAGAAGGAACTATTTTATTTTATTTATATTACAAAAAGCAAATATTTTATTTGATAATTCTTAAAAATAACAATATTCAAAATATCCGAAAAGGTCTAACGGAGCTTGGCCAATGTGCGGCTTAGTTGTACTTTTAATGTTATAATACATTTATTATTAATTATTGTCATTATTTTAATTTATTCTTTACCAAATTTCTTACTAAACAATTTAATGACTTATTTCTAAATATTTCTTTGGTCTTATTAAAAAATCCTGTTAATATCGACTACTCAATTCCAGAAAATTTGATGTAGCTGAACCGCATCATTTATTTGAAGCATTAGATGCTGCTGCGGCAAATGACAGTGCCTTAGCTGACTACGATGGTATAACTATAGATCGATACTTTAGATCCTGGTCAGAAAAAGCAGGACACCCTTTGTTGACCGTTACCATTGACCAAGAAACTGGATTAATGACAGTAAAGCAGGTGCAGTTTAAAAAATTATACAAATTATCGTTTTTTTCAAAAACCGCTTATTTGATATACATTTTAATATATTTATAATTAAAGCTTTATTAGTAAATGAAAATTTGGTGATTTTACTTATCAATATTTTTGTTTCATCCTTTATTAACTTTGTTTGTGTTAGTACGGCAGTGTGGTTAGGGATCTGCCATTTATTTTTAATTTATATATAATTCATCTTTGTCACAATTCTATATTCTTAATCAATTTTATACTACTAATGCTGTATTAAAATTCCATTACGTTTCAGTCTCGCTGGGAACGAACAAATGGAACTTCTCAATATCCCTCTTTGTGGGATATTCCTATCACTTGGACTAGAGGAAGTGTAGCAGTAATCGACTTCAATAATCTGAAACCTTCTCAGATTATAACAAGTGAAACAACAGTTATCGACCGAGGGTCCACGCAACTGCAATGGGTTATATTCAATAAGCAAGCATCAGGTAGATACTGTAGATAAACACACATAGAGTGCGACCAAGATCTTGCTGCTGGTAAAATCTTCTCTCTTAAGGTAACTTTTAAATTTATAGTAAATCTGAAAGAAGAAATGGAAATATAAAAGGCTTATTTACACCTTTCTTTATAAATAGAAGGCTTAATTATATATTCTTAAAGTTTTTCGATTTCAATCATGCGCCACAAGATCTTGGTCCCGCTGTACACGCATCATCAAGCTGAGTCCAGATTGAAATAGGTCGAGAAAACAGAGTGAAACATCGGCATAACTCTTTTCATACATGCCCGCTGCGTCGGTTATTGAGATTCCTAACATCATCTTCCTTCAGAGGGTGATCACCTCAGTGATTGCCTTGACGTTTTTATGCTTCTACTCTTGCCTCAATCTCACCGACTTTCAGATTTAAAAAAAAAACTTCTACATTACAAACGCCATAAGCGTTACATTTATCTAAGTTACTAGTTGATCCGGCGAATTTCGTACCGCTTACAATAATTTGGAGAAAATTAAGCTATCCGATCGACAGGAATATATAAAAAATAGGCTTTTACCATACTTAGCAATTGTTTGGAGAACTCTTCTAAAGATTCGATTACATAAGTATCTATTGAAATAAAATATGAACAACTTCTTTTGGTTTTTGTAATTTCAACTGGTTTAAGCTTGTTGAGGCTGTTTTAAGGCAAGTAGCTCACTTAATATAAAAATAAAATATTTATTAGAAACTACAAGCATATGTCTTACATCGATGTGGCTCAGATTATAACTAACTAATACTAAAAGAATTCAATCCATATAATGAATGAGTTCTGAGAAAGCTAAACAAAACTATGACTATACAAACGTTCAAAGGACTCGGGAAAGTTTAGATGACTCGATACAATGCAAATGAAGTAATTAGTTAAAAGGATGTGAGTGATTTTAGTAAATAATAGATATCTTAACTTAAGAATATGAGAACGATAGATAACATGGTTTTAAGATAATTAAGGAACATAACAAATGAGTTCGATAAACAAAATAGATGGTATTAACAATAAGGAAATAACATAGGAACAAATAAGTTTGGTCAACAAAAGATATGATATTAACATAATAGGGGTATAACATAGCAAGGCCTAATGCCTCTACGGTGGAGAAGGAAACCAACCTCAAACCATCACAAACCATTCTTAAGAGAATTCCCGGCTTGAGATCCTCTAAAACGGCAACATCTTTTCACCCTCTATAGCAAATTAATATAACAATTATGAATAAAGACAGCTCATTGACAAGAGCATTTTGAAGTTAAATTTGGTTGAAATGTTTAAACTGCAGTAGGTAAATTAATGATATTTCTATGTTTCTAAAATTTCAGGTTTCTATAGAGTGAACTACGATCGAACCAACTGGGTTCTCCTCACAAGAGCTCTAAGATCTAACGTTAATGACATTCATGAATACAATCGTGCGCAGGTATTTTTTTTTATTTATAACTCTCATAGTTTTCATTTTATTTATTATGCTGACTTATAGTCCCAAAAATACATCAAAACATTATTTAAATTTTTTAAAATAAGCAGTGGCAATCAGTGTATTTTCAATAAATTCAGAATGGTTTTATACTTCTTTCAATCATACAGGTAAACCGAAAGACAAACACGAAAATTTTAAAAGTGATAGAAATTTATTTGGTTATACATTTTTTAGACCTCTAGACATAATTATTTTTCCATTGCTGAAACAATTTTAATTATGTAAATCTTAATATTGCAATAACTAAGCATTTTATTTGCGTTGTTCCCACAATACACAATAATTGTCACGTAAAATATAAATTTAGTCAAACCTGTTTTTGTCTAAATAATAAAAAAAAAACTATATCAGCTCAATTTATATTTCAGATTATCGACGACACGTCCAATTTTGGTAGAGCGAATGTAATGAGTTACGAAACAGTGTTCAATATTATTTCATTCCTTGAGTTTGATGATAAATACGCACCATGGATGGCCGCCATTGATGCATTTAACTTCCTTATTAGAAGGCTGGCTCATGATGAAACAAACTTAAATCGTTTACAGGTTACCGATATCACATTCCAACAATGAATTGTTTTCATAAATAAGAAATAAAAAACGATTTATATAACCTCAAAATTATTACAGAACTTGATCATCGACTGGAGTAAATCAGTAACTGAGCGTTTAGGATTCATAGATAACGAAGACGATCCATTTATGGATGGTTTATTAAGGATGAATGTTATGCAATTCCTCTGTAATATTGGACATGAAGATTGCGTAAGAGTTGGCAGAAATACATTTGCGGCATGGAAAGAAAACCAAACACAGTGAGTTTAATTTAAATGTTATTGATTAAATATACCAACGATTAAACACGTTTTTAACTTCACACCATAAATAACAATGGCAGAGCTGATAGAACAAGTCTGCGATACGGTATGATGGATACATATAATAAAATGGTAGGAAAGTCAAAACTGTACATTGAATATTTTTTGAAAAGAATACTTGGGGTGAGATCTACAATCGATACCGAAGCCAAAAATATAGTTTTTATAATATTTTGTTCGTATGTATGTCTGGGATAAACTCAAAAAGTACTGCATGGATTTACTTTAAATTTTACACGAATATTATTAAGAAGTCGGGTCAACATATTGTAGGCTACATATTATCATGAAACTCCACCCCTAAGGGGGTAATACGGAGGTTGAAATTTTGTGTGAAAGTTCTATGTTTATGAAGTAAGAGACTTGAAATTTAACATGTATGCTCTATAGATGGTGTAGAGGAGTACTAATTATGCATCTTTAGAAATAAACCCCCTTTTGGGGTCAAAAAGTATGTGCATATAACTAACTCCACGCGTACGAAGTCGCGGGCAGCCGCTAGTAATATCATATCCACGCCTTCATTGACATTAGTTAGGCTGTCAAGTGAGCAGATAGTAAAACTGTGTGAAATAAATAAGAGCGAGTGTATTTGTTTCACACATAATCCAGAACATGAAACAATTATTAGGTCATAATAATTTTGGAGTAACTTTAGTTAATCTTAAAGTCAGTGTATGTTCTATTCTTTGGTTATTTTTACAGCGTGCCCGCTAATATGCGTCCATGGGTCTATTGCGTTGGTCTCCGCGAAGGTGGAGCTGCTGATTTTGAATACTTTTGGAACCAGTATTTAGTTGAAGATCTAGCCAGTGAACAAGTGGTTATGATTCAAGCTGCGGGTTGCACTACTGACAAAAATAGCCTAGAAGAGTTCTTAAATGCAATTGTAAATGAATCAGAAATCGTAAGACCCCAAGATCGTAACACGGCTCTCAATTCAGCAGTCTCACGAAACGAAATCAATACGCAAATAGTTTTTGAATGGCTTAAGAATAATATTCAGAGGGTAATTAATATGTGAGTATTTTGTTGAATGGTAATACAAATTCAGATAATTATTATCATTACTTATGTTATAGTGTGAATGCTCAGACTCAATAATGCTGAAAGTTTTCCATCCGATCCAGTTGTCACGCTTATTTTATTTAATTTTGAAATTGTTACAGTTTTGGCAGCGTCCAGACTCCTCTCAGCTATATTGCACCTCGCCTCCTAACTGAAGCTGATATTAATGAGGTAACAAATCTGTTGATTTTTTTAAGCTTGCATTTCCCATTTTTAGGATAGGCATATTCATTCATGATAAAAACTATTAAAATAAAGAAAATCCGACTTTATAAAAAGCATTCCTCATGCAACATACCTGCTACAAATCTTCTTCTCCAGGTTAGTGATATAAGTCGACTCTGGTTCATTGGCATATACGTGTGCCTCTACAGATCCCATACTGGTGACGCTGAGATATTTTGTTTCCTAACATGTTTATGTTAAAAGGGTGGCAAACAAGCGTATGGCCTGCCTGATGGTAAGCGGCTACCATAGCCTATAGTAGATACCAAAAATGTCAGATAAGAAAAGTATTATTTTGAGATGGGCATCCTCAAACAAAGCAAAAATATCACTTGCATCTTTGCCTACTCTGACCCAATCCCCTACATCGTGGAGCCCTGGGACCTTACTATCCCACACAAAACATAACATCACCAAAAGGTAGTGTTATTTTATTGTGATCTTGACTATCTTAATCGGGTAGCAGCAGATGCACAGGAGCAATTTGCCAACACAGAACCATTGCTTTTGGTTTCTTCCAAAGCCGATCATGTAGCAATCATCCATGCATTAGCTCACACTTATGACCTGATACAATTGGTTGATCAGCAATATCTTCGCTAGACTTTCTGCTTTGGTTGTAGTAAAGCTCTCTTAGGTCCATCGAATCACTCATACATATTGGTACGGTACACGAGACTACTTTGCATCTATCTTTAGTAAGCCCTTTCGTTGGTGTTGTATTTTTGTCGGTGAGTAAGGTTCCAGGGCTGCACATTGATCGGGTAAACACAAGCAACGGCACAAGTGATAATTTTGTACCGCTTGCGGCTATAGGCTGCAGCAACCGCTTACAGCCAGGCAGGCCGTATGCTTATTTGTTAATAAATAAAATCTGTTCCCGGAAAGGAAATCAGAGTCATTGATTGCTAATTGAAGTGGCGTTCGTCAAGACATGGTTATAGAACTGGTACTTTCATCATAATGTCATAACACTCATTTAGTTCTATTAAATTAAAATACCTATAGTATAAACAGCGGTCATATAGAATAGCCTTGGCGGTTACGTAATTTGAAACCTAATCTTATGTAGTGAAGACTACAGACTTGTAATCTTTACATAAATATTTTTGAATTACTTCTTTTTCTATTTATTTTTGCAGTTTGAAACGTGGTTGCAACAGAACCGAGAAATAATTGGTGACGCATCATTTACAACCGGCACAAATGGAGTGGCCAATGCCAGAAGTAATCTTGCGTGGTCAGAGCAGCGGACTCCTGAACTCGTAGAATTTTTCGAAAATGGCTACGTGGAAGAAGAAATAGATGAGCCTTCTGCTAATACTACTACTACAGAAGAGCCCTCTACTAATAATACTACTACAGCAGAACCTATTACAGAAGAGCCCCCTACTAATAATACTACTACAGCAGAACCTATTACAGAAGAGCCCCCTACTAATAATACTACTACAGAAGAGCCCCCTACTAATAATACTACTACAGAAGAACCCATTACAGAAGCACCCTCTACTAACCCACCTACTACAGAGGAACCTATTACAGAAGCACCCTCTACTCACCCACCTACTACTGAACCCGCTACTAATGAGCCAACAACAGAAGTACCCACTACAGTTGAAGATGACGATGGTGGTGCGGCAACCATAGCTTTGAGTTTTGCAGCCCTTACAGCTTCAATAGCAATTACATTTCTTAACTAACTTATGTATTTAATAAATAATTTATTGAGAGTAAATATTCATTTTGTTGTTGTACTCGCGTTTTGACTTATTGAGGGAGTTTAGAAAAGTATTGTTTGGGAATGAGCATCCTCAAGCGGTGGACTGTGACTTGTTCAATACTTAAGAGGGTGTTTAAAGATAGATACTTATGTTTCCGGATAAAGAAGAATATAATTGTCTGCAGTGTTGTGTCGTGATGCGACAGAACGGTATCGGTTTCATACATGTTATGCGACCCATCGCGATTATATCGAGATACATTAATATAATTCTAACCTATGCCGTTTTATAGTTATAGATACGTTATATACGCTTCTAATTTGGTAATACGAAAGTCAGGTAATTGCCCGACTTGCATTCAGTCAGGTACACTCTCTCGCCACGACTACACTTCGTTAAAACGTGTTTTACGTTTTTCCAGATAAAAACCCTATGTGTGTTTTAGATAGTACAGAAATTACACGGAAACTAACAGATACAATTAAGACGTGCCATTTCATTCGTAAGTAAATTTTTAAATAAATTATTGTAAAAATATTTAGTAATTACTTATTTTGACAGTTGCTGACAACATTGATACGTGGAGGCTAAAGAGCGAGGTGTAATCTGATTTATGATTGAGAGTGGAAGAGATTAATTTAGTGCGCTCTATTGTCGGCTGTGCCAAGGGAAGTTGGGGCAGGGGCATCATTAATTACCGTACTAAATGCATGCAACCGATACCTCTCTGACGCGTCTCGAAACAACACGACAGACAAATATATTTCAGTCTATATAAGGTGAAATTGAATGTTTTGATAAAACTTCGTGGCATTGTTGGGTTACGAATATAGAGTATCTTTGATTTTTTCGGAATTTTTAAAATGACTAACAAATAAAGATTTTCCTCCTTTCAGGTACTAAGTAATTATTCTTTTTAAAAACGCATATAGAATGAGTAACAAACGACAAATAAATAAGTTACGTTTCGAGGGCGTTTGTGACAATACATTAACTTTTGCTCGCGACTTCGTCTGCGTGGAATTAGTGATTTGGGTACCTTATTTTTTGCCCAATCTGCGTTTTCATCAATCTGCTTATTATTTAATTAGCAAAAGATTAAAACTGCAAGTAAAATTTTATTTTTCCATCATCATTTACCTATTGGGTCCCCACTGCTGAAGCACAGGTCTTCTGTATATAAGTTATGGGATTGCGACTTCACCTACCAAGCGAGCTCAGTTTGTATTTGTGGATGCTAATGACTGCTAATGCAGTCAGGATCTTGTTATAACATATTTTTCTTTTAGTATAGAAAAGGAATAATAGAAATATATATAAAACAAAACAATCCTAGTATTAATCTGTGGATAATGTTGTTGGTTGTACAATAAGTATAACATATTTGTAAGCCTTTCACTTAACATATATTGTACAACTGTCTATTATACCTAATAAAAAAAAAGGATCAACGGCTAAACGTGTCTTCCGAAACTAGGAAGAGTTCGAGATAGTAAATTTTTGGTCATCTATCCGATAAACGGTCATTAGGTCACAAGTTATGCGGGTTACCTGCGTAGGTATAAGTAGGTATTTCGTACTCGCGGGTGTTAGCTAATTCTCAATTTAACAGGTACTTTCTAGAATGCGTCGATCGGCGTATATAGCGCGATTGGCGCCGCGCAGAGACAGTTGAGTTTCAACACCGATTTCGGAGCGAATCCAAAGGCGATCAAAGTGCAACAAGAGTGTTCAAGTGCGATTTTGTTTTTTTTAATAAGAATAATCATTAACAATGGCTTTATAGCCCTACAAAGTTCAGAAATTAAAAGGTCTCTAAAAACCTACTTAGACTCATTTAATACCTAACTATTATACCTTATTCTATTGGCCAAGTAAAAACACACAAAATAAAATCTTTATTGTCAAGCTCATACCTATAACTAACTTAATATCGAACAAAAACTATATTTCACTTTCGCCTTAATTATATCTAAACTACTATCATAATCTCGCGGAGCCCGTTGTTAGGTCGCTTGTTGCTCATTGCAGAAAAAACTTCTGGGAGACATGATTTTATTTATTTTTAAGCATTTAACTGCTAGATGTTTAAATCTAAAGAAAAGTTTACTAGAAAAAAATCCGTCCGGTCCGGTCAGTGCATTCGCCCGGATAGCGAAGGATGCGGGTTCGAGTCCCGTCCGCTGCCTGGTCCGCGTGGATTTTTTTTCTAGTAAACTTTTCTTTAGATTTAAACATCTAGCAGTTAAATGCTTAAAAACTAAATAAAATCATAACTATAATTGCTATTTCTTCTTTCAAATGTTTAATACTTGAAAAAGTATTCATTTGACATTGTGGGTTACCTACAATGCGAAGAAATGGCGCTGCCTTGCAGCTTAAGGCTAGGAAAATTTTAACGCGGCTAATAGGGCCGTGGTAGCATAATGGTCAGTGCATTCGCCCGGATAGCGAAGGATGCGGGTTCGAGTCCCGTCCGCTGCCTGGTCCGCGTGGATTTTTTTCTGGGAGACATTTTGTGCCATTGGGCGTTGATGCTGCTTTGGTCTCGAAATGGAATTGAAATTAGGTACCCCGCCAAGGTGAAGAAACTAGCGATCAAAATTTTCCCTGCGCTCCTCGATCATTTTATTTTCGTAGGCATTGGGTCATTTTGAAACAGCCAAACTGTAGACTGACGTTTTGTTTCTGGATTGTATTGATAAATCCAGGGTTCATTACCTGTCACAATATCGTAAAAGCGCCGTGAAGAGCCTGCATCAATTTTTATTTTATCTTTATTTTGGAAACAAACAATGAAATAATACTTATACCTAGATCTAATTGAGAAAACATACATCAGTAAAGTTTCCACTATAACATATAAAGGAGTCATTGGTGAAGCCTCCTTAGAACACGATTCCTGCCGGCTTCCTTCGGCAGATTCAAAGGTTAATGCAAATGACATAATAACATTGCGCGTTTTGTAAAAATATTATTCAATATGCTGAATACAAAATACGCAATGTATTTGAAATCGCGCACACGCACGCATGGGTCCGCTCTACGGTAGTAGGCTGGAGAAATCGGAAATAATATTGGGAATTAAAACTATTAAAATGAAAGCACTTCACACAGACATACAGATTACTATCACATGCAACCACTCGTCGATATAACAGCGCTTATAAGCCGATCGTAGATAGCCTGCAAGCTTTATTTGTCATGGTTTAAGGTTTCGTTTCGCTTGAAAGTTTTTGTAAAATCAGAGTAATTTATCATTGACAGGCCACAGGCAAAGGTCATTATTTCGCGCGCATTCGCATGGTCATTATTCGTATGCTAATTTATCTATTGTGATAAGTGATTAGCTTGATTGTGGTATATAGTACAAAAGAATCGAAAGTAGTGAAATTTTACTTGCCAAGTAAAGTGTTTGTTTTATTTCATCGTAAAGTTTTGTTTGTTTTTTTTTTTGTTTCTTAGCGTCACGTAGGAATGGTAGCGTGCAAATAGATTTTTGTCTCACAGATTACCTATAAAATGAGTTAATTTCGTTATCAAAACAATCGTTCGGAAATAAAACGTAGTCTGGGGTCACACGGCCTTAGGCTCTGTCTACTCCGTAAGGGATAAAGACGTGATACTATGTATTATTATGTAGAACATAAATAAATACTTGCGGTATTTCTGCTGGTATTTATTTCTGATGATGATGCTGGCAAGTTCAATTTCACTTATATTTGATTCTTTGTTTGTCTATATACCTATTTATAATCCGCGTGTGAGTGACCTGTGCTGTAAACGGCCTTTTTAAATGCCGCTTTTATCATACTCGACATGCACTGTTCATATAATACCAGTAATGTCATGTACGGTGAAGGTGGTGAACACTAAATAACTGTAAAGCAAGCATGTTCTGTCGCATGAAAAAACTGCATACAACGCAACGCAAGAACCATATCTAACAGTTCCGTCGTAGTTTTGGGATAGGCAAACTAACACACTATGTAATTTATTACATGTTTTTTTACAAGTTATGATATGTCATTTTGCTTATTCACGCGTTAGTCGTTTTTTGGTCCGGCTTTACCTTTCCATAATGTTCACCCCAAGCTACTGAAAGGAGTTCAGATTGTTAGAATCGAGAAGGAAAAAAAAGGTTACAAAAAATAATTATGAACTATCTACGTATTATATCGTGTATATATTTTTTCCAATAATTGATTGTATTATTTATATCGTTTTGTATCATATCACTGCATTAATCCACACGGGCCTACTTCTGAGCTTCAGTGAGGTAGTGCGGCACCCAACGGGAAACTATCCTCCTGACGCAAAGGTGCTCGTGCGAAATCTTGTGAACATTCCCTGAACCAATCTGCAGAGTATGCTGAATCTCTTCGTCTGATAACTACTACTTAATTAATTCAACTGTTTTCTTGAATTATTTTTTTTTACTGCCAGCACATTTTCTTCGGTGACAGCCGTCGTAGGACGACCACTCCTATTTTCATCCCCCAAAGAAAGACGACCGCGTTTGAACTCGCTACACCAGCGGTAGATGCTTTTGAATATTGTTCATCTATAAAAGCGGTTCGAAATCGATAAAATGACTCATCAGGTTTTAAGCCACATTTAAAATCATGAAAAACCATAGCACGAAAATGTTCTTGATGCAGATCCATTTTCAATGAGACAAGAAAATATTCATTAGCTCTCGAAAAAATGCGAAGGGAAATTCGAAAATCGAACAGTGGTATTTTTACTTTTCGAATAATCGAAGTTTCCAAAATAATTACAAGTGGCCAGTGTCTCATACATAAAATCTATTTGTTTGCAAACCCTTCTGAGTGGCTTAAAAGTACAGAATAGATTAGAAGTTCATTAAACTATGTGAATTGATCATTTGAGTACTACATAAAATGATTTCTTCTAAAGGAGAAATAAGTAGCTTAGTGGAACTAGTGAGAAACGTGATTTCTAGAAGTGTTCTTGCTACGTCGTCTATCTAAAAACTTGATAATAAATAATAAAGTTAGAAAAAAATATATGTATAAAATCATTTTGAAATACAAGCTTTTATATAAATGCTCTTTTATGAAGATATACACAGACATCCGTTTATTCGTATATGGTATTGTTCTCAACAAACTCTTTCCGTCCCACATCGTGGGCCGTTCGCCATATTGGATTTGGAATGTCGAAACTAAATGTGTTTGCAAAATGTTGTCTCCATCGGTTGAGAATAACTGCATAGAATTACAGTTATAAGATTTATCCCGAACATACAAGTAAAATAAATGAGGAGCTTTTAAATAATGTACCTAATTATTTCTGTGGAATAACTACCTTAAACAGGATGTCCCCAAAAAGAGCCAAAACATAAAAATAATTAACAACTTCAACCTGTACAAGCTATAGCACTGTAAAAAGACTATTTTGAACTTTCCTTTGTAACTTGCTTCTGCCCACAACTAATTCTTCTTAGGTTAAATTATCACATATCCACTATTGATAAGTTAGAGAATCTGAATCTGTAATTTGTTTATCTAGAAAGACTGAAACTCAATTCTCACAAAGGTTCTAAGAAAAGTAGCACACAAGCATTAATACACAATATTTATTTTTCTGTAACAAAGCAACCATAAAATGCCTTCCGTTCAAAATATTATGTTAGATGATCAACAAAGCTGGTGATGCAACAAATTAGAGTATAACAAACAAAAAAGTTCCTACACTATTTCAAAACGTACAGTCATTATAATAGTAAAACAAAAAAAAAACTCAGCCTAAATTAACGTATAAAGTGTATGGCCAACAAAGCTAATAGCAGCATCAGGGGCGTTGTAACAGTAGCTGCTGAACTTCTGGCTAACACGGAGGTATGGATCGCCAGAGCATTCTCGCTGCCCCAGGTTAGTTGGTCCATTGCTAAATTGACGACTCCAAAGGCCATGAAGAAACTGCTACCCAATGCCAGTTGATTTTGATTCACCCACGTTCTGAACTGAGGAATAATTGAGCCATTGTTAAGAAGATCGACGAAGGGCTAGATTTTCACATAAGAAAGAAACCAGTTTTGAACAATATTGTTTTGAATTACCTATATTACCCAACAAAGCAAAATAAGTAGGTCCTTATTTAACCTATCTATTAAAAAAATAACATCACGCTACTTCTAACGGTTATTACAACATTAACTTTTCCATGAGAGGATTTTTATTGTGACGATGCAGACCTGAAAAGGCTGCGAAACGTCAATAAATAAATAAAGTTCGTACATTAACCCGTTAAAACTAGTTTTATTTAATTAAGTATAATATAATATGCAACTTGTCGATTCACAAGGAGTCAATTTATTACGAAATATATAATTATGATTCTGATTGCTGGCGTTGACAAATTTTCCTCTCTGCCGTAATTTATTGCATTCATTTTATTTTCTATGTCGTTAAAGAACTTATTCATATCATTCTAAGCTTCTGTTGAATATTTTCAGAGTCTATTAGGTTTCGGAGGCTTATCACCCCGGTCATCTGTTATAATGGATTTAGTATCTGTAGTGGATAAAGACGTTATGACGGATACATTAATAAAAAATAGTAACGTTGACAAAGAGTTTCTGTTACATCACCACGTGGGTTAAACAAATCCTTCGATAATATAATTTATCCGAATATTGAGTCATGGAAACTTACTCTTTCAATATCTGCGAAGTTCGTCAAAAAATCTACTATATTGAGCAGGTTCATTATGAATTGCGATTCACCACCATGTCTGAAATGGAAACATACATCAGCCTTAGTAAAATTTTACACTGATTAATCTTATTTTGTGCTGAATATAATATAATAACTTTTTAAATGACAAATTTTCCTCACTTGTATCGAAATAAATCGAAATTTGGTTTTTTGTACATTGTTCTGATTATAGCTATAGTGAGTCTATCAAAATTCTGCAAATTACTCTAGTACTATCGGGGATAACTATAATATATTTCTATTTATTTTTCATAATATACCAGTGTGTTTTCTATTGCTTCCCATCTAAAATGAGGACACTTGTTTAAGTTAGCTGTGATAAACCATGCATTATGTCTATCACTTTTATTTTAACTTACATTTATTAAACATCTCTACTCAACTTCTTTGCATTAACAGTATTAGAAATTTTTTTAACGGCTAACGATGACTTCGACTAATTTCAATTCAACAATAAACTATTTCACATACGCTTCCCTAATCGCAGCGAAGTGTTCAAAGAGGAATTCGAGAACAGTATCCAAGTTTTCCCTGTTTCCTTGTAGAGCGAAGGCAAAGGCATTAGTTCTGTCATGAAGACGGATTCTGTCGTTGATGAGGGTCTGGTGAAGGTAGCTGCGAAAGAAGCATAACTGTATCAGTTTATTTCGTAAGTTACATACGTAGTTCTATTACAATTCCCAATATAAACACTGTTTATCTGCGACAAATATAATGTCGACGTTACCTTAATCCACATTTTGTCATACCTATATTGGGTTAAAAAACATGTCTACAATATATGTGCAGTGTGCAGGCTAAACAAGCACAAGAAGCAGTCCCAAAGCCTATCTAGGTACAGGATACAAGACTTATATCACAAGCCCGTTGCCGATTGCTGTCATAACGTCTTCAGACCTAATGAGGAGTTTCTTCAAAAGAGAAGAAATCATAACTTGAGTCTCTCTTTGACCGTAATTTTCAATATTTATATTGTTTTAAACTTTCATGGTCACTAACATTATAGCTATTAACGGGATTGTTATCTATTAAAGGGTTTAAATTGTCAAGTATCTGGAATCCAGTGGTTCGTATGTGTATAAACCGCAAAAATAAAAAAGTGTCGTTCCGCGATATGATACTGTGAGTATTGTGTGTCGGGAACAGGTGCGAGTGAATAGTGCATATGCTCATAAAAAAAAGGTACATGGTAACAATCCCGTTAATAGCTATAATTTTCAATATTTTTTTATTTTATTAATTTATATTTTGACAACGTTACAAGATGTTATTAAATTTGAACTAAAATGCCCCACGTATTAACATCAGAATAGCTCAATCGATTTGGCTGTTTGTTGCATTCGTCATTGTGAGAAAAATGTATGTGTGAAAGAACGTTTTTGTTAAACAAAAACAACCAGAAAATTATAGTAGTGTTTTGTGTTAAAATAACAACTTTTAATTGCACCCACGCGGACCAACTTTGGATCTCTAGTAACAGACATTATTAACAATAATTTTGCAATGTCATTAATATTTTGGTAACACTATACATCCAGGACCCAAAAGGTGATACTTGTTGTTTTTTTTTAGAAAAGGTCTTTTTTAACAGATTTTTTTTCTGGCGCTTCGCCGGCCGCAACCGCTACACGCTCGCTTTGCTCGCTCGGCTCGCGCGTTATGGTCACAACACTAACCTAATCTAACCTAGTGTGAAGTTTCACCACTTGGGCCCTGGAAGTACAGTTTAGCCAATATTTTTTTTTGTCTATGAACTTACTGGTTTAAGGAAGTGGTATTTTTGGTGCAAGCGAGAGCCCGCAGCATGACCACCATGTCCGCAGCGTTCTCCGAAGTCATGTAGCGCTGCATAAGGAAATCATAGTCTGAAGAGTCGCCTTCTCTGAGACCAACGCAGTAGACATAGCGGCGCTGGTTCACTGGCACTCTGGAACATTAGTTGTACCTTTGGTTAAACATTGTAATCTTAAACAACTAAACATGTAACTGATATCAAAGAAGTAGGTCTGAACAGCTTTTTTAATCGCGACAGCCGTACAGTATCACGTACACCTTGCCTACCCTTTTTTTTTATAACGCAGGTAAAAAATGCTATTTACAGACGACGGCGCCTTTAAGAGGCACACCGCCGAACGGACCTCACACCTGGCTCCCGCAAGTCTTACGGGCCCCCCAGTGGCTGTCCACCGAGGACCCCGCAACCCTTACGGGCGCTTTACGGCATAATATCCGCTAAAAAAGTCCTGCGAATACCCTCTAAGCTGCTTAGCGCGAAGCCGCGGGATCCCCGTTTAGGGATACTTCCGCGTCTCCGCACCTAGCAGCCTCCCGGCCTAGCCGGGGCTCCACGGCAGGGGTCTCCCGGGGTATCACGGGGACCCCGCAGACGACACCTTGCCTACCCTGACTCCGTCGGTAACCTCATGAAACCCTTAAATCTCACACACTGATAGCAACAAAACACCACAAAAGAGTAAATGTTATTTCCCATTGGTCTTTTGCCAGTTAGTGGGCGCTCCATTACAATCATTATTTCCTTGCCTACAACGTGAGGAGATGTTGTCTTTCAGCGTAAAACAACTAAGAGAACTTTGAAACGTCCGTGACGGTCTAAAAGTAGCATGATGGCCAAAACATTCGCCCGGATAGCAAAAAACGTAGATGGATTCCATTCCAGCCTGGCCTAAGGTAAATTTTTCAAGTATATAATTCATTGGCCATAATTGAGCTCAATATTCGGGATAGTTCACCTATTTTGCTATCTTGATAAAAAATATATACAATTATCATCAACCAAAATCAAATAAAATTTACAGAATCGATAATGAGATATTGCTTACAAATTGCTAGAGTTCTGTTTGAAGCTGTTCCATTTACGGAGACTATCGCTGATGCAGCCAGCATGTCCGAGGTTGCAGGCCAGGTTCATGATCTGCATTCGATTCAAAATCGTCGACGTAGAGTCAGTGCTCCTCTCATCGTATCCGAGATGATTGATAACAGTAGTCATCTGTTGCAACATGTATCTCTGAAAAAAGAAAATAATATAGTAGTAACCTTATTGATTGTGCTGTTACCTATTAAACAATTTTATCTTTGTTCACTTTTCTCAATTTAAACTGGATTTTTATCAACTACAAATAATATAATAGAAGAAAAGGAATATGTAAATTATAAACAAGTATTTAAATATTAAATAACAATCGCAGTTTTTGAACTTACAGTGAACAGTTCATGTGCTTTCGGCAGATGTTCCATTCTGCTTCTAATCCAGTTAAGTTGACTAATAGCACCAGCCCAAACATAGTAATCAGTTTCAAAACTCAGGAACGACAACACATCAAATGCCCTATCAATGTCAATCTTTCCAGCCCTGATGAAGTAAAGGACGTCATTGACGATCTGAAATATATTTTAAAATATTATTTATTACTTCAGTGTTTATTAATATTACTATATCAATAATATTAGGTTCAACTGAATTTTATCTCATTTAACGTTGTATTAAAATTAATTTAGAGAGCAGTTTTGAAGGTTTCTGCTTTCCTTCAATTTCTGTATCCCACTAATCTTCTCTATAAGTGTTGTAAAGTACTAACTGTTAGGCAATTGTATATAATGCACATAGTTTTAAAAATGCCGCACTACCATTTAATATTGACACTACTAACAAAAGACGAAAGATATAGTTTGCCGGCAAAGTATTTTTACAAAGCATACTTTTGCTTCCAGATTTTATTTATTTCTAGGACCATTTATATACAACCGACTAAATAGCAAACTAAATATATATATATATATAAACTTATTATTCACGATGTCTTATTAAGTATGTCCTACGATGATATAGAGATGTTGATGTCCTTCTCAAAATAAATAGTACCTTATCTTAGAGTACATTTAATTTATGGTAGGTATATTATAATGCTGATTTAGTTAATTGTTGTTTTGGTTTTATTTTAAAAAATATAGTTTTTGTTTATTATATACACATATATACAGTCGTAGAAGACTTTTGCTTGAAACACAGGTTTACCTAGTTCAGGCTATAGTAGAAGTTATATATCTTTGGTTATTTATAGAATTAAGCTATTTATTGTAAACAGAAATCGAATAAACATTTATTATTATTATTATTAATTAAAACCGGAAGTATGGCCGAGTAAAACATGGCGGGGCAGTGAGAGTTGACGAGGAGCATTCTGCTGATAGCCGTCGAAGTATTCCAATATATCGTCTGTTATTACTAATATACGAACTGCTAATTCGGAGTTAAATAAATAAGTTTCTGGTTTTTGAAGGAGTTATTTCACAATACATGTTAGACGACCTCCGTGGCCGTGGTGTACAAATCACTGTACGCCGGGATGTATGGTGTTTCGACTCGAGAGGTCCCAAGTTCGAATCCCGGTGGAGGCAGATGTTTGTGTGATGAATACGAGCATTTGTAGTCTAGTCATGGATGTTTAATATGTATTTCTATTTAATATATACATATGTATGTACAGTTTATCTATTCCATCCGTTATCCCAGTATCCCATAACACAAGCCTCAGTGCTTACTTTGGGGTTAGGCTAATTGGTGTGAGTGTTGGAAATATTTATTTAATCAGCATTAGATTAAATCAAACTAATTGAACTAATGGATGAATTGGAGCGACATTTTTTACAAGTTTACCTGAGCTCTGTTCAATTTATGGACAGTCAATCTGTTGTTGTTGTTTCGTCTGAGAAAAGCAGCAATCATTTCCCAATTATGGTCATCATAATTTACACGATATAGACCTGCAAATACAGAAATTATATTGGAGAATAAAATAATTATTCCAAATTCTGAGATCTTTCTTTTATATACACACAATACCATTTTGAGTTTAAGAGAGGAGTAGTAACGCTAACTGTCAATACCTGACTGTGCAATGTTGAGGATCACAAAGTTGTGGCCTGGTGTGTTCTGAATTGTATGTGAATCGCCACTAAAGATAAAGCTAGGTCTAGTATTTTGAAAGCTGAAGTTTCCACTGTGAGTCCATGTGATTGGAATATGCCAACGAGTATTTGGAACCCACTCGGTTGGCGATGCGTAGAATCTTTCCTGTTTAGAATTAGAGAGAAAGATAATAGAGTAATAAATTATATCATTTTTTTACATTAAAGAAAGGAATCGTTATAATTTTTATTTTTTAGGCATGGAACTGTTTGATGTTTAAATGCTATTTCTTTTTTTAAAATGTTAAATACTTGCAAAAGTATTCATTTCACATTGTGGGTTACCTACAATGCGAAGAGATGGCGCTACCTTGCAGCTTAAGAACGGCTAGAAGAATTTCGACGCGGCCATTATGGCCGACGGTAGCATAATTGGTCAGTGCATTCGCCCGGACAGTGAAGGGTTCGGGTTCGAGTCCCGTTTGCTGCCTAGTCCGCGTGGAATTTCTTTCTAGTAATATTTTCTTTAGATATAAATAGGAATCGTGTAAAGTGCACTTTCTGTCAAATGAAAACACTCTTAAAGTAATTAAATATATTTCTCATCGCAATTCATAATATAATAATGAATAGTAGTTCGTTTTCTGCATATTTGTAGGATAAGTTACAAAATAAAAGTGTACTTTGTATAATTGTTTCCGAAATATTTTTCTCTTAGGTCGCTATAACCTTCACTCATACTAAAATTCATTAAAATTGAATTAGAACCGACGGACCAATAGAACAACCTTTATTATCATAAATCTATTGACTGACTAAGTTCCAATGTTTGATCATATTTTTTCTTCGTAATCACTTAGAAGAATGATTTCGTTAATCATTTGGCATATAAAAAAGATTACCCACCTGAGTAAGCGTAATGAGACCAGTTGACATATTAACATGTACATTGACCACAGGAGACCCAGGATTCTGGACCCAATTGTCGAGAATTGCGCCCACATCTACATTCGGGTAGAGTTTTCTGAATTCCATATCCTCCGCAGCGGCTCTTCTCAAAGCATCGTATAATTTTTGAGGAGTGCCTATACCGTAAGCGCTGAAACAAAATGCTCGCTGAATAGTTAATTTGGTGTTTGGGGTGGTTTGTGATAATTGGAATTCGATTATATCGAATACTAATATAGCAATAATAAATGGTGGTTTAATTTAAACACACCCATTGTCTTACTTTTCTCTTAAATAATATCTCAATCCCATTCTGAAACAGCGTGGACCTAGGAAATGCTCCATCATTCTCAAAACTGAAGCTCCTTTGGCATAACTCGTGACACTGAAGTGAGATGAAATTGATGGGTTGCTGTCAACCTCCGAGAAATTCATTGCAGTTGTTTCGAAAGAGTCAGAATCCAATGCGCTGTGCACTTGATCTACGACAAATTGGTCATCTAACTCCAATGAAGGATTAGCCTGTGAAGTTGAAAGCATATAAAGAAATTATGAAAGTAACGAATTATTAGTGATTAGATATGTTTGTCATTATCGAAAAATATGTACCTCATGAACACTGAAGTATTCGAATAAGCTGGCAAAGGACTCATTGAGCCAAAGGTTACTCCACCAGAAGCAAGTGACTAAATTGCCAAACCACTTGTGTGCGAGCTCGTGGGCCATTAAAGTGGAAATGAAAATTTTGTTGATAAGGTTTGTGTGGTTCTCGTCGTAAAGTAGATAAGCTTCCCTGGAGACAATTTTTATGATAAGAATTAAATGGGCTCAAACTTGGTCAAGCATTTTTTAATTAATTTGAAGTTTTAGTAAGTTGCAAGGGAACGAACTATTGAATCTAATTTAATTACTAATAATTAAATTAGAGTCAATAGCTCGTTCCAGCTGTTAAAAGACAAAGCACAAAAGATCAGATACTATAAAATATAAAAGCATTTATCATGAAAATATCTTTCACTGTAAAATTGTAATTTCTGTTACATTATAATCTATCTCGCGAGATTATAAACTGTCGAAAGATTGTGAAACATACTGTTTACAACTTACCGCATTATTTTTCTATAGATTATAATCTATAGAAGTAAAACTGTTTAAAATACAATCCATCGCGCATTTAATCCATCGAGCGTTAAATTTGCGTTTAACTGTCCGAAGGTTGTCCCTGATTGGTTAGACTTTCAGTGGGCCGTTGGCTTCCTAGATTATAATCTACCAAAAAATAATGCGTTAAATTGTAAGTACTTTTTGACTGTTTACAATCTCACGAGAAAAATTCTAATATAATGGTATTTGCAATTTTAGAGACACATATTTACCTGTAATTAACCATACCCCAGTTTTCCATAGCTCCAGCTGCAAAATCGGGGATCGCTAAGTGGTCATTCTTCATGGGCTGTCCCTGTCCCATGTCATTGTAATCGATGCCAAAGTAATCATCCATCACATTGGTAATAGCTAATCCGGTTTCGGCAGCGTAAAGATGTTGGTTGGTTACTCCTGGACGAGAGACTATCCCGAAGGGTCTCGTGTTAGTGTGAGTGTAATTTGTTTCCACGAAGTCACTTACAGTAAACGCGACAAGGTAGGCAGAGACGATTGGAGTTGCAAAGAATGTTTCACGTAGTCGTTCACCGACCCTATGAAATATATGAACCGTTAAGACAGCATAATTATGCTAAAAGGATTCGAACAAACAATATTTTAAGTAACTTTCTTTTTACCCTATTTTATGTAATCAATGTGAAATGTATAAATATTGTATAGGTATAGCAAAAGATATGATTAGATCGACTGAAATACACTATAAGACACAATAAGAATAAGAACGAGACTCACGTCGATGTGAGAGCAATGGGCATGTTTGAGTAGGATGGACTGAGGCTGGGGTCACGTGTGATAGAGATAATGAATCTTGACTTGAACTGTGGCTCGTCGAAGCACGGGAAGGCCATCCTGGCATGATAGGGCTGAAATTGCGTGGTTGCATAGTACCTGTTAATCAGAAGGAAAAATGTATGAACATAAAAATAATGAAATAATTACATTTATCGATTTTATTAGAGCTATTATACCTAAAATCAAAACAAAAAAATATATTTAAACTATACAGGAATATGTGGCATTCTTATAGTGAAAGATTTTTAAATCTATCTATTAGTTTCATATAATTTGGAACTGGGACTTTACGTAGTTCCATTTTCGTCCAAAAAAGCAATTCATGAACTGTTTTGTCACAGAGTTTGAGATTAACATTAGGCTTTATTATTTATCTACTTGGGTAAAAACTTCATTTTCACGTTTAGATTTCAATGCTTGCATTTGATTGATCCATGTTTAAATAAAAAAAAATCCCTTACCGAATCTCGTTGTTTAGGAAATAGTATCCCCTGTAGAAACCATTTTCTAACTGGTTCAAGTTCATGGCGCCCTGATAGCGGATGCTGATGCTGTAGTTCCCAATAGGGAGAGGATCGGCGAAGTTGATGCTGAGGATCTCATAATAGTCATCAGTTGTGTAGGGATCAGGGAATTGGAGGTTGACGGGCCTACCAACTGAATCCACCACGTTCACTGTCTGTATGGAAACTACTTTTTGATGCATCACGATATGACGTAGATTCTCTTCACGTGTCTGAAAGGAGAAGCTTATATTTTATATATTTTTAATATTTTTTATTTATTTATTTAAACTTTATTGACCAAAATATAAACTTGAAATAATATAGATAGATAATTCTAAAATATTACTGTGTTTTTCTGTTTCTTCAAATTTGAATTCGGTCAAATAATTCTCTTTTATTATCTTCTCCCTTGTTTCTTAGCCTACTGACATACATCAAATATTGTAATTGGCGTGGAAACTTCCTACCTGTACGTCCAGACGTACAAAGCCGTTGAATCTGGCTTCTTGCAAATACACATCCAGATCCACATACATGTCTTTTGGCTGTACAACGTCAGTCAGGCGGTATTTTGGGTCGTCCAGGTTGGTGCTACGATCTTTGACTACAGATCTGGCCATGAATTCCAGTTCGGGGGGTACTGCCACGGCCCCCAGCAAGAGACAAGCAAATATCGGGATCAATATGTTGGAACCTGTTAAAAAAATATTGATAATTTGAAAACAAGGTGGACTCTCACACTTCTGCATAATGGTTAGGGGTTTAAATTTGAAACACAAACAGCTGTGCCAGCTGTCTTCGCGTTTGGACTCTATCACCACTTAACGTCAGGTTGGGTAGAGTCATTATGAAGTACACGCACGAAGTTGCATTGCAGAAGAAAGTAATTCGGAACTTGTTATCCCAAAAAAATAAAGGCTAAAAATCACCTTTATATGCAGCAGTCTTTGAGTGACTATTAGACCAAAAGGTGTTCTTACAATGGCTGACCAAAATTACATGTTACATATATTTTTGTATGGAAGCTGGGCTATTACATTGTATATACTCTTTATTGCACACAAAAATTGTAAGATACAAAACATAAATATGTGAGCAAAGGAGGGCTTATCTCTAAGGGAGATCTCTTCCAGCCAACCAAGGTTTAGTGAGAGAAAAAAGTAAGCGGGTGTAGAGATGTGCACTAAGTACTTACTTGCAGATTATATACCTATCTAAGACTACATACATAAATATATATTCATATGTATATACACAAATACTTACAATAAATACATACATACACACATACATACATATATATACATATACATACTATTGAACAGAAATGAAATTATTTTCTTATGTAAGTACAAAAAATAGACATCCTCGTAATAATAAATTACAGTTTTCAAATACCAAAAAAGTTTTTTTTGTTATATAGTCAGGTAGGCCTGATACCTCCATGGCCGAGTAGTTTGTACGCCGGGTTTCATGGTGTCGCTGACTCGAGAGGTCCCGGGTTCGAATCCCGGTGGGGGCAGATGTTTGTGTGATGAATATGAGCATTTGTACTCCAGTCATGGATGTTAAATATGTTATATATGTACAGTAAATATACTTATATATGTACAGTATATGTATTCTATCCGTTACCCTATAATATCCCATAACACAAGCCTTACAGTGCATACTTTGGGGCTAGGCTAATTGGTGTATTAAAAAAAAATTTAGAAAAACAAACAACTGTACAATAATTTTTGGTAGCAATGAAGTTGATATAAACTTACTTAATAGGATATTTGACAGTATTAAAAATAAAGTGCTAACTGTTAGGATCTGTATTTAGAATGAATATTGGCAGGAATTTTTACTATTTTTACAGAAAAAATATTCATAATTTTACTAAAAACCCACGATAAAGATAATAGTTTTCTTGTCTATTGTCACGTGACCCAAAACGCATGGGATTGGTGGAGCCTAAAATGACGTCACACGCAAGTAAACTTCCAGTTAAAGTGATATTTGATTGTATGGTTTCACGTTTAAATGACAGTCGTGTGACGTCACATACCAGTGAGACGTCATATTGTCCAGAGATACGTTTTTCGCGGCAACTTGAAAATAGAGTTTTTGATTTGGTTTTTTTACCGAAATACACAACATAATGATGAATATCTTTTTATGGACGCTATAAACATTAGTAAAAAACGTTAGATCGTTTTCTAAAAATTGTCAAATACCCTATTGTACAATCTACACCGTTATCCTTAGTTTATTTAAAAAAGAAAAACATCTCAAAAATATGAAAATCACTAAAAAGTATTTTAGCAAAAAGTGTAATTTAAGTACATATTATTCTTGTTTAGATAATATAATACATTTAATTACTTAGCTTAAAAAAATGTAACAAGAATTATTTTAGGGTATCAAACACAGCGATGAGACCATAAATTCACGAGACAAGTAAGTAAGCTTCTTAGGCCCGTATTATAGAAAGATTCTCAGTGATTGATCTAGTATTGAGCATATTTAGAAAGGGATATCGCTATTTACACAGTCAGGTCATAAGTATTGTCACACAGTAGAAACTTTTCTTTTAGAATGCTGGCCACAAAAAAGTTTATTGAATTCGAATTTCGAATTGTTCTTGAAAATAAAATGTATACTTTTTAAAATTTTACTCATTTTTTAAATGACGAAAAAGAGTGCTTAAAGAAGTTGCAGGTATTGCGTTGCATCGTTGCGGTTACGGGCCAATTCAAATTTTTGAAATGAAAAAAAAAAATACCGTTGAAGAGAGCTACAACAAACAAAATGATAAGGTGTACGCACACAGTAATGAAGAAGCGAGCAACCGTATTCCGCGTGTCCAACGAGGTCATTTTCCATCCTCGCTCATGGTTTGGTTGGGAGTTTCTTATTGGGGCTTAACAGAGGTACATTTTTGTGAAAAAGGTGTAAAAACGAATGCAGTTGTGTATCAAAACACAGTCCTGACGAACCTTGTGGAACCTGTTTCTCATACCATGTTCAATAACAGGCACTGGGTATTCCAACAAGATTCGGCGCCAGCTCATAGAGAGAAGAGCACATAAGACTGGCTGACGGCGCGTGAAATCGACTTCATCCGGCACGAAGACTGGCCCTCCTCCAGTCCAGATTTGAGTCCGTTAGATTACAAGATATGGCAACACTTGGAGAAAAAGGCGTGCTCAAAGCCTCATCCCAATTTGGAGTCACTCAAGACATCCTTGATTAAGGCAGCCGCCGATATTGACATGGACCTCGTTCGTGCTGCGATAGACGACTGGTCGCGCAGATTGAAGGCCTGTATTCAAAATCACGGAGGTCATTTTGGATAAACTTTATAGTCAAGAATCTATGTTTTGTTAAGTTCATTTTGGTATATAAATGGTTACATAATGAATAAACTTGTTTCAATTATTTTATATTAAACATGTGATAGAATTTATGACCTGACTAGGTATAGCACAAAGCGACATCCCTTTCGCTGTATTCAAGTAAAGATAAACACTCAGTTGTCATTCTGTAATACGAGCCTTAGTTTTATGATAACTTCCTTTTTAAATGAGCGCAGTGATAGGCAAATAATATCGAGATTGTACGACGCTAGGACGGACTTGCTTGGGTAGTAATAAGGTCTCATTGTAACACCTTGGGTATGGAACTATAACAATTAATAACAGTACGATGACGAGGCTTGAAACATTACGATCGTTCTAATAAAGTATAATTGATTCATTTCTTTATCAACATAATTGATATAAAGATACTTTTGGCTTTACCCAGAAATATCTAAAATTCACAAGTAGGCATTATCTAGACTGGCTTTTCCGGACGGACAGAAATGAAGGTTATGTCATACGTTTTCATAGTATCTTTTTCTGTATATTTAGAACGTATTTTCAACCGACGAAAAAATCGGAGAAGGTTACAAGTCCACGCGTATATAATTTTTTTATGTATGATCACATTGATTACAGCTTGTGCTTCGGAAGGCACGTTAAGCCGTTGGTCCCGGCTGCATCTGCAGTCGTTAACACCCACCAATCCGCACTGGGCCCGCGTGGTGGGTCATGGCCCAATCTCCCTATTCCATCCATAGGGAAGGCATGATGACGATGACATTGATTACGCATAACTTTTTGCAGAGAAGTCTGATTTTGATAATACTTTTTATTGGAAATGGTATACTCTGAAGTTGATCCGATATAAATTTGAAAAATATATCTATATAAATATATATATTAAATTGTCAGGACTACGGAACCCTTAAAAGGTTTATTATTCTCTACTTCTCAGTTTTTTCGGCGGTTATTTTTTTTTTGCTAAAAAGCTTTCACTACATTTTTAATTATCTTGACCCCAATAAAGTTATAACAACGAAACGATATCTAAATGTGGACCAGCTATGTGTGATTCAAGGGGAGGCTTAATAAATGTTTAATACATGCCCGTAACCAAAGAGGTCTTCATCAAAGAAAAGCGCGGTGGCATAGTGATATTAGAGCAATGGCTGGTCATAGAAACTCAGACTCCAACGTATTGGCTGTATTTACAGTTTTGTTAATACCAAAAAAATCCGTACTGGGTGGGTGGGTCATAGCCCATTATTCGTATATTATAGGAGATACTCATATGCCGTGAATCATAATAAAGTGCAATGCAGCCAGGTCCGATTTTCAAAAATCGGGAGGCATTATAGTAAAAATCAGTAGATGTATGAAAAGAGCTACAAGAAAAAAACAGTAGATGCAGAGGTGTACTTTTTCCAATAAAATCAAAATTGGTAAATCAAATCAAGATATAGGCCAGTAACGAATGTGTTTCTGTGGTTTTTGCAGCCACTCAAACTTTTTTTTAGGCAAAAACTTTTATTTTATGCACATATGCGTATTGCCCTAGAAGATTGGGACAAAGGAACATCTGTTGGGGGACGCGTGATAAATAACCTGAGATACGCAGATGATACTACCCTTGTCGCACAGACTCGAGAAGACATGGAAATTTTTCTAACCCGTCTAGAAAGTACCAGTCTCCGATTCGGACTTGCTATAAACCGAGACAAGACGAGGATGATGATAGTAGACCGAGCCAAACAATTTGGAACCAATGTACACAATATAGCCAACTGTGAAGTGGTACAGAACTATATTTACCTCGGATCTACTATATCAAGCACCGAAGGATGTGGCGACATGATCAGACGACGGTGCGCCATCACCAGGTCTGCAGTGGAACGGCTAGGAAAGATTTGGAGGGACAGGAGAGTTACCAAGAAGACTAAAGTCAGATTGATGAAATGCCTTGTGTTTCCCATCTTTCTTTATGGAGCCGAAACTTGGTCTTTCAGACTGCAGGATCGCCGTAAAATCGATGCATTGGAGATGTGGTGCTGGAGACGCCTCCTAAAGATCCCGTGGACGGCATTTCGTGCCAATGTATCCATCCTCAAATACCTTCGTGTTAAAGGCAGACTCTCGTCAACTACGAATACTGAAGTTCTTTGATCACATCTCTAGAAATGAGAATTCGATGGAAAGGCTGGTGGTTCAAGGCCAGGTAGAAGGCAAGAGAGCACGCGGTCGATCACCAACCCGCTGGATAGACGCCATCATAAAGGCTACTGAGTCCACCATGGTTCAGTATACTCACGACGCCTCGAACCGTCAGAAATGGAAGCACAACGCCAGGAGAGCTACACTCGGAATTGATAGTGACCCACAGAAAACCTAAACATGTACCTCGTCAGTGCAACCACGACCACTCTGACAGGAGTGCCCGACTAAGAAGAAGATTTATTTTATAATAATTAAGGTTACCTACATTATTAATAGCGAAAAAATGCAACTCAATATGCATTTTAAAAAATAAAATCATATTTTAAGATAAACAGTACAATCATGTATAGAAACAGTAGAACAGGAGAATTATCAGAAAAACAGTAGATGTTCTGTAAAATCGGGAGACCTGACAATATTGACACGCACCAATCCTATCTGAGCTCTAGATTTTGGTCCATTTTCCATTGAAGCTCGTTCACGTAGTAAGGAACATTGGCTTAATTTACTAAATGGGGGAAATAATTTGTGGCTTATTGCCACATAACATACTTAGGGTCTTAAATCCAATCCAAAACATCACTCTATCCCTGTCAACATGTTTGAAGTCAGTAGTAATAGAATAAGGTTTAAGAATGATATTGAATTGAATAAACATAAACTTGATGTTTGGGAATAAACGTACTCGTGATGTCAATGACATACTCATACTACACAATAGATAAATGCATCAATATGCTTTAATAAATTTGGGTTAGATCTAGATTAAATATCACTCAATGCATAATATATACCTACAAATTAATCATATTTGAAGGAATAAAAATCTTTAAAGCACGTGGGTCTTAATTTCTAGCATTTACTCCAGAAACTAGCTAGGCATAGATTTTATTTAACAAACTACAGCTACTAATCTTGTGGGATAAAAAAAATGTTATCACGTGTACTTAAATTTGTGTGTACACTTACCCATAGTGACCAGGGCAACACTTAACTGCCGACTAAATGATGTTTTAATCAATTTTGTATTTTATCAGTTATCGCTTAATTATCTTCAAACTAAATTATATTCGAAGAAGCAACATTTACATAAAATCATGTTGATACCAATGCACCGTCCACTCACATTTTGATTTATGTGTCATATAGTATAAAAAACAAATAAGCGTAATTTGTTTTAGGTATAATTAGATAAATTTCGATCATTATCAGCCTATTAACGTCCTCATTGCTGGGGCACAGGCCTTCCCTATGGATGGAACAGTAAGATTGGGCAATGATGCCCATGACCCAAAACGCGGGCCTAATGCAGATTGGTGAGTGCTAACGACTGTAGATGCAGCACGCACCAATGGCTTAACGTGATTTCCGAAGCACGAAGGAGCTCGAGATCGAATATTTTCAACACTCACACCAATTAACCTAGCCCCAAAGTAAGCATTGTAGGGCTTGTGTTATGGGATGCTTGGGTAACGGATAGAATACATATACTGTATATATATAAGTATGTATATTTATATTGAAATACATATTAAACATCCATGACTGGAGTACAAATGCTCGTATTCATCACACAAACATCAGCCCCCACCGGGATTCGAACCAGGGAAGCGACACCATGAAACCCGGCGTACAAACCACTTTACTTTTATGCAGAAAGTCCCTAAAGTTTGTTCCGCCGTTAGATCTAAATAACAGGAGTTGGCGTAATCAAGTATAGGAAGAACTAGCGCAATTTTGGTGGCGTTGAAAGGAAATTACGTAGTCTTCTAAGAGACTTTGCCGACAGAAGTGAAAACTTGAATATTATTAACGTTGTGCATTTTTGATATTTTGCAATGATTAGGGAATAATTTTGTACGAATTGCTTTAATTATCAGTGTAAAAGTACTATCATGTGTGTGGTAGAATACAATATTTATTTAATGCGCTATCGTACATAAACATGACAATTTATATTGCATTAAAAAGTTTATCTCTCAGAAAAATCTATTTACATGAATCAGGTTTAAGCGCACTTAGCTACATCTATTGTAAAGAAGTCAACTTACATGGATCACATTTAAGCGCACCTAGCGATATCTATTGTAAAAAAAAATGCATTTTCTTCGCAATACAGACGTCCTAGATAGACACTTATTATTAAAATACGGTAAAATAAAATATTACTACCTTTCTACCAATATATTGAAAGTCATCGGCGCATTAAGTGACCGGTGCGGGCTACAAGAAGCGAGCAACGACGATTTGTAGCGTGCGGCGGCCACCGGCGTACGGTGTGTGGCGAGTCCATATAAAATTTATGAAAACTACAAGAAATATACCGGTGGCAGCGTTTTGTGATTGTGGTCGGTGGCCCGTGTGGCGGCGACACTTACTGCTACATAAAAATTTGGCGAACCTTTCCAATTTTATTGTGTGTCATGATGCGATCAGCCTACGTGTTTAACCTGAGAGTCGAACAAACTGTAGATGATTCTTTTGAAAACCGAGTATAGAGCAGACTGATCTCCGCTGGCAACATCCGTTCACGAGCATGACGCATGAACTAGCCATTGCTTCGGTTAACCATATTTTAGGGAACGTAACGACCCGCCTCACATGACACCACCGAAGAGATTTTTGATGTCTAAAGTCAGTTTCCATTGTCTCTCAACCTACCACATCCGGGACACCGCGTGAAATTAAATAAACCTCTAAAAACAAGAGCCCACTACATATTTTTATACATTACCTTACTCCACCTGATGTTAAGTGTAAGTGAAGTCCAGGTGTGAATATAGATGTGGAGTGGGGTAATTTTTAACCCATTATAAAAAACACTATTTATATTTCAAAAATAACAAATAAATTATTTATTTTGCAAGTAACATGGTACATACAATTTACAGGTGTTACATATTTTTATTATCCACTACATGTTACACTGAAATAAGCAAACAGAAGCTTTGTTTTTACAAAACTTTTTTTAATATTTTTAACTTTTGTCTAGTTTTAGTGTAGTTTAATATCTAAATGTAAATTGTTTTTTTTTAATTGATTTGTGATATATGTAGACGTTTTAGTTTCTTTAATATTTTTTTTATTGTTGAATGTTTTAGTTTTTTTTTATAGATAGGTCCGAGAAATGACTCCACGCCACCTGATGTTAAGTGAAGGTGAAGTCCAGACGCGAAGATAGCTGATACAGCAGTTCTACCTACCACACCAGCCATCCTCACCCTGCCGGCCTGCATGTTGCTTCTTCACGCCTCTTTTAAAGGATCCCAGGTTGTAAGAGGGAGGGAACACATGAGCGGGCAGAGCATTCCATTTACGGATAGTGCAACAAACAAATGAGTCTCCAAATTTCTTTGTACGTGTTGGAATTGTGGCCAAAGTTAGACAGACGGTGACAACGTAGGCCAGCGCGCGTGGTCCTCTGAAGGAAAGGGGAAGGTAGGATAAGAGAGAATAACTCCTCAGAACACTCGCCGTGGTACAGACGATAGAACGCGCTTAATGATGCAACGTTACGGCGTAATTGAAGAGGCTCAAGGTGTTTAGTCACTCATCGATTATGATGCGGATCGCGCGCCGCTTTAACCTATCCAAAGCATCGAGCGAGTACTTGGCAGAGCCATCTCAGAGGTGCAAGCAATATTCCACGCAGGACCGCACTTGCGTTTTGTACAACAAGCACAGTTGATCGGGCGTGAAAAAACGCCGCACCTTGTTTAGAACTCCGAGTTTGTGTGAAGCTTTTTTGATCACGGTTTCGATTGGTTGGATTTCATTGGATTCAGGTCTAAGCGAACTTCCATACCGAGCATGGAAATGTTGCTCTGGAACGGTAGTGTTGTGCCCTGAAGAGAGGGAAGGGGAAGGAATGGCGATTTTTTTGCCTTTAAAAATTAAATTAAATTTAAATAAAATACGAGAAATATAAAATAAAACAAAACTTCAGCTTTACAGTTCAAATATATCTGGACTCGAGCGAGTTCAAACTTGTAACAACAAACCAAAACAAAAATAACTTGGTTTTAATATTTTAAATTACGCTTAGGACTGATTGAATTGGCGATTCGGTTAATCGGCTTTCTACTGTATTTAAAAACTAGCGACTCGCCCTCGCTTCGCTTCGGTGTAGAGCTGAAGTGTAGACTACAGGTTTTGTTCTCAGGCTTGTATTATACACAATGACATTCATCTATGATTCTTCTTATACCTGCATGCAAAGTCTCAGCCCGATCGGTTTAACATTGACAAAGTTTCATACAAACTTTAATTCCCTATTTTATCCTCTTGGGGGTAGAATTGATCAAAATCCTTTCTTAGCGGATGCCTACGTCATAACATCTACCTGCATGCCAAACAGCCCGATCCGTCCAGTGGTTTGGGCTGTGCGTTGATAGATCACTATGTCAGTCAGTCAGTCACCTTTGAGTTTTATATAAATAGATATGGAATGATGTGTTCAGAAAGATTAAGGCTCAATTTGATTTCAGCATAATGGTGCAAACATTAAAAAACCCTAAAACGTATTAACAAAAAATGCGTGAGATTGATAGGATATCAATGATCGTTAACAGATACGAGTCAGGGTAGATAACAATAGCGTATATACCTATGACTCGAATAATTTAGTTTGAAGATAATTAGGCGATAACAGATAAAGAACAAAATTGATTAAAACACCCTTTAGTCGGCCGTTTGGTGCTGCCCTGGCCACTATGGGTAAGTGTACACAGAAATTTAAGTACCTACATGTAAAAACTAAATTTTATTCCCTCAAAATTAGGATCTAGGAGTTTGTTATATAACATTTTTACCTGACTACTTTCTGGAGAGAATGTTACAAATGAAACGCCGCGTGCATCAAAGTTTTTAAATCTAGTTTACCTTGTCATGTTTGAAGTCAGTAGAGAGAGATAGATAGCCATTAATAAAAAAAAACATGTCCTAACGTTATTCTGTCTTTTTAATCAATCATAATAATCATAATCAAAATCATTTATTCAGTTTTGGTTGTTACAAGCACTTATAAATGTCTAGAAGCTACGCCATCAGTTTGTAAATCTACGGCGGGCGACCTTGTACTGACAAGAACCGGCAAGAAACTCAGCAAGGGCTGTATTTTTCTCGCTGTTTTTATTATATGCAGAGTCGTCAAGTTAAAAAATGGCTTCAAATAAAAATATAATAAAGTATAATTAATTTCATGTTTGGGGATATATATGTACCTACATATATATCCCCAAACATCAATTTAATACAATATCACGTTTAAATTTGATTCTATTTCTACTGACTTCAAACATGTTGGAAGGGATCGAGTGATGTTTTAAACTGTATTAAAGTGACCCTAAGTACGTTTATTTTCAAAAAAAAAATCTCCTCTCATTATGGAAATTAATTCAATGTTCATTACTGCATGAACGAACGTGAATGGAAAATGGACCAAAATCGAGAGCTCAAAGCGGATTGAAGCGTGATAATGATTAATACAGCACGTCATAATATGAGCTCTCTTTATGAAGGCGATACGAATAATGGGGATGATTCACCATTCGGATCCAGTATGGGTTTCAGGGTATTAACAACCGTATATGCAGCTAAGACTCCTTTATGTCTTCCGAAGCACGTTGGTGCCCGAGTTCATATAATGGTGACCATATTCCTATAACCAGCGATTGCGCTTATATCGCTATGTTGCTGCGCTTCCCTTTGATGAAGACTATAGTTATTGGTTACGGGCATGTGCCAAACATATAACCATTAATACAATAATTCTTATATATTGTATTAATTCGAAATATTTTTTCACATTTTAGTGGATTTACGTTTTCTTGACAGTGTGAGTGAATTATTTGATAATGGACATCATCTTGAATTGTTCTGAGGAAATTATATTTAAATGCCAAATGGATCACGGCTGCACAATTTATCACCCATGTAATTTTTAACCTGTGTATCACAAATTAAGTATTTGATTGATTTGGAAACCCTCCCTTATTTATTGCTAAAAACTGCATTAAAATTCGTTGCTCAGTTAAAAAGATCAAAGTGTACAAACAGCGAGACCGACTCTGTTTTATATACTACTTTGTCCGACTTTGTCTTATATACTGTAACTAGCGGCCCACCCTCGCTTCGCTTCGGTGTAGAGCTGAAGTGTAGACTACAGTTTTTATGCTCAGGCTTGTATTATACACAATGACATTCATCTATGATTCTTCTTATACCTGCATTCAAAATCTCAGCCCGATTGGTTTAAAATTGACAAAGTTTCATACAAAGTTGCATTCCCTATTTTATCCTCTTGGGGGCAGAATTGATCAAAATACTTTCTTAGATGCCTACGTCATAACATCTACCTGCATGCCAAATTTCAGCCTGATCCGTCCAGTGGTTTGGGCTGTGCGTTAATAGATCACTATGTCAGTCAGTCACATTTGAGTTTTATATATATATATAGAAGAAGTCTTATACCAAAGTTCATTAAGCATGAATCTGCTTGATATAGCTTTCTTCGAAGGCAAATACCAACGTATATGCCACTTGCCGAATTTGCCGAGTAAAGGAAAGCGTTGACGTGAATAGACCTCATTTGGCGTTGGCTATCACCTTCACTAGCCACCATAACTGGTAGCGCACCAACAAATGGGCAGCTCAAAGCTGGTCTATATTGGCCACTTGCATTGGTCTTCTTCAAACTTGGCCAGCGATTAGCTAGGCGGTCTCACTTGCCTTGTATCAGTTTGCCCACGCTCCGGTTGGATTAAGCTCGGCCAACATGTATTGGCGGCTTAAAATGCTGGTCCAAAACGAAGCGTGATCTAATCTTGTTTCGTTTTCGAATCTTATTGAGGTCAAGATGGAAGTAAGTTTGGTACAATACTGTTTGATAATTCAGTATGAATGTTCTTTAGCTATAATACAGAAAAAAGATACTGTGGAGACCTATGGTACATAACCTTAATTTCTGTCTGTCCTTAAAAGCCAGTCTAGATAATACACCTTCTTGTAAATTAATAGGTACTTTTGGGTAAATCGAAAAGTAACACTATTTATCAATTAACTTGATAAAGAAATGAATTAATAATCCTTTATCAGAACGATCACAATGTTTTAAGTCTCGTCATCGTACCGTTTTTATTTGTTATGTCTCCGTACCTAACGTCACAATGAAACCCTATTACTGCCCAAACAAATCCATCTTTTTAAATTTTATTCTTTACTAGCTGTGCCCCGCGGTGTTACTCGTGGCTTATTAGGGATATTTTCCCGCAGAAAAACGTAGCCTATATCTTAATCGATGGTGTCAGCTAACTCCATACCATATTTTATTAAAATCGCTCCAGCCGCTTAAACGTGAAGAAGTAACAAACATACACACTCACACACTCATAAATTTTCTCACTGAAGAAGAGTTAAGAAACTCATAATGAGAAGACCTTAGCACCCTCGGCGTCAATGTTAGTAAGGTCGTTAATATAGATAAGGAAGAGAGTTGGTCCTAATACGCTTCCTTGCGGAACACCATAGGTCACCTCACATTCCTCACTACAGCAATGACCCAATTTAACACTTTGCGTGCGCCCCTGTTAGTAGCTCTTCATAAGATCAAGTTGAAGCCCTCTTATGCCTATAGCTTGAAGCTTTTGTATCAGTATCGGCAAGGAGACGGTGTCAAAGGCTTTTTTTAGGTCTAAGAATACTGTAAGACATTTCTTCCCCATATCTAACTGTTTGGTTATAAGGGACGTAAGAGAGCCAATGGCATCCTCAGTAGATGTTTTTTGTCTGAAACCAAATTGACAACAGGATAGTATATTGTTCTTATTCAAATACTTTATTAGACGTGAATTAATGAGCTTTTCAACATTTTTTTACTATGGAGGGAAGAACTAAAATTGGCCTGTAATTATTGACATCGTCTTTCTTACCACCTTTATACACCGGTGTAACAAGGTTTTTTTTAAATGATCTGGAAAAATACCTGTTTTGATAATAAGATTAACCATGTGACTTATGATGGGAGCTACTTGGGTCACACACATTTTCAACAGTCTGGTCGGAATATTGCCCCAGCCAGGGGCACTATCTGTTTTTAATGACATGATTACGCTGCCAACCTCAGAAGGATCTGTATCTAAGAGAACAAAGGAGCACCCTTGCGATATCAACTTAGTTTTAATATTTTGGTCATCGCTAGTCTATCTACTATTTTCTTGTGTGCTTATATTATTTGCCAAGTCTCTACCGACGTTTGCAATGAAGCTATTAACGTGATTAACAGATTCCGTAGGAGATGGCTTGATATGAAGCAAATCCTGATTATGGGTTTTAATGTTTTTAAGATGTGCTACCGTATTTATTGTTTTCCACAAAGCTTTATTATCTTTAGTAGCATTAGATAAAAGGTCCCTTTGATATTTTCGTTTTAGTTTTTTTATGAGTTTATTGCAAAAGTTACGATATCTCGCGAATGTGACTCTCAGAACCTTATATAAGGCTTATCTGGCCTGGGCCGATGCTCGACACCGCAAAGCAAATGATTTACGCCAAAAAAAACCAGCGTATAACAGGTCTGCCAAGGCCTGCAAGAAGGTGTTACAGAAGGCTCGCTTTGACCATATTAGCCGGATTGGGAACAAACTTGCATCGTATCCGACAGGCAATAAAGCGTTTTGGTCCCTGGCAAAATCGGTCGAGGTGAACTTCTGCCGTCCCTCACTGCCTCCACTGCAGAAGCCTGATGGGACTCTGGCTCACACTGCTCTTCAGCAGTGTGAGCCAGAGTCCCATGCTTTCTCTTCAGAAAGCAAATCTTTTTGTTTCTCAATTCGCGGAAGCCTCGAGTCTTGATGCTGGTACCTCCCACATCATTTGGCTGCTCGACAGCGATGTCGAACATTCGCATTCGCCAAGCGGAGGTGCGTAAAGTCCTACGCAATCTCGACGAGAACAAAGCCAGTGGCCCTGATGGTATCCCTGCAATATTATAATATCCTGTTCTGACACGCCTCTTCCGGCTCTCCTTGGAAACTGGACAAGTGCCTAAATCCTGGAAGCTTGCTAACGTGCAACCGGTGCCCAAAAAAGGAAGTCATGCCGACCCTGCCAACTACAGTCGAATATCTGTCACTTCATTACTCTGTAAGAGCATGGAACGTGTTCTGAACCACAAGATCCTAGCGTACCTAGAAGCGAATGACCTCCTCAGTGATCGACAATTCGGATTTCGCCGAAATCTGCCACTGCGGATCTTTTAGTGTACGCTACTCACATTTGGAGTGAAGCCATTGAGAAGCACGGAGAAGCGCTGGCCGTGTCTCTCGATATTTCGAAGGCTTTCGACATGGTTTGGCATGACGGCCTTATAAGCAAGCTTCCTTCGTACGGCTTGCCCACTGCACTATGCGCCTGGATATCTGACTTCCTGCGTGATCGGTCTATAACAGTAGTTATAGATGGCGGCCAATCACATCGTAAGGCTGTTAATGCCGGAGTTCCGCAGGGGTCTGTACTCTCTGTAACTCTTTTTTTGCTCCAGATCAACGATCTGCTTAAACCCGGTACCTTTGGGTATGCAGATGATAGCACAGTCGTAGAGAGCTATTTATCAAATGCGCGTGCCAGTGCGGCCGAAGTTCAATCACTCCGAGAAGCCATGGTCAACCGCTTAAACTTGTCCCTTCAGGCAGTCTCCGATTGGGGCGATGCCAATCTGGTCAAGTTTAATGCTTCTAAGACTCAGGCGTGTCTGTTCTCCGCTAAAAAGAGGGCGTTTCAACTGGCCCCTTCTTTCTGAGGTGTAACCGTGCCGGTAACCGAACAGCTCGAGCTTCTAGAAATAACTCTCACCTCAACTCTCAACTTCGGTACCTACATTGAGTCCAGGGCTCAACTGGCTGCAAAAAAGCTTGGCGTCCTCGCAAGGGTGCGGAAGTACTTTACTCCGGAACAGCTGCTCACCTTGTACCAAGCACAAGTTCGCTCGTGCATGGAGTACGGTTCGCACCTTTGGGATGGTTCTGCAAAATATCAGCTACAGTCTCTGGAATGCATTGAGAGGCGTGCAAAGAAGCTCATCGGTGACGACAAATTATTCGAGACTAGACTCCAAAGTCTTGAACACAGGCGAAAAGTTGCCTCTTTATCGGTTTTTTACCGGTTACATTTCGGTGAGTGTGCTTCGGAGTTACATAACTTAATTCCACCTTCACCTTTTTACCACAGAACCACCAGAGAGACGGCAAAACGCCACAGATATACCGTAGAGGTCCCACAAACTCGTACTAAACGGTTTGCTTCCACCTATATAGTTAGAACAGCTAGGTTGTGGAACTCTTTGCCGGAATCTCTGTTTCCAGTCACCTATAATCTGGGGCTCTTCAAGTCGCGAGTCAATCGGTTTCTTCTAGGCAAGCGCGTCCCACCTTAGGCTGCTACGTCGCTTTTCATCAGTCGCGTGGCCGTCAAGCGTAAGCCTATTTATTGTAAAAAAAAAAAAACCTCGTTGCGGGGGTCAGTTCTCAGTTTAAGTTGCATCTTGTTTCTATTTCTAATGCAACGTAGCACACCAGTCGTGATCCACGGTTATATACTTCTCTGGTTTTTAGGAATTTTCTTAACGTGCTTAGCCTCATTAAGTGCTTTTCTGAGATTACTAGTTAACCGTTCTAATACCACATTGGGATCATTACATGTAAGCAGAGTTTCTAGATTACTTTGTAGAATATTGTTATAGACTTTACCATAATCAATAATTTCGATAGATTTCGGATATTCTTTGATATTCTTAATTTTAGTTAAGTTTATGAATATTGTAGAATGATCTGTAATTGATGTTTCGAGCACAGCAACGTTCGCAGCAAGTTTGCTTTTATTTGTTTTTAAGATGACATGATCTAGGCAGCTGTTTCCCTTGGTTGGAAGTGTATGACCCGGAAGTAAACCATGTGTAGAAAGCATGTTAGGATAATTGGTTCTATTATTAAGTTCCTCTGAGTTCGCGTTTGGTTTAGGTATAAGATTAATATTTATGTCCCCAGTTATCAAAATATTAGCAGATGAATTTAACCGTTGCAAATGCAAACTCAAGGAATTCACAAATTTGGAGGCATTATGTTGAGATGGAGAGCGGTAAATGCCTAACATGACATAATTAAAGATATCTATCTGAATACAAGATGCTTGCTCTAATATCACTTCTTTAATTACAGCAGATAAACTGTTCTTCACATATGCAACTACACCATCGTTTTAGTTTCGGTTATTAACAGTAGCTACAGCTACGTAGTTTGGTAGTTGTGGAATTGGCTTACGATCGTCAAGTCTGCACTCTGTAAAAATAAAGACATCAATACTAACATTAAGTTCTGCCAATGTAACCAGAAAATCATCAAGGTTACTATATATGCTTCTTATGTTTTGACTGACTATCGTTAGATCTGTTTTTTTAATATTAATTACATTAGTGAGATTCTGAACGCCACACCTCGCAAAAGTCGCAACTGAAGTTTCATCTATGTCACTTAATACGTCAAGGGATGCAATCATTTGTGGGAACTTTATTAGCATCAGTGAATTGGTGATATGAGTTGTTACTTAAGGAATTAATTGTGGTATGCCTTTTACAAATATATTTTACATACCTATATAGTATTATACTGTTTATAATAAACTGGCAGCAAAACCTGATTCTTATGGTGTATGTTTGAGAGAGTGAAGTCACATGTGTGTGTGTGTGTATGTGTATTTATATTGTATGCCAAGTGTGTACATACCAATAAAAATAATTAGGTTTACATTGTGCGCTTTCTTTGCGGTAAATTATGAAAATTAATACTATTGTTACTTAAGTGGATACCATCAACCAAGAGTGTAAAAAACATGTTCGAGATAATGTTATTACTACTTATAAATAAAACATTATTAAGATAAAAACTACAATAACTATATAATATAATAAATATTTGCAACACACTCAACTATTAGCCTAGCTTCAAAGTAAGCACTGGCCTTCGGGCTTGTGTTATGGGATACTAGGGTAACGGATAGAGCTCTAAGGTGGCCTGGGCGCGGCCTGACCAGCCGCGCGTCCTAGGTGCCGCACTGTGGAATATTTCGGTGTGTTTCGGATTAAAAATCTGTAACTCCGTCAATTTGAAAGATAAACTTATAAAATTTTGCTTGATTCTGAAGAGTCTCCATATGACACACACGGTCTTCCTCGTTTACCAGAAGAAGTAGACGGTGTAGAGTCTGTTGACACGTTTTCTGATGTTGGTATAGTTAACGAATATTCAGAATCCAACCAATTGGTGTTCTTTCTTAAAAAGGTATTTTTATTGCGTCCTGCTTCACTCCAGCGTTTATTAAACGAAGGCATACAAAAAAGGGATGTCCCTTTGAATATGGTCAATAATAAAACATATATTGATATCCGAAATTTGTTTTCCCTGCAAATATGTTGAAAGTGCCGCAGTCGTTTTTCCGCCTTCTATATAAGACACTATTAACTCACGTTTAGTACAGTTAAAAGTAGACATGTTGAATAATGAAATAACCGTACCTACTAGAGTACGTAGACGTAAAGACCACTGAAACTGTAATGGAGACATCTTTTTTCACTGCTCTTTTTATATTGTTTCAGAATGTGAGAATTATTTCAGATATCTATTTTCTCAAGGAAAATGACATCGAAATGATAAAACCTACATAACAATATCAAATAATTAATTCATAAAATGTACCACAAACTATTGATAATAAAAGTAAACTACAAAACCGCATTTGATAGCGATTTCCGTTCCCAGACTAGTATTCGATTTTTTCACATATCTCCGAAAACCGCAAAAAGCCGCAGCTAATTTTTTTATATGTTTTAGATGAGTAACTAACCTATAATTTAACATTAAATTCAAAGCATCGGTAAACAACTCTAAATGTTAAAAGATTCGACGAAGTTGAGGAAAAAAAAATTTTTCTCCATTTTTTCTTTAAATTGGTTTTTAAATTTATATTCGTATTAAAAACAATCAATTGTATTTATTTCTAACCTCTGATAAATGTGCTTTTCAAAAATATATAATACCTTATACCTTTCATTTCAAGTTTTAAAACTATTTCACGTTGAAAAACGTAAATGAAGAACTTAATATTTCCCAGCTGCCTAAACGTTTAACTTTGCTACATGAAAAAAAAATACTTTTACGAAATAAAATATGAATTACGCTGCAGAATATTAAACTTCGACTTTTGAACTATTGAATTATATTCATATATTACCCAATTTCAATCAGTAATAAAAATCAATTTTGATATGCGTTTGTTCTACCATATTCCACCGTGTGCCGCTCCGGCATAGGCCACCACGTCTGGGGACTGCCTAGTACCCTAGCGCAGTCCCCCTGAGGCGCGTCGCCCGGTCCACTCGTTGGGCCGGGCCTGCCCGGGGGCGTGCTCGGAGATGTGGCGCACGCAAGTGTGGCCCCGAGACGCCCCCATATGGGCATAGGAGGGTACCGGGGGGTTTTAGTGGAGTCCAATATCGTTTATTCAGTCTAGGCTGTTACAAGCACTTGTGAATGTCGTAAAGCTACGCCATCGGTTCGCAAATCTACGGCAGGAGACCTTGTACTGAGAAGAACCAGCAAGAAACTCAGCAAGGGCTGCTTTTTTCTCCCTGTTTTATTTCATACAGTGTCGTCCAATTGAAAGTTGACATCAAACTTGCAAACATGTATTGAGGTCAACTTCCATCACACAATGTCCATTAATAGATAATTGAAAATTTGACAAAGTGTGTTAACTACATTTCGCCAAAAATCGGCTATAGAAAAGAAAAAGAACACGCGACGTTTTTTATTAGTTTTAGTAATCGTTTTGTTTCAAATTTGAACTCTTAACCAGTATGCAAAGTATGAGAGTCCTCCCTTATTTTCAAATTATCAATATTTTTTTACAGGTACCATCATGTTGATCCAGATATTTGCCTGTCTCCTGCTAGGGGCCGTGGCAGTACCACCTGAACTGGAATTCATGGACAGTACTCTAATCGAAGACCGTAGCACCAACCTGGACGACCCAAAATACCGCCTGACTGACGCTGTACAGCCAACAGACATGTATGTGGATCTGGATGTGTATTTGCAAGAAGCCAGATTCAACGGCTTTGTGCGTCTGGACGTACAGGTAGGAACTCTCGATGCCAATTACAATATTTAAATGTATGCCAGTAGGCTGACAAACAAAATGGAAGATAATTATATTGTGATGGTCACTGATAGTGGTTCTTCTGACCGAATTAAAATTGAAGAAACATTAAAGCAAAGCAATAATGATTATATTATTGAATTATTTAAACTGTAGCTTGAATTTTATGAGTTGTCAGTACTTATGTTAAATAATTATTATGAGTAATTAAAATACCTATTATTAAATTAGGCGTTGTATATCAATAAAGGACATATCAACATGATAATTTTCGCTTATCGCTGTCGAGTAAGTTACTTATCTATCGATTAATTTGGTGAAGCCATGCGTGGCTAAATCCTAAAGTATAAAAAAAATATTATCTGATATTTAGCAAAGATAATATCAGTACATTATAGAGGGCATATAATCTAAATTCCTGTAGTTGAAGAAATATCCTGTTATGAGTGCGAAAAGCATTGAATTTTTGATGATCACGACGATTAAAATTTCAGAAATACTTTGATGGTAAATTTTCGTCACAATTTATTAATGTAGGCGACGTATAGTTAGGTTATAGATTGCCAGAGATATAGATATATAGATTTTAAAATAAGACGATGCTATGTATGTTCAGAGTTCCAAAAGCAATGAAAATGGAGGTAGAATAAGTGTTTTGACCAAGGTCAATTCAAGTCAAACGAATGAAGCAAGAGTCTGCAGCATACCAAGAATGGAATGGGCCCTTTTTTATACCTAGAATGTTCATGTTCAAAAAAAAAAAAAAATAAGTTTTCTCAGGAGAAGCAAGATATATATATATTAGAGAAAAGGTTGTGCAATATGGATTTTCCCGTCAAATTTTAGCGAGCTCTTAGGAAAATATCTATCTTACAGAAGAATACAGCTATTTGACTACAATAGTGATATCAATATTCTGTTGCGTTCTTGCGGTAACGTTAACTGAGTAGGTGGCTGCGAAGGATTTGGCGTTTGGTGTCCCCTTCTTGATATGACTGCCTCTGTATACGATCATTTCTGGTTTTGACCATTATCATCATCCTCATCATCATCTACTTAAGAGTTATGACCTGATGCAGCGCCAGGCTGGTAGCGTTAATTGGCTGATGCGGTATGTTACTTTGAGCTGACAGCTATATTTGCAACTAGACTTCTGTTAGGAGGGGTGCAACGTTGACAAGGACAGAACACATCTACTTAATATATATAGAATAATTGCTCTTTCCCTTTTATATATTCATTAAGTACGTGCTTACTTATTTAAAAAAATAATCACGGTCGCATTGTCAGTTCGTCAATTCAAAAGAAAAATGACTTTATATTTCAAGTATCCAAAGAAAAACGTAAACTAAAAAAAATATTAGAAGTTATTCATATTTTTATCAATTCAGTATTTAAATTTGTTTCTGAACTATGTAGAATAAAAAATTTGTGAAGAAATTTACTTTAGGTGTAGCGCGATTGTACATCTTATTTATGAGCTCGGTTCTGTCAGCTCTTTAGCATACAATTATGAGCTTATGTATTAAACGCAAAGGCGAGGACCATCAATATTCTATGACAAAAATATTAAAATACTATGCACATAGTTTGACACCATGTATTCATATCGACGACGACATCATGAGATAATAAAGTTAACTACAGATTTTTGATACATAATAAATAACAATACGTCTGCTATACTACGACTAGGTTTACTACATTTGGTATTATTGTGCCTAATAGAGCTACAGTAATATTATTATTAAAAAAATATTAAAAAAACGACGGGTGTACTCCGGGAGTGCCGGCAGAAGTGAAAAATTTAATATTAACGTTGTGCATATTTGATTTTTCGGAATGGTTAGGGAATAATTTTGCACGAATTGCTTTAATTATCAGTATAAAAGTACTATCACTTATGTGGTAGAATACAATATTTATTTATTGCGCTATCGTACACAAACATGACAATTTATATTAAAAAGTTTATCTCTCGAAAAAATCAACTTACATGAATCACGTTTAAGCGCATCTAGCGACATCTATTGTAAAAAAATGCATTTTTTCGCAATAAAGCTACCACCTGGACGCCCTAGTTATAACCTTATTATTATAATACGATAAAATAAAACATTACTAGGTTTCGTCCGATATATTGAAAGTCAACAACCTTTCCAATTTAATTGTTTTCGTCCTACCAATTTTCGATTATATCACGTGGACGGTAAGGACAGACGCGATCAAGCCACGTGTCCTGACGTGAATTTAACAGTTTTTCCCCATTACAAACATGAGCTACTTCAATAAAACATGAGCTTCCCTTTCAGACCCGTGAAGAGAATCTACGTCAAATAGTGATGCATCAAAAAGTAGTTTCCATACAGACAGTGAACGTAGTGGATTCGGCTGGAAGGCCCGTCAATCTTCAATTCCCTGATCCCTACACAACTGACGACTATTATGAGATCCTCACCATCAATTTCGCTAATCCTATCCCTATTGGGAACTACAGCATCAGCATCCGCTACCAGGGCGCCATCAACTTGAACCAGTTCGAAAGAGGCTTCTACAGAGGACACTACTTCCTGAACAACCAAATGCGGTAATGTATTATTTTTAAATTATAACCTTAAGCTATCTGAAAATCTGTCACAGACCAAAACAGATCATGAACAGCTTTTTCTGGTTGGAAATGGAACTTTAACGAAATTAAGACAAACAGGGCAAAGCAGATTAAAATTTATCGCTCGAAATTGAGCACCAATCTGGGGAAGCAATCTGCTTACAGAAGACCACAGTAAAATAACAATACCCTTTGGTGGTGTTGTGTTTCTACCGTTGAGTATTCTAGGGCTCCACGGAGATCGTTATTTCATAACCTTCGGCCCTTTGAGCCCCAAAGAATGCCCTCCGGTTCTGCTCCGGAGGCGTGGGCCGCTGGTCCCCCCGTGTCGGACGATGAGTTCGACATGGTGAAGGACCGGCTCCGGAGCCGTAACAAGGCTCCGGGGCCGGACGGGGCCCCATCCAAGGTGATAGCGATCGCTTTGGGCTTCCTAGGAGAACGATTCTGCGCAGTGCTGGACGTATGCATCGCGACGGGTCGCTTTCCCAGGCACTGGAGAGTGGGGCGGCTCTGCCTGCTTCGTAAGGAGGGCCGCCCGGCGGTATCTCCAGCGGGCTATCGGCCGGTGGTGTTGCTCGATGAGGCCGGGAGATTGTGTTAAGGTTGTGCAACGGTGAATGCGTGAGTGATATTTTTGTATCGCAAGGCTCAGTGTTTCCTAACCTTTCCAATACTGCTACCCCTGTAACCTATTAGGAAAACCGATTTTACCCCGACTTTAAAATGTTATTAATAAAACAATGCAAGCCAATTCTAATATATTTATTAATCACAAATTTATTATATTTTTTTTGTGATGATGTGCTGTGATCATAAATTGTGAAATTCTAATTTGTAAACCGCTACATCTTCGTCTCTAATAAAAATCTTGCCCCGCCACCCGCACTCAGCATCCCGCGGTCTCGCTAGCAAGAACTGTATTTTCTTATTATTTAGATTTAACCAGATAATTAGGTTCTTTGTTACCCCCGGGGGGGTAATTACCCAAAGCCCAGGCTCTATAGGCTCTGGTGGCCGCTTACCATCAGACGGGCCAAATGCTTGTTAGCTAACCTTTTAACATAAAATAATGAAACGGTAGCTTCAGTGTTTATAATAATTAAAAGTATTGCACCGAATGTCTAATTTGGCAGAATGTAAGGTTTATATAATGTGCCGAAGCCGTATGTCGGCCGAAGTTCGGTTAAATGTTTAAAAATTATAACAAACCAGTGGCCCGCCCTCGCTTCGCTTAGGTGTAAAGCTGTAGTGTAGACTATAGTGTTTTTCTTAGGCTTGTATCATATATACAATGACGTTTTTCTAATACCTAACTACAATAGGCACGCGCTGGCCGCCCAGCCCCCCGCCCGTTACCGCCGGAACCGCTATGTCTCTGCATTTTAAATCTGTAATATCTTCGAAAATATTTAATTAAATTACACGCTTTAAATGGCCAACTTGATCTATATTAAATGCACAATGTATTTAAGGTACTTAATTGGATAAGGATGAATGCTGTATTGCTGAAAATCGTTTCGTAAATAAGCTATTATTTCTCGTAAAAAGTAAAGAATAAAAATAGTTATTGTGGGTTATCCCCAAGAGATTACATATACCATCGTGGACTTTTTTGTAGACCTTTTTAAGGTGTATATACTGTAGTACATTATTTTGATCTATCTGGTAAGGTTCAGCCAGCGTTTGCAATGTAAGCGCAAAAAAAAGTGTTTATTGACGACCTTACATTAAAAACCTCTAAACTTATCAGTGTTTCTCTACTACGAATATATTATTAAACCTTCCTCTTGAATCACTCTATCTATTAAAAAAGCTGCATTAAAATCCGTTGAGTAGTTTTAAAGATCTAAGCATACATAGGGACAGACAGACAGCGGGAAGCGACTTTGCTTTATACTATCTATGTAGTGATGTAAAATAGAGATTTGTTACAATAAAAAAAAACTAAAAAGTCAAAGATACCACGAAGAAAGTATGTCATATTACCTTGCTAATAGATAACAATAAAATTGATATTTCTTTTTACATATTTTTGATACTTGATGTTTTTTTTAAGTCTAACTTGGGAAATAAAATCTAACAGGAACGAACATCCAATTTTTACTTTTTTACTTACAAATCATCATAATATGATCGAGATTTAATTTTCAAATACATTTCTTTTCACTTTCCGTTTCTGATTTAAATTATTTGAATTGCGGAGATTTAACGTAAATTCGACCGAAGACGAAGTTCGGTAAAAGCTGCTGAACTTCGGTTATACCGAATATGAAACGAATTGCGGTGCATCTCTAATAATAATCATAACTTATTTTAAAAACAATAACGATTTGTATTTTGGAATGCTTCTAATGTTTATGTAAATTACTGAATCGATTTAAAAAAAATGGGTGCGTGTACTTATGTAGGCGCGTGAGAAGTTATCCTTCTTTGGCATCGTTTAAAATTAGTTTTTAATTGCATGCAAATAATTAATTACAATAAATTAATAAAAAGTCTGGAAAAGGACACAGTCAATAAAGTTCAGTTTTAATTAGAAAAAATAAATAAATAATCAAAATATTCAATTAAAATCGCTACTGAATATAATTTATTAGAACATATGTGATTTGCACTTGTATGAAACTCAAACACGTATTCCGAATACACAAACTAGAAACATGTGGATAAATATTATAAATATGAATACCTATAACTGTTACTTTATTACAAAAAATAAAGATGTGGTTTTTGGTTCTACTACACCAATGGTCAAGAGATGGCGCTGTAGTCTCCTGAATCGCGCTTTGGTTCCGTTGTTCCAGATTAATAAATACTTTTGATAGGCCTTCACAATGCAGTCGTTAGCACCCACTAAATAGAGATTCCATTTCTATTTTGTTGGTGGATTTTCTTAATGTGCGGTAAACACAAAAGTAACAGCATTAATTTTTGTGTTACAGTGATGCGCGCGCATCTTAAAATTTCACTCTCATCATTTTTTCATAACGCGCCTAAAGAAGTATAACTTCAAAAACAGCATTAAAATGCCAATGTTATGTTTCAAGGTCTGCGCCTACTTGAGAGGTCCTACGAATCCCATGAGCGTTTGTATTCCAGTCATGGATGTTTAATATGTTATTAATATAAACGTACTTTCAAATGTACCAGTATATGTATTGTATTCGTTACCCTAGTATCCCATAACACAAGTCTACTGTGCTTACTTTGGGGCTTGGCTAATTGTTATGAGTGTTGGAAATATTGATTTATTTATTCTATGCCACAATATTCCAGTATACGTTTAAAAGCTCTTATGATCAATAAATATAAGTAAGTTATTTTATTTATTTTTAATATCATGTATCTTTCCCCTTGATTAACAGGTACTATGCAACCACGCAGTTCCAGCCCTATTATGCCAGGATGGCCTTCCCGTGCTTTGACGAGCCACAGTTCAAGTCAAGATTCATTATCTCTATCACACGTGACCCCAGCCTCAGTCCATCCTACTCAAACATGCCCATTGCTCTCACATCCACGTAAGTTGTTATTGAAGCCTCATTCTTATACATATTCAAGTGCGTTATATTTCAGTCGATCTAATCATATCTTTTTCCATACCTATGCCATATTTAGACATTATACATTGGTTACATAGGATAGGGTGAAAAGACAGTTAGGGGCCATCCATAAATTACGTCACACGTTAAGGGGGAGGGAGTGGGTTGAAGAAGTGTGACAAGGGGGTGGGAGGGGTCCTAAATTTCGTGACGTCACATTCCAAAATCTATTATAATCTAAGTGTTGAAACACGAACTTTAAACTATTGCTTTACTAAAACATTTACAACCCAAACGAGAACAAAGTGACTGCTATGCCAGTTATAAATAATTTAAAGAAGTGTCCATGTCCATGGACTCGAGATTTTTGAGTTTGTATCTTTAATTTAAATATATGTTTATAATTTCTAAATGTAAATTTGCAAAATATGTGACGTCACACTAGGGAGGGGGGGAGTCCCCCAAATGTGACCAGCTGTGACAAGGACGGGGGAGGGGCAAAATATCATGAAATTCGTGTGACGTAATTTATGGATGACCCCTTACTTAAAATATTGTTTGTTCGAATCCTATTAACATAATTATGCTGTATTAACGGTTGCATATATTTTATAGGGCCGGTGTACGACTACGTGAAACATTTTTTCCAACTCCAATCGTCTCTGCCTACCTTGTGGCGTTTACTGTAAGCGACTTCGTGGAAACAAATTACACTCACACTGACACGAGACCTTTCGGGATCGTGTCTCGTCCAGGAGTAACCAACCAACATCCTTACGCTGCCGAAACCGGATTAGAAATAACCAATGTGATGGATGATTACTTTGGCATCGATTACAATGACATGGGACAGGGACAGCCTATGAAGAACGACCACTTAGCCATCCCCGATTTTCCAGCTGGAGCTATGGAAAACTGGGGTATGGTTAATTACAGGTGAATATTTAATGACAACTAAAACGCTTTCATATTTTATGGTATCTGATCTATTTTGCTTAGTCTATTTAACAGCTGGAACAAACTATTGAAATCTAATTTGATGGTTTGTTCTCTTGAAAATTATTGAAACTGCAAATAAAATAAAATATGCTTGACAAAATTGAGCATATTTAGATCTTATCATATAAAATTGTCTCCAGGGAAGCCTATCTACTTTACGACGAGAACCACACAAACCTTATCAACAAAATTTTCATTGCCACTATAATGGCCCACGAGCTCGCACACAAGTGGTTTGGTAATTTAGTCACTTGCTTCTGGTGGAGCAACCTTTGGCTCAATGAGTCCTTTGCCAGCTTATTCGAATACTTCAGTGCTCATGAGGTACATATTTTTCGATGCATGACAAACCTATCTAATAACTAATGATTCATTACTTTCATAATTTCATTTATATGCTTTCAACTTCACAGGCTAATCCTTCATTGGAGTTAGATGACCAATTTGTCGTGGATCAAGTGCACAGCGCATTAAATTGGGACGCCGGTGCCGCGGCAACTCCAATGAATTTCTCAGATGTTGACAGCAACCCATCAATTTCTTCTCACTTCAGTGTCACGAGCTATGCCAAAGGAGCTTCAGTTTTGAGAATGATGGAACATTTCCTAGGTCCACGCTGTTTCAGAATGGGATTGAGATATTACTTAAGAGAAAAGTAAGACAATGGGTGTGTTAAAATTAAACCACCACTTAATATAGCAATATTAGTAGTCGATATAATCGAATTCCAACTTTCAAAAATCATCACGAACACCAAAGTAATTATTTAACTAGCATTTTGTTTCAGCGCTTATGGTATAGGCACTCCTGAAAAATTATACGATGCTTTGAGAAGAGCTGCTGCGGAGGATATGGAATTCAGAAGACTCTACCCGAATGTAGATGTGGGCGCAATTCTCGACAATTGGGTCCAGAATCCTGGGTCTCCTGTGGTCAATGTACATGTTAATATGTCAACTGGTCTCATTACGTTTACTCAGGTAGGTACTCGTAATCATTTTGATATGCATAAAAAATAACGAAATCATATTTCTAAGTGATTATGACTATAGTTGTAAAACAGCGGTTGTTAGCGGATAGTTTTATTCAAAGTAGCCGATAGTAAAATTTAGACAGTGGTAGACAACTGCCTCTTTATCCGACTCAATACCAAAAGTTTCTTTTAAGTTTTACAGTTCCTGATTCAAAATTGTTATAATATACGAGCCGCTATATACAATTAGGTATTTTTACTAAATAATTACCTACGATGTCATGGTGTAAAACATAAACTCACAAGTATTGCACTGGTTCAATGTAAATAACTTAAAATTAAATGCAAATAAAACCAAATGCATTAAATTCACTTTACCCTAATGTTAGAAACGAAACCATTAGAATTAAATTAAACAATGAAAATCTAGATTTAGTTGAATCAACGACATTCTTAGGTCCATGACTCAAAATTGCAATGGTACTCTCATATTTCTCTGCTAGCTGGTAAACTTAGTTCGGCAGCCTATGCCTTAACTAAAATAAGAAAACAAATGTTTGCAAGTTTGATGTCAACTTTCAATTGGACGACACTGTATGAAATAAAACAGGGAGAAATAAACAGCCCTTGCTGAGTTTCTTGCCGGTTCTTCTCAGTACAAGGTCTCCCGCCGTAGATTTGCGAACCGATGGCGTAGCTTTCCGACAATCACAAGTGCTTGTAACAGCCTAGACTGAATATTGAATTTTTAAAATGTTTAATATTATGAATTATTTTGCAATGTCTTTTAAACGGACAAATAATAAAAGAATGTACCTATCTACTTATTCTGACGTACATAATTGGTATTTAATATGTAGGTATACCAAATTCACCGCGCAAAAACTGTTGCAAATATTTAAAAACGTCTTTTTTCTCTTTGCCTAACTCGTAAAGCGTTATCATTCTTGGTACCTATTTATTATGTAATCAACCCGAGTAAGATGAAACATTAAATTCAAAGGTAATGTATTTCAAAATAACATTGACGTAGCTACTAAAAAATACGAAAGAGCTTAGATTAAATCAAAAAGGGAAGATACGGTTATGACTTCAATCAATCAATCAATCAATACTTTATTGCGTTCTACAATGTTTTCTTAGATCTTAGTAGGTACATTGCTTTGATCATTGTAGACCCTGAACAGGGCACAGCAAATAGAGAAGAGGACGCACTCACTAATTGTAATTTACGAGTAGTTAGTACGTATACAATTTACCAGCCAAATACGATAATTTTTTACTCAACAAATAAAAATATAATAATATCAACATTATTTATTCATTTTAGCTTAATATTATATTATATTATTTGAATTATTATCTATGTCATATTATATACAAAATAAATAAATTAATAAAATGTCAGGTATAGTAAAAAATTAAATTAAATTGTAGTTATCATTACTTTAAATTATTATCTTCTAAAAATTCCTTAACCGTGTAATAACATTTGCTTAATAGTAGCTTTTTAATATTTTCAATGAATATATTATCAACCTTTTCCTCAACTAACGTTTTAGGTAATTTATTATGAATTTTGACAGCCATTTGAAGTGGACCAGATGTGTTCATTTTCAGCCTTGTAGTTGGTATAAGCAGTTTATGTCCATGTCGTGATGTGTACCGTGATGATGTATCATTTCGCTTTTTAAAAAAATTTGGATATTTACGAGTGAATTTACAAATCTCTAATATGTATATACAGGGCAAAGTAAGAATCTCGAATTTTTTGAAATAGGGTTTACAACTGTTTGTTTGCTCTATGTTCGCAAGTATACGAATGAGTTTCTTTTGAGCTGTAAATAAGGTGGTACTATCAACACTGCTCCCCCACAAGATTACCCCATAGCTAAGCCACGCGTGAGCATAGGCATAATATGCAGTTTTGGCCGTTTCTAAGTTCGTTGTTTTTTTAGTCTCTCGAAGAGCGTAAGCAAAACTTGATAATTTAGATTTTGTAGCCGCTATGTGAGCTTTCCAGTTCAGGTGCCTGTCAATGATCACGCCTAGCAGCCTAAATTGCGTTACTAACTCGATGCATTTGTTATTATATATAAAATTTACTGGTAATGTATTTTTTTGGGGTGGATGGAATATCATGACTTTTGTTTTTGAATAATTAATCTCCAAATGGTGTTCGTTCATCCAGTTAGATATTTTATCGAATAAATTAGTTATTTTTTCTTGCAAATCGATAGTATTATGGCATGACGTAATTAAAGATACATCATCTGCAAATAAAATAGTTGGAACTTGGATGTTTTTTGGAAGATCGTTGATATATATTAGAAATAACAAACATCCTATTACGCTTCCTTGTGGTATAGACGAATTCACTATTGTACAATTTGACCGGATGTTTTGTATTGTTTGGGTATTTTGATTGTAGTATTCTATATCAACATATTGCTCTCTGTCCTTTAGATACGACGTGAACCACTTATGCGCTGTACCTCGTATACCTATGCTATAAAGTTGACGTAATAATACATTATGCTGTACTTTGTCATAAGCTTTCGTCATATCCAACAGGACACCAACCGCATATTCGCGATTATCTAGAATTTTTAATATTTCCTCAGTATATTTATAAACGGCTAATGTAGTGGACCTATTTTTTCTAAACCCATTTTGGCATTCGTTGAATATATTAAACTTTTCACAGAAATTATAGACGCGATCACACATCGCCTTTTCAAAGATTTTTGAGGCTGTCGGTAACAAGGCTATTGGTCTATAATTGTTTGGATCAGTTACATCTTTCTTTTTATGCACAGGTTTTATAACTGTTTGTTTAAGTAGCTTGGGAAACTCTCCTTCCAAAAATGATTGATTAATTAGCATAGAAAAGGGTGTTGCTAACTCATCAACACAAGCCTTAAACAAAGTTGGAGGTAGCTCATCTATACCGCAGCTTGTTTTATTTTTCAATTTGGTTATAATTTTGTGTACTTCACGGTAGTCTACTGGTCTAAGAAATAAACTATTTTCAAGATGATTTGATACTGGCGGGCTATGTTGCTCTATCCGACCGTTTCTTTGCAATTCGCCAATAGATGCAAAAAAAGTATTAAATATATTTGCAACTTGTACAGGATGCGAGTACATATTATTATTTATATTTATCTTTACGTTTTGCTTTTGATGGTTTATTTTTTTATTCGTTCTTTCATTAATAATATGCCACATGGTTTTTAATTTATTATTTGATTTCTTCAATCGTTTTACGTATTCCAACTTTTTTGCAGTCGCTACAGTCTTTTTTAATATTTTTTCGTAATGTTTATAATATTTTTTAATAATGACATTATTAGAGGTAGAAGATAATATTTTCAGCAATCTTTTGTTTCTACACGACTCTTTTATTCCTACAGTTAACCAGTACTTTTTATGATTTTTACTCAATCGGATTTGACGTTTAGGAATACAGTTGTTTAAAGTATTTACTAGTATATTATGAAAACAATTATAATTTTCATTTATGTTTTTGTGTGGATGAATAATATTGTTCCAATCCATCTGTATAAGTTGGTTTTTAAATTGCTCTATATTATTTTTATTGAAAAATCTTTTTTCTGCATACCAAGTTGAAGATTTTGTGAATTTAGGCAATTTTAAATGTAAGAGAGTTCCAGCATGATCTGAAAAGCCAAGTTCTTCTACCGTAGCCCACAGGTGTTTATCAATAAAATTTGTAAAGATAAGGTCTAGGCATGTTGATGTAGATTGTGTAATGTGAGTGGGTTCCTTTATGTGTTGTCTAAACTTATACTCCAACATTAAATTTAGAAATTCGCTTGTTTTATTGTTATTTTTTTGAAGTATATTAATATTAAAATCACCCCCAATAATATATTTTGAATATTTATTATTTATGTAATTCAAAATTACGTTTAATTGATATTTGAATGAGTCCTCCTCTCTCCTATTCCAGTACATAACTATAAGCAAAATATTTTGTTTTGGAAGTTCTGTTGCACACACTTCTAGTACATAATCGATAGAAAGCTTCTCTATGTCTCGTCGCTCTACGTAGTGGATGTCCTCTTGAAGCAGGAGACAGACTCCGCCCCCCATATGACTTCGCCGGCAGTACGATGCAGCCATTCTGTAGCCACAAATCTGAATCATATCTATCTTTTCTTTAGATAACCAGGACTCTGATACACATATAGCTTGGTAAGAAGGATTTTGATCAAGAAATGCTTGTAAAAGATGTTGTTTATTGTATATGCTTTGGAAATTTTGAAATAATATTTTAAAATGTGTTTCATTGTTTCCGAAAGGAATTATTTGTTAGATAATTAGTTTGTGTAGATTGTTGTTGCTGGGTCTCATTCGAAGTTACTCTCTCTATCGTTGTATTATGCAAGTTAGGAACTTGATTAACATTTTTGTCAATTGTTTTATTAACTTTTCTACCTTCTATGTATAGCTGATCATTTTTAATTATCGCATATAGTCCCCTTTTCCGGGCTTCGAACATTTCCTGTCGCATTTTTTTACGCTCCGCCAATGCAGTTTTATCTAAGTATTCTGATACTTGTAGTCCAGTATTACGGAATTGATGATTGTTTCTCACTATGTACTTAGCCATTCGTTTACTAAGAAGTTCAATTTCGAGTGGACGATTTTTTGAGATATTTCGTCCGACCCATCGTGTTTCTTCAATATATCCTGTTATATCAATTTGCAAGATCTCCTGAAAAGCTTGCACGATTCTGTTGTGCAGGTTATATTCTGGCTCTTTGTAGTGTTCTGCCAGTCCATAGAGCACTATTTTTTTGTTATTATTTTGAATGGGGTTTTTATCAGTTTTTATAAAAGTAAAGTTTTTCTGTAATTCCTCTATTTCTTTTTTTAAGTTAGTATTCTTTATAGTCAAGTATCCTATATCTGCATTTATCCTTTCTATATCGGTTTTAATAGATTCATTAACTTTCTTTATGCTGCTAGTCTCTTGATAAATTTCGTTTTTAAGTTTCATTATCGCTGTATTTATTTCTTTCTGTATGGTATTTTTTATTTCACATATTATGTTTATATTATTTTCTTTAAGTCTTTCTAATATTATTTGACTTAAGTTCTCTAACGTTACTTCTGAATTCGACTGTGAAGGCTTTGCAGTATAGGCAGTGTCTCCAAGGATGCTTATTTCGTTAGAGCTTGTACTCTCGTTCAATGAAGCTGATTTAGTTTTCCTTAAAGTAACATTTTGAGTATCTAATAAGTCGCACTTCTGTTGGTCGCGTTCTCTTGCTCGTACTGGAGTCTCTGTGTTATCTCGTTTTGGTTCATTTGCTTGACATAATGGACATTTCCACTTGTTCTTGTGTTCGGCCGTCATTGTGTTATAATATCGCTGACTTGAGACTTCAGCGCATTCTATATCATATATACTGCTGCAAAATTTACAAGTCAGAAATTCTCTTTTGGGTACGGGCTTCTTACAGCCTGAGCAAATTAAAGGCATTTTGTTGCTAACGAAATGATAACAGACCCAACTTTTTCTTAACAGCGACCTCTGCCGAGTTAACCACAGCTCAGAAGTTAATTAGTATGCAGAGTTCTGCTTTCACCTTGGATAGTGCTTTCAATATAACTTATGTGTCAACTGATTCCACAATCTTTCAATAGATGGCGCTAGTGATATTATAATATTCTTTATTCAAAAAATATTGAAGCGGTATTCCTGATATTTGAACTTTTAAAACTGCAATAATAATTTTCCAGCAATACATATGCCTAAATAAAGGTTTTTACTTACTTCTTATTAAAGTTTTTGCATTTCACAGTTTTCGAAATTGATTTAAATCCACCTTCCGATTTTGTTATCACTGAATAGACTTTTTCGATATACAAGTACGTAATCACTTTGCAAACGTTTACACGTACAATTTAAACTTTTATTTTACAATTTAATGAATAATTTTGCAAAAAAACCAAAAAATGTAAATATTTAGGAAAAAAGTATTACAGAGCTTTTGTTTATGCTGCGCCAGTAGCAACAAACTTGAATCTCAAAAGTGTGAGCCGCTTTTAAGAGTCTCGCAGACAATTATTTTATTGGTCGCTCGTGTTTGACCACTGGCTTACATTGCAAGCGAATACAACTAGGCTTTACCCCAGCCATGGCAGTAAGCCGCGTCTGACTGTGAAACATTTAGTGCCACAACGCACATATAAAGTAATTAGGTAGGTAGTATATGTAGATAAACAAAAAAAATCACGGAGAACATAAAACGGATATAATAAAACATAATGAAATGTTTTCAACCGTAAACGACCGCTGTTTATGGGTGATCAGCTAAAAACGCGGTTGTTATCGTTTTCAGCCAGCCGTGTGACATCACATGTTTAATTATGACAAAAAAAATATGATCAAAAGAATGAATGAATGAATGAATGAACGCCATGGCCCTCGTTTTATCGAGGGCCACCTCCAGCCCCAGGAGGCGGATGCGTCGGACGACCATGGAGGTGCCGACCGACGCAAGGTGGACCGCCTCCTCCCACTCCTTCGCTCTCGCCGCGACAAGGGTGTCGTCCGCAAAGCAGACGACATCCATTCGCGGCAAGAGCGAGCCACGCAGGCCCCACTTGTACCCCAGGTTCCATAATAGAGGGCCTAAAACGGAACCTTGGGGCACACCCGCCGCCACTGTCCACGACTGGACGCGCCCCTCCACGTCCTCGTAGAGGACTGACCTGTCCCGCAGGTAGTCCTGTACGAGGGCGCGGAGGTAGAGGGGCACTCGGTGGAATTTGAGCGCCGCCTCTATGCACTCGTGGGGGATGGTGTTAAACGCGTTCGCGATGTCCAGGGCCACCTCAGTCATTGTGATCTACCCTAGATTATAAGCGAGAGTACAATATGTAAATGTTACATTGAATGTTACAGAACCATATTGAATGAATAACAAAAAGCAAAAGAATAAAAAAAAAACAAGATCGTTACCGCCATTTATCAGGAAATGCGGGTTCACTGGATAACGCTTATATTTATATTTAAAAACAAACAAGTGTGTGTTGTGTTTGTGCGTGTGTGTGTGTGTATTTATTTTATATTACGTACATTTTATAATTACCTATTTTACGAATTAAATAGCAGTTTTTAATATTTTTTTCTGTTGTGTCATAATCTAGTTTAAGTAGCCAATTTGAGACTTGAGATTTTGAGAATTTTGTTAATTTTATTGTACAGGTAGCAATGAAGGAAAAAATAATTTCGCTTGGCAAAGCTAGTGCTAGTGCGTACTAAAGGACAGACTTGATGTTTTCGTCGCGTATCAGTGGTATCTGTTCGGTCATACGGCGTATGTCGATACGTTGTTTCAATAAGTTTTAATACGAACAGTTGGCGTATTGAAAGGACCTGGCAGACGGAATAAAGCTGTACTGTCTGCCCTACCGTTTCCCGACAGTACAGCTTTATTCCGTCTGCCACGTCCATTCCAAAAAGAGAAAGATTCCAAAAAGAGTAACTTAGTCAGTCAAAAGATCTATAATAATAAACGTTGTTCTACTAGTCCGCCTGTCTCAAGCCAATTTCAATGAATGCTTCATTCATACCAAATGAATGAAGCTTATAATAGTGATATCAGAGAATGATATTTCGGAAACAATAATTTTATTATTAGGAGTACTAATAAACCTAACATTAATAGGAGTACTATTATACATTGCAATGAAAATTCTTTTATGACATATTTGTTTCTTAGGTTTTCATGAAAAAATAACATCAAGAAACAAATAAATTAACGCATTAAACCAGTTGCAACTTGTTCTTTTATTAATTTAAGACTATTTACAATTATATAAAGTGTCCTAAACATGATTCCTTATTTTTTTATATGTTATTATAAATTTTAATACTCTATTTTCCCTTTCTCTATTTTAAACAGGAAAGGTTCTACGTATGGCCAAACACGCCGATTCCAAATACTCGTTGGCACATTCCAATCACATGGACTCACAGTGGAAACTTCAGCTTTGAAAATACTAGACCTAGCTTTATCTTTAGTGGTGATTCACATACAATTCAGAACACACCAGGCCACAACTTTGTGATCCTCAACATTGCACAGTCAGGTATGGACAGTTAGCGTAACTACTCCTCGCATATTCTCAGAATTTTATTGTGTGTATATACAATCAGGATACGTGTTGTTGAGTATTATTTTGGATAATGTATGTTTATTTCTGTATTGTAGGTCTATATCGTGTAAACTATGATGATCACAATTGGGAAATGATTGCTGCTTACCTCAGACGAAGCAATAACAATAGATTGACTGTCCATAAATTGAACAGAGCTCAGGTAAACTTGTAAAAATGGTCGCTCCCTTAGCTATCCATTATTTCAATTAGTTTGATTCAATCTAATGTTTATTGATATAGTTATTAAAATAAGCATTAAAGTTAAAAACAATACATTATTGCAGAAATATTTTTTTTTTATATTTCAGATGGTCAACGATGTTCTATACTTCGTCAGAGCTAGAAAGATTAACATTGATAGGGCATTTGATGTGTTGTCATTCCTGCGTTCTGAAACTGATTACTACGTTTGGGCGGCTGCTATCGGTCAGCTTAACTGGATTAGAAACCGGTTCGAACATCTGCCGACAGCACACGAACTGTTCACTGTAAGTTTAAAACCTGCGATTGTTATTTATCATTTAAATATTTGTTTATAATGTACCTATTCGTTACCTCTCTATTAGATTTTTTGTTGATAATAATTCAGTTTAAATTGAGAAAAGGTTTACTTATAACAAAATTGTTTAATAGGTAACAGCACAATCAATAAGGTAACTACTATATTATCTTCTTTTTCCAGAGATACATGTTGCAACAGATGGCTACTGTTATCAATCATCTCGGATACGATGAGAGGAGCACTGACTCTACGTCTACGATTTTGAATCGAATGCAGATCATGAACCTGGCCTGCAACCTCGGACACGCTGGCTGCATCAGCGATAGTCTCCGTAAATGGAACAGCTTCAAACAGAACTCTAGCAATTTGTAAGAAATGTCTCCTAACCGATTGTGTAAATTTTATGTGATTTTGATTGGTGATAATTATTTTTATTTTCAAGATAGCACAATGGGTGATTTATCAAAAATATGTAAGAAAATTACAGCCAAATAAGTTATTGTTATTCATATACTTGAAAAATTCAACTTAGGGCAAATATCATGCTGGAATCCAATCACCGATTTTTGCTATCCGGAAGAAAGTATTAGCCTTGGATTTAGACTATTTGTGTCAAATTTCTCGTAGTTGTTTTATCCTGAAAGACAACGACACCTTTCCACATTGTAGGCAAGGAATTACCAATTGAATTGGCGCCATATAGATGACAGAAGACCACTGTGAAATAACACTTACCTTTTTGTGGTAACATGTTTTAGTCAGTGAGTAAGATTTAAGGGTTTCAGGAGATTGAAGACGAATTTAGGGTAGGCAAGATGTGAGTGATACTGCCACGTGTCAGCAGCGCAGTTTAAAAAAACTGTTGCAAGCTACTTTGATATCAGTTTCATGTTTTATTAATTAATATTTATAAATTTAACCAAAGATATTACTAACGTTCCAGAGTTCCAGTGAACCAGCGCCGCTATGTCTACTGCGTTGGTCTCAGAGAAGGCGACTCTTCAGACTATGACTTCCTTATGCAACAATACATGACTTCGGAGAACGCTGCGGACATGGTGGTTATACTGCGGGCTCTCGCTTGCACGAAAAACACCACTTCCTTAAATCAGTTAGTTCATAGACAATAAAACATTATGATTACACTGCAAAAATATTGTCAATGTGTCTTGAACTGGAGATCTTAAGTAAAGCCCGTATGGGTGCAATAAACTAAAGAAAATTGGTAATGTTGCGATTTCAACACAAAACAACACTTTGATTTTCAAATTCTCTATTGGTTTCTATTTCATAAAAACGTTCTTTCATACATATATTGTTATTAAAATAACGAATGCAACAAACAGCCAAATCGATTGAACCATTCTTATGATCATAGTTACGTGGTGGCATTTCATTTCAAATTTATTAACATCATTTTACGCGTTATTGAAATTTCGATTAATGAGAAAAAGAATATTGATAATTATGGTCAAAGAAAGACTCAAATTGTAATATCTTCTCTTTTGACGAAATTGCTCATTAGGTCTGAACACGTTTTGACAGATAGGCCACAGAACCGCTAACCAAAAGTCGGGGCGTGTGCTTGTTTAGCTTCGATATATTATAGAAAAGCTATTTAAACATTTTTATTGAGTCCAATATATGACAAATGTGGATTCTACTAACGTCGACCTTACCTATACTGCATATAGATAGCGTATATTGGGAATTGTAATAGAACTACTTTGGCGACGTTCTTTGACCTTAATGCAACAATTAAACTATTTCGTTTATGCTTCTTTTACAGCTACCTTCACCAGACCCTCACCAACGACAGAATTCGTCTTCATGACAGAACTAATGCTTTCACCTTCGCGCTGCAAGGAAACAGTGAAAACTTGGATACTGTTCTCGAATTCCTCTTCCAAAACATCGCTGCGATCAGGGAAGCGTATGTGAAATTATTTATTGTTGAACTGAAATTAGTTGAGGGCATAATCAGCTGTTATTCGTTTATTTATTTAATAGGTACACAAACAGAGTGCAGTTATTTAATGCTTAAAAACATAAATCTAGTACAAATCTAAACTGGCATCTGCAACAGAGTACACAGCATAAGTAAAATTATGGCAAAATAAAAATATAACCTGAAAACGAGGCTGAACCTTTTAACACAGTTAATAAAACGAGCTAATAAAAAAATGGAAATTAAGGATCTTGAGTACCAGGTCCGAACAAACTCGACATGCTTCTTTTGAAAACTGAGAAACGGGAGTTGAATACATCAAAACCTTTGTTGTTCTTTGAAAATTCGTTATAAGTTCTACACATTCTATAATAATTCTATGATTCCTCTTAATGTAGGATTATAATGAGAGGTGTTATTTTTGAAAACTTGAATTGCGAATATATTAACTGAGAGTGACGAGAGCAAAACTGGCGCATCGATGTATGAGTGCAGAATCTTATGAAAACAAAGTAAATCATATCTTTTACATCTGGCCTGTAAGGAGACCATAAAAAAATTTTGTCAATCGATCTTTATAATTATTTAGGGGCCATATTTAAATTAACGACAAAGGATTCTCAGAAGTTTCCTCTGAACACGTTCAATTCTAGTAACATGTATACGTACATCATAATAGGGCAAAAGTATTCTAGGATACTTCTCGCCAGACTGAAAAAAAAGACAGATAATGCTTAGTGGCTTTTTAAATTGTTTATTAGATCTAATGATATATCTCAGCATTCTGTTACTTTTCATTATAATGTGATCATAGTGAGGATGGCAGCTTGACTCATCATCGAATAACACACCTAAATCTCTTATTAGTGTTTTTCTGCTTAGAATGTATGTTCTGCTTAGAATTTTTCTGTTTAGAATGTTTTGTATAAAATAAGTGTGAGCCACCCTGGTTCCTTTTCGTCTTCTAAAGGACACAACGCAACATTTATCTACGTTGCGGTTCATCATCATCATCATCATCATCAGCCTATTAATGTCCCCACTGCTGGGGCACAGGCCTTCCCTATGGACGGAATAGGGAGATTGGGCCATGACCCACCACGCGGGCCCAGTGCGGATTGGTGGGTGCTTACGACTGCATATGCAACCGGGACCAACGGCTTAACGAAACACGGAGAAGCTCGAGATAGTAATTTTTGCTCACCCATCCAATGACCGACCACTGCGAAAGTTGCTTAAGTTCAATGATCGCAGCCGAACGCGATAACCACTTGCGCCATCCAGCTCCTCAAGTTGAGGAGCTGATGAGGTTCATTTTATTCAATTCACACCAGTTTTCAATAACATTGAGGTCGCCGAAGAGCCTCTAATACTGAATATTTATTATGATTTCTAATACTGTTAATGCAAAGGATGTAGTGATGTTTAATAAATGAAAGTATTAAAATGAAATTGAAACAATGCATGGTTTCCACGGCTAACTTAAGCTAAGAATTCCAATGATAGATGGGATGCAATAAAAACACATTGTAGTAGTATTGAGAAAAATAAATGTTTATAGTTATCCTCGACCGAGTGGTTTGCAGAATTTCGATAGACTCACTAGCACTGAGATTTTATTTCCAGCTAGATCAATGTGGACAACAATGTATTTCGATACAAGCACAAATAAGTGAGGAAAGTTGGATATTTAAAAAAGTTTCTTACACCTTATGGGAAATAAAAGTAACAATGACAATTCAGTACAAACTAGTAATAAATTACAGTAGAATTTTACTTAGGAAGACGTATGTTTTGATTTCAGACATGGTGGTGCAGCGCGTTTGAATATCAACATTAACAATATAGCGGGATTTTTGACGAAGTTCGAAGATATCGAAAAAGTAAGTTTCCATGACCCTACTAGGATAGATTATCGAAGGATTTGGTAAACCCACATGGTGATGTAACAGAAACTCCCTGTAAACATTACTATGTTACCATCATATTTTCTACCAGAGCGGTAAAGGACATTGGGCAAAAATGTATGGACGCTGCCCCCACGCCCGCCACGGCTTAAACTACATTTGTTTGAAAGGTATTATAGTCAAGATCATCTGCGCCAAAGAGCATCAAATTCCATCCCGGGGGTCTTTAGTTATTTTAAGTTAAATATGTACAAGTACTATAACGAACGAACATTAATGAAACAATAAAATGAAGGTACTATAAAATGAATTTAGTAAGCTACTTAAATGTGCCCATGTGTCATATCTATTGACTACCAGGATATTTTTTACGGTGTCATATCTATTGACTACCAGGATATTTTTTACGGTGTCATATCTTTTGACTCCCAGGATATTTATTTTCGGTGTCATAATAAAAAAGGCTAGTTTTTCATAGATCTATCGATTCATACTAATTACATTGTTGGCGGAGCTGGGTGCGTTTTGCCCAGTGTCCTTTTACATAAAATAATTTCACAAACTTCTTTCTTCTCAGGGAAACAGGGGAGGGGATGCTAAATCCATTATTTTGGGAGACTGGGGTGACAAGGCGGTATAATTGAAAAGTAATCGATTGAAGAGGCTAACGAGCCTCTGAAACCAAATACACTCTGAACATGTTCAACCGAAGTTTAGAATGATACGAACATGTTGTTAAACGGCATATAAAATAAAATGAATGCAATGAATTATGTCATTTCCCTACAAGAGACGGCAACTCGGGGCCTATCAACTCTTAGCAATCATTATCTTTTAATTCGTAATCAATTGACACTCTTTCGACTCCTTAATGTAACACCGTATATTATTCTTTCTTCAAGTAATACTGAAATTCTCTTATGGAAAATTTTATGTTGTAACTGTCGGAAGTTTCGTGATTTTTTTAGTAAGTTGTTATTTTTGCTTAAGATTGAAACATCCAGCAGTAAAACGGTTAAAAAATTAAAATATTATTGCTATCGCTTCTTTCAAATGTTTAATACTTGTAAAGGCATTCATTTGACATGGGGGATTACCTACAATGGGAAGAGATGGCGCTGGATTGCAGCCTAAGAAATGCTAGAGAAAATTCGACACGGACAACTAGAGCCGCGGTAGCATCATTTATTGTATATGCCCGGATAGCGGAAGGTGCCGGTTGGATGTGGATTTTTTGGTAGCAGTTAAATTTAGGTTATAAAATTAAAACACAATTTGTTATTTTGTTTTTAGGGTGACAAAGGCAATTCAAAACAATATTGTTCAAAAACTAGATTCTTTCTTTTATGAAAATCTAGTGTATCCTACATCAATCTTATTAACAATGTCTCAATTATTTCTTAGTTCCGACTGTGGGTGAATCAAAATCAAGTGGCATTGGGTAGCAGTGTCTTCGCGGGCGCTGGCGTCGTCACTTCAGCAATGAACCAACTAACCTGGGGCAGCCAAAATGCTCTGGATATCCATACCTCCGTCTTAGCCAGAAGTTCAGCAGCTACTGTTACAACATCCTTGATGCTGCTGTTATCCGTGTTGGCCATACACTTTATACGTTAATTTAAGCTTAAACCCTTTTTGTTTTACTATTATAATGACTATACTTTTTTAAATAGTGTAAGAACTTTTTATGTTTGTTATACTCTAATTTATTGCACCACTATCTTTGTTGACCATCTAACATTATCGTTTGAACAGATGGCGTTTTGTGGTTGTTTTTGTACAGAAAAATAAATATTTGGTATTAATGTTTGTGTTCTATTTTTCTAATAACCTTTGTAACAATTAAGTTTAAGTCTTTGGATGTCTAGATAAACAAATTATAGATTCAGATCTTCTACCCTATTAATGATGGATATGTGATAATTAAATCTACAATGACTTAGCTGTGGGCAAAAGCAAGTTATTCGGTGAATTTCAAAATAGACTCACCAGTGCTTTAGCTTGTATAGGTTGATTGTGTCTTAATTTGCTTTTATAATAGGCTTTTTGGGGTTTTTTTTAAGTGGTTATTCCGTAGAACTTATTAGGTAAGGTCGAACCAATTGATTTTTAACTCACTTGGGGCATAATTTGCTTTGTAGAGAATATGTATATGCACTTAGGATCTTCTAATAACAAAGAAGCTGTGTTAATATGGATCAAAGATATTTAACCTATATTTTCAAAGCAAATAGATAATGATTCAAAGATAAAATTGGATTGGATAGTTGTATGAATTTCGAAATCACTTTTAATGTAACATAAAGTGCCTGTCCACATCTCCACATCACGACGTCGTCAACGTGAAACTGTGCCGCTAACATTGCAAAGGAGAATAGCGAACTCCCATACAATTTATTGTTGAAAAATGTTTTTCGTCTATAAATGAATGAATTATATGAAAAATTATATAGTTTATATTCTTGATTTTCATCATCATTTTTTTTACTGTTTGAAGTCTGAATTTAAAGACATTCTTTTTTGAAGATTTGGAGGTTATTACATTCCGAGTAATACAGAAAAAGAATTATGAAACTTTTGTTATTATTATTATATATTCAAGAGTAGTTTTTAGATCAAAATTTGAGTTACTTAGAAATATTACTTTCGAATTATACCGATCCCGTGAATAAGTAACGAAAAAATATTTTTTACAATGTATGTATGATCAGCGGGCGTGACCGCGTCAAAATACTTTATAATACTTAACAGATATAAAGGTTATTGGATTGATATACAATGTCTGTACTTTAAGATCTCTATGCAATATCTGTACCTAATACTTTTAAAACGCCCATAGGTGTAGGGGTTGGTAGGTGTAAGTACTGCGGCGATCTACCCTGAAGTAATAGATCCTGGGGGCGTAGTTTTATCAAATGGAAAACAACTTATATGTTTAACTCTTTTATTTTATTAGAAATCAGGCGAATATAATAATTGAGTTTAATCTATCAACGTATGTTTTGGTGCCTGAAGTCTATCTGCTGAAACCTTCTATCAAACAACAGAAGATTCCCAATTTCAAATCTTTAAAAATCATGGCATTACCTTTTTAATATACAGTACCTACTCTAAACTTAATAAAACACATTTTAAAAAGCATTTCTAATAGTGTACTAAATTAATTAAATATAAAACACTTTTTATTATAAAATATATATAATTTATTTCTCATTTTCTTTGATTCTTTATATTTGAAAATAAATCCAAAGTAAGGGACAGAATCCTGACCCAAAGTACACAGCAAGAATTCATCCAAAATAGTAGATAATCATAATTCTTAGACAATCACTAGTCAACAGTTAGATTTAAAGATGATATGATGATGGTAGATTTGATCGTACTAATGCATTATATAATACAACACGAGCTTTCTACGGTATACAAACAAGATTGGTCTTCCAGTTACGGGGGATGATTTCGAAAGTCCAGATGTTTAACGATTTTTCTAATAGATAAATTAATTATAGTTCAAGCGTAAAGCGATGCAAAACAAACGAGCAACATATTTGAAGTTGATTTAATCACTAAAATTACTTATAATAATAGGCTCCAATGACATGACCTAAAGCTACAATAAAAAAATGTGATAACGTAATAGATTGGTCAATTGTGTTTCCCTTATTTTAATTCCAGATCTGGACAACCCTCCTCAATTATTTGTTAAATACTTTTGAAATTATTTTATTCACATTTCTGATATTGACATCTATGTATGCTTAAGATTCCTTCACCAAATATTTCGCCATTGTTGTTTACAACAACGTTACCGTCAGCGTCTCACGTTGACGACTTCGTGACGTGGATATGTAGATAGGCATAAACTCTTTCGATTTCTTGTCATTATATAAAAACTTGGTAAAATATACACCGGGATATATCCATCGGCCTACTTAGTGTTCTGGTTGTGCAATAATAATTTAATTTTAAAAACACAAAAAATACGGTTAATTAATCAGCTTCAAGACTGCATGAAATCTTTTTTTCAGCTAGGGACCGTCAAAACTTAAATGCTAAGTGGGTCGATAGGCTGAGCACACGTTGATCGTGTGCCCGGCCTGGCGAAATGAGCGCCGCGATCCGATCGCGGCACTCGGCGGAGGAGGCCTCACGCTTCCAAGTATGGTAAGAGCCATGCTTGGTAGTGAGAGAGTCTGGAGGGCTGCCGCCTCCTTCTGCGAATCTGTGATGGCGCAGAAGGAGGCAGCGGAGAGGGAGCGGGAGGAGGACGCTCTAGCCGCCCCTCTCCGGCGTAGACGGGTGGGCCGAAGAAGGCAGGCAGCGGTGACTGCCGGTCTTCGACGGCCCTAAGGTGGTCTGGGCGCGGCCTGACCAGCCGCGCGTCCTAGGTGCCGCTCCGGCATAGGCCACCACGTCTGGAGACTGCCTAGTACCCTAGCGCAGTCCCCCTGAGGCGCGTCGCCCGGTCCACTCGTTGGGCCGGGCCTGCCCGGGGGCGTCCCAGTGAAGTGGCGCACACTAAGGTGCGTCGATCCTGAGAAGCCCCCATATGGGCGTAGGAGGGTACCGGGGGGTTTTGGTGGAGTAGGATCAGTGTGGCCTTCCGCACTGGTCCTGCTTGAGTAGGGTCGGCACTGTTTCCCGTGCCGGCGAGTCCCACACACGCCGTGCGTCTAGTCAGCGTCACGGTATGGTGCGTAACAGCATTTACCCTCGTCACAAAAAAAAAAAAGTGGGTCGATAGATATGTCCGGAAATGTAATAGGAAAATAATTAGACTATGAAAAAAAAATGGAAGCCTTCCACATTGCTGACGCTTGATGGTCAGGTACTACCAAAAATAATTTTTAAGTGCCATTAAGGCACTACCTGTAGATCTATACATTTTCCCAATTATTCAATGTTCGAACTGTTGTCGTTTTGGACATACTATAACCAAGATGCAATGTAGAAACTTAGATGCTTTTTAAATGCGGTGACAACCACTTTGGTGACTCTTGCAATAGAGAGAAGAAGTTTAACGGTTTTTGTTGCTCATGACAAGGTTCACATTTTGAAACTAATAAATCTTGCCCTGAGTTTGAACAAGAGTAGGAATAAACTTTGAAACGTTCACGTTGTATTTTAAATATAACATTTCACGGGTTAAAAACTCGTACTTTAGTAAAGGTTTTCGTACCTTCTTTATCCCGCCTTCTGACCAGTTATCCCGTCGTGATCACGGGGCGACTGATGCATTGCTATTACGTCTCCGCTTCCGATGACGAATCTTCCTCTACCAACACATTATTTCTACAACTACCCTTTCACTCAACACTAACGGTGACCCGTATTTCGAAACATGGCCGCATTCTGGAGTTTAGCCGATTACGAATAAAAAGGTAATTGCGTTTTTGCCAATATTGACGGATCAATTTAAGACGCGGATAGTTTGAAACCGCCTTCCCGATTTAAATTATTAGGAGGTTTCCTGATCTCAAGTGCTTCACACACTACTGAATAAAAGCAATCGGTGGAAAGGACCTGCGTATGATAAAACTCGATCCAGTGAGTTGCTCCCTTTTCAAGTATTTTTTCTGCAATCGCTGATTTATTAGACTGGCGGTTTTTCACAGTTGCGATGTTTTCTTTGACCCTTTCATGTATTGTTCTTTTCATTTGGCGTATGTAGGAATTGCCATAACTTCACAATATTTTGTAAACCCCCGGGTTTGGAAAGGCAAGACAGGCGAAGATAGTGGATGCAGCAGAAGGTTTGACGCGCTAGCCATCCTCATCTTGCCGACCTGACCAAGTCCTCCACCTCGCGGAGCCCTGAAACCATACTCACCAGTAAAAACACAACATCAACAAAACGTAGTGTTACTTTACTGGTGATCTCATGTGGTAGGTATCTCAAAGGCTGATTTACGAGTATTATTATTCCATCACCAGACTATAGTCGCTAGATTAGCATCAGGGATAATGTGTGAGCTTACAATTCTAGGATACTCTCTATAGCTAGATATATAGGACATATATCTTTATGAAAATTCATATGGTTTAGAACTTCAAATTCATACTACTAGTAGGTATGTACTTACATAGACTATTTTACACAGGATAATATTAAGGTGGATTATACCAAATTATTTTCAGATAGTGTCAAATACTTTTGTAGTATTGTCTTTATAACCAATGGAGAATCTAATCTCCATTGCCAATAAAACTGATAAGGACAATAATTGATACCTATGATATTTTTTTATGACACCAGATAAATATTATTGCTTTAACATTTCGAACAAAACATTTTTAAGTGCCGCCTCTCATCGCCACATCAACAGAACGATCAGGTTTGTTGTTTTATTTTATATTTTGCGGTAATGGCAGTTTCGGAGAGTAAAGTAGGTGATTTTATAATTTTTATTTTAGGACTAACTCTATCTGATAGTATCTGCAAAGAGCTTTTCCTAGTGCTTAGAGCCAAGTTAATTGCTAAGAGACTAAACATAGGGAACAGAACGGTGATGCCTTTAGCTAGGTGAATTATATAGTTTCTAGCATCTTATAAGGCATGGTATTGGTACTACTATGCACGATATCGAAAGCCACAGGACAAGTTATTCAAAACTGTCAAATTTATATAACTGTCTTTAGGCTTTATCTGACATGAAATACGATTCGCAATTGGTGAAAAAAATTACAAATATATGGCTAATTGATTGACAAAAGGTACAATTACTGCACTAGCTATATTCGTGTCTCGACTCTACCGCCACTTAAAACCTTATTATGTAGTTATTTCAATTTCAGGCATGAGCTTTCATACAATAGCACTGAGCTTAATGCTCTTGGTGCTAGCAAAGGCCGATTTTCCATTAGATTTTATCAACGAGTTTGAGGACGCACCTTCGGAGTTCACTGGTATCCGAAGCGATGAACGCATATACAGATTACCGGAAAACGTCATACCTTTGGACTACGATATTTATTTAGACATGTACTTTAGTGAAAGGACAGATAATCCGTTTACCTATGACGGAAGAGAATATATTATTATTCAGGTGAGTGATATATCTGATTAAAGTAACGAAAGTAATCCTGAATTGTGTAACTAAACTTTCTATATTTTAATTATGCTGCATGGCTACATCAGTAACGAACAAATTTTTTAGGCCGAATGAACGAAAGGCATGGACTATGGAATACGAATAAACGACTTTGAACAAGCGATTAAATAAAATAGAGAAAAAATTTGCCAACTCCCGCGGGTTTTGATTGTAAAACAAATTTCGCTCAAACTAGCACTAGCATACTATCACATACTCGCGTTTCACTTTAATGAAATAATGATGATAGTAATGACCCAAACAACATAATAATTAAAATATTGTCCTTGTCTCTTAATATTATCATGAATTTTAATTTAAATATAATTTCTTACATCTATTGTGTATTATTTTATTTAAGGCTGTAGAAGAAAATGTTACGCAGATAGTTTTACACGCTAATGTGGACAGCATTAATGACGTAACACTGCAAACGCAAACAGGCGACCAGGTTGCAATAAGCCGTTTCTATACAGAAGCACAGTATCATTTCTTGAAGATTGACTTAGAAACGAGCTTGATACAAAATAACAATTACAGCCTGTACATAAATTACTCGAGCACTATGAACGATGGGCCGATGAAAAGAGGAATATGGAGAGGGTGGTATGTGGATGACGATGGCGTTGAAAGGTAATTTACAAAAATCAGCCAGCAAAAATTGTTCATTAGAGTCCAATTCAGTGAGTGAATGCTAATTCTGCGTTTAGAAAATTGTATCTGATCATTTATTCTTCATCAGATTTCATGGTTTCTGTTTCAAAACTTTATTTTTTTTAGCAATTATTCGAATAAATTAAATAATTAGTTGATTTATACTTGTTATTCCACTTATTAAGATAATTATGCGTTAAGATCATCTTGCGTCTTAAATGTTTGCATGAACCAAAATTTACTTTGGTTGTTGCTTAAGCTCAGATATATCTTAAATAGGATTCATGCAAATAGACATAAGTGGATAATTTCATCAAGAATCTCTTGCTGACGATTGATGCGGTTGAAACCATCAGTTACAAAATATCCTCTTACATAGAATAATATATAAAGAGTTTCAAAGATGTGTTATGCATCCTATTTGGATGGATATTTTTTATACTTCCCTAGCTCCTTATCTAAAGTGGTTGATTATTTATTACAGGGTTTACGCTACAACTCATTTCCAACCATATAATGCACGACAAGCATTTCCTTGTTGGGATGAACCACTATTTAAAGCTACTTTCACATTACATCTTACAAGACCTTATAGTTATTCCAGCACTTTTTCTAACACCGCCATCAAATCTTCGGATCTGTAAGTATTACCTACTAACATTAAAAATTAAATAAATAAATAAATTCATGACGAAAAATCGACACAGAAGATTTAGATGAAATTCGAAACACACTATGAAAGTCTGAAACACAAATTAATTAGTCTAATAGTTTATTGCACAGATTAAGAAATATGATAATAATATAAAGGCAGATAGAGATAAAGTAAAATCAAAAATTTTCTAATAATTAATCACCATATACGTATTTATTGTATCAGATAGCTCATTAAGATTCAAATCATTTAGTAATGATAAACGATTAAATGTTCGATAAATTGTAATTAATACAGTTAGAATATGAAGCTTTAAGTAATTTAAACAAACTACGACTGGTAATGCTTAATAACGGACTTTTGGATCGTCGGGATGGATTTCTTCAAGCTGCGACTGTTTAGAGAATTATAGTATTCTACGTACTCACATGCACGGACCACTTGATAAATTAATTATTAATGACAGCTTCAAGCTGTTGACTCTGACTATTCGAGCAGTCCATGTATAAGTTACAGTTTAAAGCTGTTTTTAGATAGAACGCGTTTTCCCTAGTTAGAACTACTTTTAAATTAACAATGTTTAAATTTCAAGAAATTATTTCTAGAAAAAAATCTAGGTGGATCAGGCAGCAGATGGGACTCGAAACCGCACCCATCGCTATCCGAGCAAATGCACTGACCGCGCTGGTGGCCGTTTTGATTTTTTTCTAGACTTTCGTAAGCTGCTAGGCAGCTCCATCTCTTCGCATTGTAGATAATCCACAATGTCAAATGAATACCTTTAAAAGTATTAAACATTTGAAAGAAGAAATAGCAATTATAGTTATTTTTTTCTTACTTTCCTCGTGTAGCCCGGAATTAGTGAAAAACAAGTTCAAAATATCATTGCCGGGTTCCGCAGAGTCATAGATACTCGCATGAAATTCACATAGGATGAGAGAGATAAATCAACCAATCTCTGTACTATGTATGTGCCGTCCGATGGCTTCGTCTCTCACACACTTACTTTCGATTTTTCTTTATTCTATGCGTAGAAACATTGATAGGGAACCCCTACGTTCCAAGTTACTATCAAGTAAGTCAAAGAGGTTGACTGAATGAAGGTTTACAGGCCAAATAAACCTGTAAACATCTCTTGGCCGCGGAATATTTTGCGTCATGCAGTTTCCCAAGGTCTTATTACTAAATGCATAATTATTATTTACACGTCTTACTTGGATATATAACACGATTTAACCAATGTGAAATAGTTGGCCATTGAAACCGAAAAATACACAAAATAATTATTTACTCTCCTATTTCTCTCTCTCTTTCTCTTTTAAAATATTGTCCACTTTCTTTTCTCAATTTTAGTATTGCATATTTACTTAAAACAAATTGTCTTTAAGGTTTTCTTCTACATTTAATGAGTATCTGTTATTTGTTTTCCTACCTGAATTAACATTAAACTTATATTTCTTTCCAGTCTTGAAGGGGGTCGATTTATGGACACATTCCAACCGAGTCCAGTGATGTCTTCTTACCTAGTTACCTTCTTGGTGAGCGAAACGTTCCAAATCATCGCTCAAGACAGGAGCTTAAATCCAGCAATCAGGATCATAGGCAGATCAAACACCGCCGGACTAGGGGGTCCAGCGTTAAATATGGCCGTCCAGATGACGAAGCATTTTGACGAATATTTTGGAATACCGTACTCGAGCTTACATCCGTATCTTTTGAATGATCATATCGCGTCCCCAGATTGGGCTTCTGCTGGAACAGAAAATTGGGGGATGGTTAGCTATAGGTAAGTTTATTATTAAGGCGATGGCGATGTCGATGGCGTATTAGATTAACGCGTTTGATTCGCGATCATGAAGGTTAAGCAAAGGATGGGTAGCCTGAAAAGCTTCTCCGTACTTCGGAAGGAAAGTTAATCATCTGCAGTCGTTAGCTCCCACCGATTCACAATAGGTCTGTATGGTGAGTCATGGCTTGATCTTCCTATTCCATCTATAGACCTGTGCCCTAAATGTAGTTTATCACACCTGTTATCCATGCTTATTATAAATTCGACAGTCATTGTTTGCTTCTGACGCTTTCATGCCTTAACCACTGCACCGATTTTTGATGATTTTTGATATATACGAGTACATAAATTGTATCTTAGAAAGGATATTTTTAATACACTCTCATCCACACATCCACCAAATCTGACCTTCGCGCTCTGCAAGAGGACAAGTGAACTCGGCCATGATTCTTTTTTTATTGGACTGAAAACTTGACTAGCCACTTTTAAGTCTCCATTCATCAAGAAGTAACATGCTAGATTCAAGCGGCACCAGTGATGGGAATAGGATACAGAGTTACCGCTAACACTTACTGAATTGACGATATATCGAGTTACATCCTTACCTATTTTCATAATGTTACCGTTATAGCCGAGGTTCCGGGATCGACTCCCGCATTTGAAATGTCGAGTCCTAGTTTTCGTCCCTGAAAATTTTATTTTTGTAGTTACTGACTTTAGTCATAGATATAATATCACAAATCTCTGGTGCAAAAGAAATCGTCTCAGTCTTCTCATAACCTATCTTTAGTTATCTCACCCCACTCCACTGATTTCGTAGCCAAGTCATTTTATGTAAGAGCTGTTAAGTTGTGGAACCCTTTGCCTTTGGATATTAAACGTACACAGACGAGGGATTCCTTTACTATTAAAATTAAGGAATATTTCCACAAGCTGGACTCTGCCTGATCTTTTTATCGGTTTATTACTATTTATTATATTTTATAGCTTCCTTATATCCGTTTTATAATATAAATTCTTATATTTACGTTCATTTATTTATTTTGACAATGCACTAGCCCGCTGTTTCTACTATTCTTATGGTATGGTTTCATTTAGCCAAAGGTTGCCTGGTAGAGATTGCTACCTTAGCAATAAGGCCGCCTTTTGTGTTTTTGTTCCTGTGTTTTATGTTCTCTGTATTGTGTGTTATAGTGCTATAAAGTATATATTCATTCATTCATTCAAATACTTTGAATGCTGGCATTATTGAGTGAATAAATATATTATTCATTACTTAGTAATTCTTCATGGTTGGCCTAATAATGTCTTCATTTGCTGGGGCTAGGCCTTCCCTACGGATAGTATGAGGAGCTCAATAGCGCAAATGGTTAGCGCGTTCGAACTGTGATCCTGGAAGTATATTTAAGTGACTGCGGCGTGAACTTGTTTATTCAAAGAACAGAAAAAAATATGTATATTTCTTTTATTTGCGTAGGGAGTTGCATTTGATCTTGGACAGTCAAGTGACGATTATGTCGGTGGAACATTACGCCGCTACCCTGGTGTCCCATGAACTGGCACATAAGTGGTTTGGTAACCTAATCACCTGCTTTTGGTGGAGCAATACCTGGATTAACGAAGGATACGCAAGTTACTTCGGCTATATGGCCACTCATCAGGTAAAATACATACAGATACACACACACTCGCACATATATATATTTTGATATTTTGTAACTAAATATTTAAATCAAAATCCCTTTTTTCAAATTGGAAGCATAATAAAACTCTTTTGAATAATGCGTAAATTATGTATTTGTAACAGATAGTCACTTTAAAATAGCTTAGACATAATATGTTAACAGTAGCTTATAGTCATATTATTTGTAAGTTTATAACAGTAGTATTAGTTTAACATGATACTGTAAGGAAAACGAGCGTTGGTTTGCCAACAACCTGATGTTTACAGGTTGGCAAGGTATTAAAATATGAAAAAAATATGTATCAATGATTAAATAAATAAAAAAAATAATAAAAAAAAAATATAGACGTAAACAGTTAAACATACACATATTTGTTACGACCATTTAATAGGAAAACGCCACAAAGTTGTCATGTTACACAATCTTTTGGTTCATAAATAAACCAAAAAGTTGATACACGAAAACTTGAATCTAGTCAAGTTTGTTGAATGTCATTTATACTTTAAATAAACTTTATATTGAATTAAAATATTTTTTATTAATTTTATAAGTGGTTTCGTTTTTATGGAATCGAAGTAATGGCAGACGCAGAACTCGTAGGTACTATAAACACTTTGTTCTTATTACAAAAACCATCATTTAATTAGGGTTTATTTATACTTTTCTAATTTGTCTGTATCCATGTCATGTGCTGAATAAACAATATTGATTTGACGAACCGATTTTCATACAGTAAATTTTCAAACATGCATGTGGTCTAATGGGATTTCTTCTTTAGGTTAAGTCTAAGTGCCTGTGCACATATCCACGTCACGACTTTATCGTGGAACGGTGCGGTAACGAGGCACGTCGCGTTGCCATAACGCACAAAGGATCCATTTTTTTCTGTATACAATCCTAACTAATTTTGTACCTAAAGAATCATCGTGCACTTATAAGTAGAAAAATACGCCGAATTCACCATAAATATATATGGAATTTATTATCCACTTATAAAACACTAGAATGTCGGCTGAACAATTAAATTAATGGCAACACAGATAATACATAATGGAGAATGCGAATCTTTAAATTAATGAAAATGAACTACTAAAATCACGTGATTTTTGATACAACCAATCACAATCAAGGAAATGAATTTAAACCAATAGTATTAGCTGTCATCTCTTAGCCAATGACAAATTACGTCTAAGTAATATCGTTTCTTTATACGCAGATTCTCTATTTTTATTCAGATTTGAAGTAATGTTTATTGAATTTATTGAGATTTTGATGAATGAGTCTTTTGAAATATATTATAACATTAAATGTTTTTAAACAAGGTACAAAACTGGGCATAAAATAAAGGTCTCCTTTACGTTACTGTATCGTAAATATGCACGTTACGACGCCGCAACGTTACGTACACTTTGCCGTGCCTTGTAAAATACCGGTACATTCTTCACTCACGAACCAGAGATATAGCAGTTCATTCTAGATACCATATCTAGAACGCACAATAAGTAAAAAGACAGAGAGTGCTTGGAGAAAAAATATTTATTTATTTATTTATCTTTAACAAAGTTTCTACAGCGGTTTTTGTGAAATTTAATACAATAAAATATAGATATAATGTTAAGGCCAATTACAGAAACTCATTACGTACACATTAGATATTAACGGCGTTATTATATGTCAGTAATTATTACATTTAATTTAATTTAATTTTAAAAATTGCATAAAATTCATATAATTCATTAACATAAAAAATAAAATAAAATAAAGGTTGGACAAAAACACAAAAAAAAAAATTCATGATTTAGGTATATTATAAGATTTATTCACAACTTATCGCTAAAACAATCAAACATTTACTGAGCGAGCGCATCGTAGCCACGTCGGCTTACGATGACATCAGACGCACCGATCCAAGTTGAACAACTTCGTGACTTGGAGACGTGGACAGGTCCTAAATTTGAGAAGGTTAGGAACAAAAAGTGTCATTTACAGTTTTTAACTTTTTGAGTAAATTGAGAAAACAAACATTCAAGTTGATCTAAGCAATTTTTATTATTTTTTATTAAGCAATAATGTGTCAAATATTGTATAAAATTTAATGTGGTATAAGTTTATCTTGCTGATTTGAAACTTGGAAGAAAATAAATAAAATACATATCAAATGACACCCTTTGATCCAATAGCATGTAAATGTCACTATTTGATTCAAATATTTTGTAAAATGTTACCTATTGAAACCAACTCTCAAAAAAATGTTACCTTATCAAACATTCAATATGAAATTAAAGATAGATTCACACAAATCATTTTTACTTCTTATAAATATAAATCTCCACAATCCGGTTCTTAGTTTGAACCGACTATAAAGACTTTTCAAACGTATTTCTTACGAATATGTCACTTTTTAAATTCAAGTCTTAATAATTACTGTGATTGAATAAAAATGTAACTTTTTGTTCCGGAAGCAGCAGTTCACATCGATTTTTCTATGAAACTACTGACTTTTTGAACAAAATCTTGGGAGTTACAGATAGAATTTAACATTTGAGTAAATGCCATGCCATTTGTTCCTAACCTCCTCATTTGGGTTTTACCTTTCAGGTGTTTCCACAATATGAACTACACGAGCACTTCAATTCCCGATACCTACAGACCTCGCTGGCATTCGACTCGGGTACTGGCACTGTTCCCTTGAATCATGACGTCAACACACCCGCTCAGGTCACCGGACATTTCGGCACCATCAGTTATTCTAAAGCTGCAGCATTTCTAAGAATGACCGCAAACATGATCTCACAGGAATCCTTCAAGAAATCATGTCAATACTTCTTGAAAAACAAGTAAGAACAGTTATGATTTTATTTATTTTTTAAGCATCTATCTGCTAGATGTTTAAATCTAAAGAAAAGTTTACTAGAAAAAAATCCACGCGGACCAGGCAGCGGATGGGACTCGAACCCGCATCCTTCGCTATCCGGGCGAATGCACTGACCATTATGCTACCACGGCCCTATTAGCCGCGTCGAAATTTTCCTAGCCTTAAGTAGTAATAGTATTGTAGGTAACCCACAATGTCAAATGAATACTTTTTCAAGTATTAAACATTTGAAAGAAGAAATAGCAATTATAGTTATGATTTTATTTATTTTTTAAGCATTTAACTGCTAGATGTTTATATCTAAAGAAAAGTTTACTAGAAAAACCTACCTACAATGCGAAGAAATGGCGCTGCCTTGCAGCTTAAGGCTAGGAAAATTTCGACGCGGCTAACAGGGCCGTGGTAGCATAATGGTCAGTGCATTCGCCCGGATAGCGAAGGATGCGGGTTCGAGTCCCGTCCGCTGCCTGGTCCGCGTGGATTTTTTTCTAGTAAACTTTTCTTAAGTAAGAACAGATTCGAAGGGCCAATAATAATTGTACTAAAAGTTCTTAAATCAAATCTTGGCTAAAACCCTTCGATCAACAATCCTATACATAACGGGTTGCATATAAAATCAAAGCTAAAATTTGTCTGAGTATGTTTAAACTTATGCAGCTACATTCGATTCCCAATGGACAAAGATAAACGTTTTAAAACTGTTTAAGTTGAACCTAATAATAACTCACAAAGGAATAAGGTTACAAATAATACATGTTATTTCGCACGTACGACCTTTTATATTATAAAACGAACTCTTGTTTCTTTTATAAATTATATCTGATTCTTGGAAAAAAACTATAAAGGCGAAAAAAGGAAAATGTGAAATCAACCTTATGACCCACAAAATAAAATATTTTACCTAATCATTGGCCAGCGAGTTACATCATTTTCTATTAACCTAACTAATTTAAAATAAGAACTCACGCTCCAAGTGAGGCTATATTTACCGAGACGGATTTTACGTGCTGACCCGTTATATATAGAACTAGCAGCCCGCCCTCGCTTCGCTTCGGTGTAGAGCTGAAGTGTATACTACAGTTTTTGTTCTTATGCTTGTATTATACACAATGCCATTTATCTATGATACTTCTTATACCTGCATGCAAAGTCTCAGTCCGATCGGTTTAAAATTGACAGTATACAGTAGACATATTGACAGACAACATTAACATTATTTTATCTTATAATATAAAATTTTCATTCCCTATTTTATCCCCTTGGGGGTACAATTGATCAAAATCCTTTCTTAGCGGATGCCTACGTCATAACATCTACCTGCATGCCAAATTTCAGCCCGATCCGTCAAATGGTTTCCGCTATGCGTTGATAGATCACTATGTCAGCCAGTCACCTTTCAGTTTTATATATATATATATATATATATATTGTTGATCGAAGCTAAACCCTTTATATTTAATTTTGACAACAGTAACTGTTTGAAGTTAATTTATACAATTGAGTTAGAACGATGAAAGATTAAAGAACGATGTTATTAATGCATGTGATCCAAAATGAAATTCAGTTATGATACAAGATTATAGATCAGTACCCTTAGCACGAACCAAAATCGAATTCGTAACATTTGCGAGTCCAAAATGTCATTGTCAAATGTGTACCGATTTTTTAGTTCTCGTTACCTACATTGTGGCGCTGCTGTTCAAGTTTCTATACAAAATTCGACATTGACATTTCGCACTCGCAAACTATTCGAATTCGCTAATGGTTCGTGCTACCCCTAGCACGAACCATTAGCGAATTCAGTAGGGAAATTCTGCAACATATATAATTATTGTTATGATTTTATTTATTTTTAAGCATATAACTGCTACATGTTTAAATCTAAAGAAAAGTTTACTAGAAAAAATCCACGCGGACCAGGCAGCGGACGGGACTCGAACCCGCATCCTTCGCAATCCGGGCGAATGCACTGACCATTATGCTACCACGGCCCTATTAGCCGCGTCGAATTTTTCCTAGCGTTAAGCTGCAAGGCAGCGCCATCTCTTCGCATTGTAGGTAACCCACAATGTCAAATGAATACTTTTTCAAGTATTAAACATTTGAAAGAAGAAATAGCAATTATAGTTATGATTTTATTTATTTTTAAGCATTTAACTGCTAGATGTTTAATCCAAAGAAAAGTTTACTAGAAAAAAATCCACGCGGACCAGGCAGCGGACGGGACTCGAACCCGCATCCTTCGCAATCCGGGCGAATGCACTGACCATTATGCTACCACGGCCCTATTAGCCGCGTTCTTTAGATTTAAACATCTAGCAGTTAAATGCTTAAAAATAAATAAAATCATAACTATAATTGCTATTTCTTCTTTCAAATGTTTAATACTTGAAAAAGTATTCATTTGACATTGTGGGTACAACCTACCTACAATGCGAAGAGATGGCGCTGCCTTGCAGCTTAAGGCTAGGAAAATTTCGACGCGGCTAATAGGGCCGTGGTAGCATAATGGTCAGTGCATTCGCCCGGATTGCGAAGGATGCGGGTTTGAGTCCCGTCCGCTGCCTGGTCCGCGTGGTTTTTTCTAGTAAACTTTTCTTTATATATGTTTTATTCTTATGTTTTAATCTTGTTACAAAAGTTTAATTTATTTACATTGAAATTTGTAATTTTTATTGTTCCGTCGTTAGAGAGCAAAATAGTGCAATTACCGTATTTAAATTTAATATGTTTTTAAAACAATCGGAGCTCTTTACGGATATCATTGTCACTACAATGAAATTAGAGATCTACGACACGACGCTCTCCTGTGATTCCGAAGACAATCGATTTTCGTTTTTGTCGATGCACCAGAATCTTGCAGTATCGATTTTTATAATTTATTATTACAAAGTTTCTATACATTCAACTTTTTTTAGCTTATATCAAGCAACAGACCAATATGACTTGTTTCAAGCCTTCGATGAAGCTGTAAGAGAAGATGGAACTTTACAGGAGTACCTCCACTTCAATTTTACTGAATATTATGACATTTGGGTGAATCAACCTGGTTATCCCACTCTGATTGTGTATGTGGACCACGCTACTGGTGAAATGGCACTTCGACAAGTAAGCATATTTGCACAGATAATAGTCGATTTAACCTATATACACTTAAATAGAGAAATCCAAATAAACCACGCAAAGAAAACGGCTCATGTTATGGAGGCCATACACATTAGGTTTTGCATGATGGTTTTAGCCGTGCATGCATAACCGACATGCATAACCGAGTTTCATATTGCATATACACGTTAGGGTTTGCATGCAAAGTTTTGCCATTACTCTCAGTTGAGCTACGTAACGGCATGTGTAGGATGCCTATTATTGTACTATGAACGGTTTTTTTTAAATCACAACTCATTTTGTAGCAGTGGGCTCATTCCTTGAGCTTAGTTATCAATCTCTGGTATGCTGCCTATCGTTTGTCTATGTCGTGATATTTTTTGTACTCTACGCTCAAAAGACAAGGTTCTGACTTATAAATTTCTAAGAATTCTTCTAATGTTGCATTGCGCTTGCGACCTTCCGCCGTCGCAACAATGAAAAACATAAAAAATTGAGAACTGTGACAGGCAAGCTCGCCGGACGCCACACACGCTCGGTTATGCTCGCGCGCAAACATAACCAAGCGGCATAAAATATCAATTTTGATATTTGTTCGGTTGCATGTACATGCACCGATAACTCTACAGTTTTATCACATACACGCTAGGGCTTGCATGTTGGTTATGCATGCGCGGTTAAAACCATCATGCAAAACCTAATGTGTATGGCTTCCATTAAGCGCAATGTGTGCGTGAGTGTAATGTCAGATTATTTTTTAAAGCGTGTACGTGTGAATTACCATATGTAGTAGATATTTTTTCCGGCGCTTCTGTGCCGTGAATTCAGTATGTAGACGTGTAATCAAAGAATTAGCTTATTAATGACCCCACTGCTAATGCAAGGGCCTTTCTTTATCTAATATATAAAATTCTCGTGTCACGGTTTGCGTAATTGAACTACTCCGGAACGGCTCGACCGATTTTCGTGAAGTTTTATATACATATTCAGGATGTCTGAGAATCGGACAACAACTTTTTTTCATCCCCCTAAATGTTAAGGGTTTTTTTTGTCAATTTTTTTGGTTTTGTTTTGATACATCATACAAAAATATATACTTACAACCCTATATTTTCACCCTTCTACCATCAACCCCTGTTTTTTATGGCTGCACGAAGTTTGCTCAGACAGCAAGTAGACTTATAAAGGAAAAATCACTCAGTATAAATGTAACCGACGCGACGACTTGACGTACTTCCGGAGCACGATGTACGCAGGTATATGCGTATTTTTTGATGGTGCTCTAATTGTTTTGGCACTTATATTTTTGCCGTAAGCTAGGTTGCAGGGCAGAGTTGAATCTGAATTTACAGTATTTAGAATAGAATAGAATAGAGTATATTTTATTAGCCCTCATATTACAGATATTACACATTTACAAATACAAATTCAAAAAACACAGGGCTAACCAGGTCTCTGCCTCAGCATTAGCTGATGCGACATTGTTTCGCACCAGCGCTGTTATTCTGGCAGAACCTGTTTAGTGACACAAAAAAAAGACATCTTAGTTATTTCTTTTTTATTACTTGAAAGGATGTATGGACTTAGTATCCTTTGCTTTCAAGTAACAAAAAATAAAAATAAATAAAAGTCAATCAAAACAGCAAAAAACAAAATAAAACAGCAAGCAAAGCAATGCAAAATGAAAACGAAGCAATTCATTTAATTTCAGCCTAAAAATTCATTTATATTAAAAATTTACATGATTCAGAAAGTATGCTTCAGCAGTACTATACGATTTCATAGTTATTATGACTACCTCCGAGGCCGAGTGGTTTATACGCCGGATTTCATGGTGTCGCCGACTCGAGAGGTCCCAGATTCAAATCCCGGTGGGGGCAGAAGTTTGTATGCTGAATACAAGCATTTGTGCTCCAGTCATGGATGTTTAATATACATTTCTATATAAATATACTTATATATGTATTCTATCCATTACCCTAGCATCCCATAATACAAGCCTTACAGTGCTTACTTTGGGGCTAGGCTAATTGGTGTTAGTGTTGGAAATATTTATTTTACCTATTTATAGTCAAATACTGTCACAGCGCTGCCGCAATGTCGAACTGTGTTTTATAAATATTAGCATAGCAGATTTGTTATGTCAGTATGCCTGTGGAGGATAAGAACTGTATTTTTAATTATTATTAGAGAAAAGAAAACAGTGGTGGCAGTGACAAGATAAAGCAATCTATTTAATGTCAAAGAATAACAATCTCAATGAAAAAAAGTATCAAAAACTCATAGACAAAACATAGTGATATAAAAGGTGCGCTATCTGGCACATGGTCCCCTTTTTTTAAATTGGAAACGCGATCAGCTTCTTAAGAAGCCTTCGCAGGATTCCTGATGGAGTGGAGACGTCTGCTATTCAGAAATCAGAAATCAGAAATCAGAAATCAATATATCTTTATTCAAATTGGATGTATAGTACAACTCTTTTGAATCATCCAAAAATTTTTTTTCCCTACCACTCTTTATGGACATATTTTTTATCCGAATTACACCATCCTTCCCTGGGTAAACGGCTGAGATCCGACCTCTTGGCCACGATGACCTCGGTAAGGTACCATCGGCGATGATAACTCCGTTAAGAGTTGGTACAATGCCTAATTGACCGTTTTATCATAAAAACGTAGTACTTACCAACAATGCTCCGCCGATGTTCATTGAAGCATGTTATCCGCGAAGGCAGCATTTTTTTGTTGCCAGATTTGTGTAAATTGATGTTGTTCTGTGTAAGTTTTTTTCTGAGACAAACACACATTGTAATCTCTACTAGGCTTATTGAATCGTGATCATGATCATCAGCCTATTAATGTCCTCACTGCTGGGCCACATGCCTTCCCTACGGATGGAATGGGGAGATTGAGCCACGACCTACCATCGGGGCCCAGTGCGGATCAGTGGGTGCCAAGGACAGTAGATGCAGCCGATACCAACGGCTTAACATGCCTTCCAAAGTATGGAGAAGCTCGAGATATTACATTTATGGTCACCCATCTAATAACCGACCACTACGAAAGTTGCTTAACTTTGACGAATGCAGCCGAATGCGCTAACCACTTGCGCTATCGAGCTCCTCTCACCCTGACACCTAGTTAGTTTCAACTTTATGTCATAATCATTTCAATGATGAAGGAACATCACATATTTGTGAACGAACTTTATTGGTTTTAGGAACGGTTTTTCTTAAGCTCATCCGCGGAAACGACCGGACAAACTTACCCAATTCCTTTGACGTACTCCACAAAACGGAACAGAAACTTTGACGAGCTCAAGCCATCAGACATGATGAGCTCCGAAAGAATGGTATTACTGAAACCTACCGGCGAGGAGTGGGTGATTTTCAATCATCAACAACACGGTGAGCTGTCATTTGTTTTTTTTTTGTTTTTTGATCTGTGGCTGTTTCCGTTTCACACAGAAATTTCGCCAATATCCCGTAGTGAGAGAGACACGGTATGAGAGAGATTGCTCGGTATTTATACAAATAAAAATTTTATATTTTATCCGAATAAGCCTTCTTCCTTGAGCTTTTATTATTGTATGTCATTTGTTTGATATGTGTGCTGTATTATGTATGGCAGTGTACGCAAGGTCGCATCAAGGGGTACGCAGAGAATCTCTTAACTAAGATATCAAATAATTTCATGTTTCATTTATAATGCGATTCAAATAAGAATAGGAAAGCCAATGACCTCCATCTGTCAAATGTCGCTTGAAAAGTACGATTTGCCAAATAATCTCGAAACACTTTTTTAGCACTCAGCTGATTCTAGAATAAAAACCAAACATTTTTAAACAAACAATAACAAATGTTGATAATTAATATTTTTTGTTTTTTTTTTTTCATTTATTGAGTATTGGCTATGAATGGTTGATAACCTAAATCGTCAACCAATTGTCACTTTATGTTGCGTTTAGAAACTCGATTTAAAACTTTCGTTTACATATATGTTGTGCATGCATGTTCATATGTGACCTGCATGATTATTCATAACTTCTCCGGCGGTAATACAAAGATGAGCGAAATTGAAGAGTTTGATTCTGATTAATGTTTTTTTTCACACAGTCTTAATAAAGAAATACTATTAAAAATCGGTTGTGTTCTTTCTCAACCTTAGTAAATTAATTTTTATTAAAAAATCTGATGTTTTGCCTCACTTAATCTTAGTAAATAAGTTTTATTGAATTGCAAAATTTTTTTGCTCACTCTACCTATTTGGTTTGAATTGACAAGTATGACGTCAAAATATGGCGGCCAGTCGGTCCTGTTGTTAGTTGAATCGCATTATACTGTTCCTGCATTAAGGGGTACGTGAGTTCTGGGGTCTTTCTTGGAGTGCTACGTGGAAGAAACTATTTGGGAAACACTGGTACAACCTTTCTATAATATACTTAACAGAGAGCAAGACCTTTAATCTACACTAGTGGCCCGCCCTCGCTTTGCTTCGGGGTAGAATTGATCAAAATCCTTTCTTAGCGGATGCCTACGTCATAACATCTACCTGCATGCCAAATTTCAGCCCGATCCGTCCAGTGGTTCGGGCTGTGCGTTGATAGATCACTATGTCAGTCAGTCACCTTTGAGTTTTATATATAGTATAGATTGTCTTGAATTTAGCTACACAGAAATGCGATGGTGGTCTGGACTCTCCAAATGCAAAATCAACGAGCATAGTAGACTAAAGCTGTAGCCGTCCTAGACAATAGTGCATTACCACAGCCGCAAGCAAGACTCATTGATGGACGGACGTGTAAGTCCGTCAATGCCTAGTTGAGGCTAAAGATTGTATAGTACTTTTCCCAAATAGATAATTCGCGGAAATCAAAACTAGGCCAGCAGCGGCAAGTTCAATGGCGAACAAAGAAACAACAATAGTTTCGTCCGATGTTCATTTGTTTTTTTTTTTAATAAACAGCTTTCTATTTGCTAGCCAGTTCAAAAATGAAATAAAACCTTTGATAAGTTACCTCATTGGTTTCCATGTATCGAAGTAGAAGATCGTTCCATTTTTAAATTACACGACAGACATTAGTTTACTATGTAATTTATTTGGCTGCTAAACCCAAACCACGACAGATATGGATTTTTATACAAATGCCGGCCGCTGCTCGCATGTTTGGCCAGTACAACAATTTCGATTTACCTCGAAAAAGATTGTCAAAGTATTGCTCCAAGATGTTTGAGAAATCATTATTTAAACTTACCCTTGTTTATTTTGCTGCTGCTGCTGCTGGGTGCGGAGTCGTGGTAGAATCCCTAACGGGGACCCCGCGGCTTCGCATTATGCAGTGTAGAAGGTATTCGCAGGACTTTGTTAGCGGATATTATGCCGTAAAGCGCCCGTAAGAGTTGCGAGGTCCTCGGTGGGCAGCCACTGGGGGGTCCGTAAGACTTGCGGGAGTCAGGTGTGAGGTCCGTTCGGCGGTGTGCCTCTTAAAGGCGCCGTCGTCTGTAAAAAGATTTTTAGCCTGCGTTATAAAAAAAAGGGTACTTAAAGATGTTTTTATATATTTAATAAAAATTTCAGGACATTACAGAGTGACTTACGACGACCGGACATGGAGTTTGAACACTGAAGCTTTGGAGAACGAGCGAGACTCAATACACCATTTGAATAGAGCGCAAGTGGGTAATTTCCTTAGATTAAAACAAAAAGGGTAGATACGGTACGCTCATACTTGCATCAAACAAAAACTGATCCCACGGCAGCGCGAACGGGACGGCGAGATCCGCGTCACTGCATTACCGACCCGAACGAAACAGCACGTTAAGTTTCAACGGCAGCGCGAACGAGACGGCGAGATCCGCGTCACTGCACTACCGACCAATCACGCGACCAGTACTCGACGTCACTACCGAATAAGATTCAAAACAAACAGCAATTTTTATGAAAACATATATTTTATAGTACTTACGAACGAAAAGTGATGCCGTGGGTTTTATTTTTAGTTCTTGAGCAATTTGAACACTTTTTAAATAAACTTAGGCATTGTTTTATCATATAAAGACAAAATATTAGCAATATTTCTTTTTGGCGTTCACATGTACGTCGTTTGCATGTCAAGTTGTGACTAAAGCGATTAGGGTCGTGGACCACGATTCATGCGGATCACTTTTGTGAGGCTAGTGCCGTATCCACCCTTTTTGTTTTAATCTAAGGTGATTTCTAATATAAACTCCATCATCAGCCTAGTAATGTTCCAACTGCTGGGGCACAGGCCTTTCCTATGGATGGAATAGGGAGATTGGGCCGTGCGTCACCACGCGAGCCCAGTACGGATTTGTGAGTATTAAAGACTACAGATTCAGCTGGGAACAACTGATTAACGTACATTCCGAAGCACGATGGAGCTCGAGATAGTAAGTTTTTGGTCACCCATCTAATGACCGGCCATTACGAAAATTGCTGACTACCACGATCGCACGAGGAACTCAATGGATAGCGCGGTCGTGCTAACTATCTGCTCCATCCAGGTCCTATTAAACTTACAACCTTTTTTTAAAGTAGGTAGGGTAAAGCGGATTTTCTGCACTCCCCGTCTCTCTCTAGTAACTACATATCTCCTGAATGAAAACCACAGTACAATAGCACTAGGTATCTTTTAGCCGTTTTTTTTGTATAGATTGGTCCGACAAATTACTCCACCCCACCTGATGTTAAGTGATGGTGAAGTCCAGACGTGAAGATAGCTGGTACAGCAGTTCTACCTGACACACCAGCCATCCTCACCTTGCCGGCCTGCATCTTGCTTCTTCACACCTCTTTTAAAGCATTCCAGGTTGTAAGAAGGAGAGAACACGTGAGCGCGCAGAGCATTCCATTTACGGATAATGCGACGAAGAAATGAGTCACCAAATTTCTTTGTACGCGTTGGAATTGTGGTCACAGTTAGACGGTGACACCTTTGGTGGTGTTGTGTTTCTATTTGTGTTTTACAGTAGTTTAGTAAGATATACTTCTAAATGGACTTGGTCGTGGACTTCACTAACACCATCAGGTAGGGTTGGAAATAATATGCCAAATATAAAACGCAAATTTCATAATACTTTTTTCACTTATTTTATTTAACGCGACCAAACTTTATCAGCAACATTATTTTTATGAGACTATTTTAATTTGGAACTTTTTATTTTTACAAGAACATGCCCCATTATCCCATTTAATTTTTTTATCGCGATGGGAGCGACGATTCATTGATGCAACAATGCACTAACTAATCCCTTTGATGCATTCCTATGAGTACATTTTAGATCACTTAAAACATTGTCAGAATTTTCACTCGAATTGAAAGTGTAATTTATGTTTGTAGAACAATAAGGATGAAATGCCAAAACATAACTCATGCTGTACAGTGTATTTTTAGTTACTCATCCGAAGAAAAGACTTGAAAAAGTTGCTTCATCTACATAATTCTGTTTATAAATATGCGAATAGGTTAGGGGGCTACGCTTATTGGTGTAAGAAACGTTTTTTGTTCATTACTAGCTGTGCCCGCGACTTTGTTCGCGTGGATGTCTCAAAATAAAAACATGTCGTAGGCTAGTATTTCTTGTCATTCATCATCATCATTGCTGGGGCACAGACCTTCCCTATGGATGGAATAGGGAGATTGGACCATGACCCACCACGCGGCCCCAGTGCGGATTGGCGGGTGCTAACGACTGCAGATGCATCCGGGACCAATGGCTTAACGTGCCTTCCGAAGCACGGAGGAACTCGAGATAGTAAATTTTTGGTCACCCATCCAATGACCGACCACTGCGAAAGTTGCTTAACTTCAACGATCGCAGCCGAATGCGCTAACCACTTGCGCCATCGAGCTCCTCAACTCTACTCGAGTATTTCTTGTAAGTGATATTAATTAAGAGTCACTGGGGTCGGGCGATGGGGGCAGAGGCGGCTTTACTTATAGTGCAAATGAGATGAACGCAGGCGCAGCGGTTTCAGGGGGCGCCATAGATATAATGGGGGGTGCCGAACGTCACCATTACATTTTGCCCGCGACTTTGTTCGGGTGGATGTCTTAAAATAAAAACATGTCGTAGGCTAGTATTTCTTGTAAATGATATTAATTAAGAGTCACTGGGGTCGGGCGATAGGGGCAGAGGCGGCTTATACGGCTATTGGCGATGAACGCGGGCGCAGCGGTTTCAGGGGGCGCCATAGATATAATGGGGGGCGCCGAATGCCACCATTGCATTTTGTCCGTTCGCTTACTAGAAGGCGCTAGGTTTACGATTGTACATGAGGAGTACAAGGAGTTATTCTCTCTTATCCCTCCATCACCTTTTCTTTAGAGGTGGGCGTTTTTAGAATAACTAAAACTAAATTAGATGCCATCTAGTTTTCGTCAACTTTACTATAGCAACGGTGCCACAAACTTATCTGTGCCGGTGAAGATGTCACTAGCGGTGAACAAATATGTCCTAAAAATGTCACAATGCTATAGATAAATTTTAGTTCCAATTTTTGCCACCTGCACTGAAAAGTTAGCGATACTACGATACTGACATTCACTTGGCATCGATGCGATACTACGATACTGACATTCACTTAGCATCGATGCGATGCCGGCATCGGTGCGCGGATCCGATGCGATTTATCTGATACCGATGCGCATCGATTTCACAAATATCTAAAAACGCCCATCTCTACTTTTCTTTAGAGGACCACGCGCGCTGCCCTATAATGTGGGGTTCTTTAAGAGAGGCGTGAAGAAGCAGTTTTGCAGGCTGGTAAGGTGAGGATGGTTGGTGAGGCAGTTTATAACTGCTGTAGTAGCTAAAAAAAGGGGCTAGAGACGCTTCTGGATGGGGGCCAACGGGGTGCCTATGCCGGTAGGATAATGAAGACAAAGGGTAACGAATAAGTGACAGATACCAACCAGATTGTATTTTTGTAACACCCTGTATAATTATGTGGGTAATACACATCAATACGAGTATAATTTTCATTGTTTATTTCAGGTTGTTGACGATGTGTTCGCTCTCATGAGATCGGAGAGAATGACTCACGAAAAAGGTTTTAGCATACTCCGGTTTCTTCGGAAAGAAGACAACTACCACGTTTGGAATCCGGCTATATCCGGTTTCACGTGGCTCAGGAACAGGCTGAGGCATTTGCCAGAGAGACAAGCCGAGTTCGACGTGAGTTTCACACTAAATGCTGTCTGTTTAACAGTAACCATTTCTTTGGATAAGTTACAACGTCTCAAATATGTTTAATATTATTTAAAGTCTCCTTCTTGTCTCCTTCTTGTCTCCTTCTTGTCTCCTTCTAACGTCATCGCAAAGAAAGTGACTGCACTATCATTCTTTATCATCAGCCTATTAATGTCCCCGCTGCTGGAGCACAGGCCCTCCCTATGGATGGAATAGGGAGATTGCGCCATGACTCACCACGCGGGCCTATTGCGGATTGGCGGGTGCTAACTACTGCAGATGCAGCCGGGACCAACGGCTTAACGTGCCTTCCAAAGCACGGAGGAACTCGAGATAGAAGATATTTGGTCACCCATCCAATGACCGACCACTGCGAAAGTTGCTTAACTTCAACGATCGCAACCGGACGCGCTAACCACCTGCGTCATCGAGCTCGTCACTACCATTAATCAAACTAAAAAGTAAATGAACGTCTCTGAGTAAGGCCGTTAGGGCCTATTCAGGCCGGAATGGTAGCGGCCAGTAGCGACGTGCCGAGCACTTTCACGCTAACAGCAGTATGAAATTATTTTAAACCTACCACATACTTAAAATACCAGTACTGCCAGTATCGCTTGAAAAGCTCGAAAAAGTAGCGCGGCCTAGGCACAAGGCCGGTCGCAGTACTCGCATCCAGCTCCTGCGAGCCAATTTGCGCAAATCGTCACTTAGGGATGAAACGATACCATCTAGGTATCGATACTTTTACTCGATACTGTATCGGTCGGTAAGTATCGATGCCTACTTCGGCATCGAATGAAAAGTATCGATTAATTTTGACGAACGATATTACAATTACAAATTCAGTCACAGTTTTGATTTAACGAAAACAAAATAACGGCTCAGACCACGCTATGAACGAATAAATTGTAATAAATATTAATCTTACGCAAGGCTGCTAACTGATCAGTAGAATAGATGCGTTCGCGAAACAAAAATTCCAACTAGACACCTTACTATAGAGTAAATAATCTGCCTACGATTAATTTTGATAGTTCTCAGTGAGTGACCGACCGAGTAACGATACAAGTACTTACTTCACGATACTACTTGTGACTCAGTTCTAAAGTATCGATGCCAAAAGTACTTGGTATCGAAAGAAAAGTATCGAGTAGTTACTTGTATTTACTCGTATCGTTTCATGCCTATCGTCACTCCTTCGTGCCTGTAAAACAAATCATAGGAGTATTATTCCTAAACGATAATATATCCTTGGTCCACCCAGGTGAACCAAGTGTCAGGACAAAGTCTCTGGAGTTCACCCAGGTGAATTTTTTAAGTAGCCCACGGATATGAATCACATCCGTCGCAATAAATTTTTCCTATAAAAACTTTTTTTTTAACATAATTCTTCCTTCCTCCAGTCCATCATTCTAAGCTACATGGAGCACGTGATCAATAAGGTTGGTTATGAGCCCGAATCAGAAGAAACCCCCACTGTGAGCATGCTGCGTCAGGAGGTGTTGCAGTTTGCCTGCAACCTTGGACACGAGGAGTGTGTACAGGAATCGGTGCGAAGATTTCTGGATATGAAGGAAAACAATGCTGTGTAAGGACTGCTTACTGCGTGCTATTAACATTGACAGGAATACCAAGTTTTTTTTAAAGTTAAAAGGGTGGCATTATAATAATCATAATCAAAATCATTTATTCAGTTTAGGCTGTTACAACCACTCATGAATATGTAGAAGCTACGCCATCGGTTCGTAAATCTACGGCGGGAGACCTTGTTCTGAGAAGAACCGGCAAGAAACTCAGCAAGGGCTGTTTTTTTCTCCCAGCCTAGACACGAAGATAGATGATGCGGAAAAAAGTGTCCCACTCCAGCTATCCTGAACTTGCCGGCCTGAACCCAATACCCTACCCTGCGGAGTTTCGTGTATATATCTAGTATTCTGATTACAAGTTTTAAGATTGATTAACTTAAAGTCTTATTTACCCAGCACTTTATTCATAAACCCACAATGGGTTAAAGCATATAATTGATTATATTTTTCAGTGTGGATCGACGCATTCGACGAAGTGTGTACATGAATGGAGTCAGAGAAGGAGGTGTAGAAGATTTTGAATTTATTCTTGATCGATTCAGTAAATCAAACATTGCTAATGACCGTTTGGAAATGTTGAGGGCTCTGGGTACAGCTAAAGATCCGCAACTGCTGACAAGGTAATCATTTACAGCAATTGAAAATATATGAAAAAACTGACAAGTGGTACTGAATCAAATAAAGAACGTAATTATGACGTTTCTTATAACAATGTAATGATAATAACTAATGATTAGGAGACTAGAATGATATTGACTTAGAGGAATGGTAAGAATCCAGATAAGCGTCATAATTACGAACTTTTGCTTTAGTCGGGCTAGCGTTGCTTATATTTATATACATAAAAAATTACCTCTTTTCCCCCCGGTCACGCTGTAATTTGAGTATGACTTTACTGATATCACATTTTTTTTGAGTTTTCTATACTATAAAATCTACAAATCTTATGAAAACAAGAAATAGTAAAGTTGCATAAATTTTAAGTTAACGAGGACGAAGTTTCGGAGGAAAGCATTAATATTGACATAGTGACATGGAAGCATAATAGAAATCTCTCCCAGGTAAGGCATTATAGAAAAACCTTAGATAAGAAAGACAAAAAGTTTATTAAAAAGGCACTATGACTCATGATTATCATTAAATTTTATTGATTTACTTATCATCCGATTTGTAAGCGGAAGGAAATATAACTGATTAAAAGTTTACAATGATAGATGACTCAACATATTATTAATCCCAATATTGAATATGGATATAAAAATAGAAAAAACAATCGTAGGTAATTCTTTTTTCATTTCAGGTATCTGCAACTGACCCTCACCCGAGATGTAAGGTCACACGACAAAGTGAATTCTTTCAACTTTGCTCTTCTTGGACATCAAGATAACGCTAACACTGTTTTAGAATTTGTTAAAAACCATATTGACGATATAAGAATAGAGTAAGTAAAAAAGATTTGGTTTATGCCTAACTTTAGTTTTGTAATCAGTGGTTTGCATCCACGCAAAATGTTAAGTTCACAAATAATCGTATTGTAACTAGTTCTATATTGTAATGTTTAACTTTACAGATACGTTGAAGATGCACCACCCACTCCTGTGCACACTGCATTGTCAAATCTTGCCTCATATTTGGACGAATCGGGTTTGAATGATGTGAGTATGTTATTTTTCATAATCTGATAATAACCAAATCGATTTTTATAATAAATATTTATTTATCATCTTCTTCAGATTTGAACATCTAGCAGTTGAATGCTTATAAAAAATCCTTAATTTGAAATTGTCTTTGTGACAATTAGATTTATTTGTCATCCTATCATACGATCACTCAATTCTTTTGACAATAATTTTAAAGTAGCAACTTGATAAAGCGACCAAGGCGCACAATACATATTTATCTCCATTTAACGGGTATGTAGGAGCCATACCCATTTAGGATTCATTATAAATTATTTCGTAATTACATATTACAAAAAATCATTAAAAATAAATTACTTGTTTGTACAAAAGTAACAAGGCTGCCTTCTGCTCCAAAAATCTTTTGAAATTCAGACTGTGGAGATTTTAATCAAGCATTTTGTCTTTTACAGTATGAAGCGTGGCTTCGCAGTACTCAGTCAGGGAGTGCCCAGTTTAACAGAGTCCTGACTTCTATTGCATCAGCACGAAGCAGTATCGCTTGGGGCACTGCCAACGCTGATTCCATACTGTCTGCTGCAAGGGGCGGAGCAACTTCCATGGCAGTCTCTGTGGCTTTGCTTGTTATTTCTATTGTTCTATTTACCGCTGTGTAAAACTGAATTAAACTGTTTTTTTATTCACTATCGTCCTTTATTTTAAGTTCTTCTCGATCAGCCTTGCCTTGGTTATGCGATAACAGCGGAGCAGATGGGGAAGTGCACCGCCCGTGGTACAGCGTGTTGTCGTTGGCGTCCCTCGGTGTCGCTTTGGGTAAGTACTGTTTTTCTGGGACACAGTATGCACTCGTTAATTCCCAGAGCTGATGACGCTCGGAGAATAGTATTCGTTGTGCCGGCTAGTTGGCTAGTCACTTACATAACAGAAATCAATTTCATTAACCAGGTGACATGATTCTCGGGGTGGAAATCGTGGCCACGGTGTGAACATTATGCAACAAAGCATCAGTTATCAGGCAATGGCTTAGAATGGCACTTCCGAAATTTACATTGCTCGAATAGGAAATCCAGTATCTAGTTAACACACAGCGGAGTAGTTTCAAGCTGTAGTAGGTCTCTAGTCCACCACATGCGTAATAATACAAGATATACGAGTAAATAAATAGTTAAAAAAACTGTAAGTAGGTATGGAAAGCTTTTACTGTCTATGCAATAAAGATAAGAGTTAATGAAAAAATGTATGCACTTTTAAAATTTATATATCAGACGAAAATGTAACTATGACAACAAAGCAGCACTTTTTTATATTTCAAGACGGTGGCAAACAATCATTTCAAATAGACAACGACTAGAAAAGCCAATAGGCTCATTATATTCCTAGTGGTTCTACTGAATAACTACTGGCTAGTAACTAAACGCGCTTACTAGTTCTGCTAATAGAAAAATAAATCTCAATACTTGCTTCGCTATACTCAATCTTACGAGTATATGTCCTGTGAGGTGTATATCAATAAAGAATATATTTATTATTATTTTCCTATTACTTTATCTCTTACTCATTACCCCACCCATATCTGATGTTGAATTTGAGTATGAGGTGTCTACTAAAGATAGCTACTTATGCGACAAATGAAGGAGATATACCTATATTATCTACAGGTATGGTAAGTAAGGTATGCTGTAAAGGAAATTTGCTAGAAAAAATTCCCTACCCACTAAAAACCCAACAGTGCTCCCTCGCCTGCCGGAACGGGTTTCGTGGGATCCAGGTGACTCTCCACGTTACCCCCGGCAGGGGTATCTGATACAACCCTAACGCTGACAATGATTCTTATACTTGAAGGACTCACTCTAGGGAGGAGGAAGGAAGAGATGCTAAAAAGCTTCCCACCTTGGACGCTTTATTATTGGTCGATAATATCGGATGCATTGTTTCGATATTTCAACATAATTCTATTGTATCGCAACAGTGTGTAAGTTAGCAGGAGTTCTCATACATCTTCAATCTATATATATAAAACTCAAAGGGGACTGACTGACATAGTGATCTATCAATGCACAGCCCAAACCACTGGACGGATCGGGCTGAAATTTGGCATGCAGGTAGATGTTATGACGTAGGCATCCGCTAAGAAAGGATTTTGATCAATTCTACCCCCAGGGGATAAAATAGGGAATGAAAGTTTGTATGAAACTTTGTCAATTTTAAACCGATCGGGCTGAGACTTTGCATTCAGGTATAAGAAGAATCATAGATGAATGTCATTGTGTATAATACAAGCCTGAGAACAAAAACTGTAGTCTACACTTCAGCTCTACACCGAAGCGAAGCGAGGGCGGGCCGCTAGTAATGTACTAAAAACAGATATCGCAATAACGCACCCGATACTATCGACCGATAATAGCGCGCCTTTGGAGGGAGGCCTAACTCTATTGAATCGTCCAAATGTTTTTTTCCCTACAACTCGTTATAAGACATTATTGTGCTGCGCAGAAAAATTAATGAATATCTCCACAAAATTAAAATAATAAGGTAACAAAATTTACGAATCGTTATGTTGTTACCACGGCCGCCCACGTCAATACAGTCATATGATTTATTTCTTAAAGAGAACCTGTTGAATTGATTTGAATAGTTCAAACCCAAACATATTTTTCTGCAATGAAAAATAATCAGACACTTTGTAACAAGCTTTTTTAAGAAATTATTTCTTTATGGTATCTTTAAATTCATTTAACGTTAACTCTTCTAAAGCTCAAAATTTTGACAGTTTAGATAGTCGTGGCAGTCTATGCAGCTAAGATAAGCGAGTTACAAATTGAAAACTAAGCTATTCCGAAGCTAAACTCAGCCAGATGAGCTAAGTAAGCTAAGCTAAGCTAAAAAATATGTCCCGTGCACATCAAGAACTCAACAAAAGCTCAGGCAGTGTTACGAGGTCGTAGTTCAATTCGACAGTCGTCGCTCGCCATGAATGTAATCGTAATTGTAAGGAGTTTAGTATACGAAATTTCCGTTATCACACTTTGGGTAAAGTACCCTAATAATGATAAACGGAGGATGTGGATTTAGTTCGATGATACCATTCTACGCGACTTGTATTTCATGATTGCGTTTTTTATCTCCTATCTTGCTCTTTATCAATATACGTACTATACTGTGTTCAGTTGGCACTATATTTACTAAGTTTTATTGATCAATAGTTGAGTTTGGCTTAGTTTCTAATATACTCTCATGTACAATATTTTCTTTTTTTTTGTTTCTTAGGTTTTCACGAACATCACTCATTTAATAAAACTAGTTTTATATAATATTTTCATTAGAGTTTATTCAACGTGATTGATATTTATTTATATTTCTTATTCTAACCTTATGTGCTTCGTCATTTCTTTTTACTTTTAGAATCGAATAATTATCTTTTATCATGTCAGAAATTCAATTTTCATTTTCTAAATTACAATAATGATTATCTTATCGTAAATAATTATCACGATAGCAGCCCATTTATTACAGATAGAAAAAAACAGCTCAACTCATTTTGTGGTGAGAGAAAGGGCATGTGAGTATTGTCTAATTAATACGTATTTTATTTTTTAAAAGTTTGTTTGGCTGTAAGCTGTATATGTTAGTCATGGTACTATTTTTCTTGTTATGTGTCGTGTTGCTCTTTTCAGGTTCTGCTATTTAGATGACGTACTAATATTTTCTATGCCAGCACATTTATTTTTAAATAATTTAGATTTTGTCGACCATGCTGGACTAGGAAGAAATATAATGTTTGTCACATTGAATTCTAGTGCATAATTTTATAACTTGGTGAGCTCGATAATGCAGTGCGTAGCGTTTGGTTTGCAATTGTGGAAGTGAAGTTGATTTCGCAATGCGTGATTAAGAGTTTACTGTCAAAAGTTGCTCTATGTTTCGCAATGCACGTTAAGCTGTTGATTCCGGCTACATCTCCAGTCCATACAAGGCCCGCGTTGTGGATCATGGCCCTTTCTTTCTATTTCATCTAGGTATAGGGAAGGCCTAAAATTTTTAAATGGGGATAATAAAAGGCTGATGAGGATGATAGAAAAAATCTCTCGAAAACTGTAATTATTCGGTTACTATTGAACGAGCAAAGGATTAACGAACGATGTAAAACCTGCTAGTCTTTTTTCCAATCAACGTTAAATGTGACGTCACAAAGTTATGGGTATGCAAAAGGTTGTTTAAAAATGTTTACTATTAATGTCTCTGTCAATCTCGTAATATATAATGGCGTGAAGTTATTTGTGTGTGTCAATATATTTTTTGTGGAACTAATGCCGTGACTCTTGTGATTGCCCACTGTACTGTTTTTTAGTTCATCTGAATGATTTGTCTATTTTGTGTTAATGTTCATAGTGTTAAATTCACGCTTGCTCAATCGCAACGTTCGCATGAAAAATTCATTTATTTCTTGTTTTTAATTGTTTAGTTGCTAAATTACAATCTGTTTCAATTTCAATAGTGAATTCCTATTAAACTATTCCCAGTAGCGTTGTGTTTGTTTTGAATATAGTAGCATTTTTATATTAACTAGCTGTTAGTATCCTAAAGCCTTTAAGATACTAATATCTTTTAAATTAATGTATTACATTTAAAAACATTCATTTATTTACATGAACACAATTGCTTTCGCTTACATGTCATCTTAGTCTTAGCGGTAAGTAAACAGGCCTTTATTTCAAATTTAACGTTGACACGCAAATGTATTAATGTAGAACTCTCTTAAAAAGTCTTAAAATTACGGATTTAGTTTATTATATTGTTAGACTTGCTGCTAAACATGTCGTTGTGTGTGCAACGGATGTAGGTAACAGTTAATCATTGAAAAAAATAAAAATAATGGTAACCAAAAAGTGCTGAGATAATAATTTATTTGCAATTTTTAAGTCTAAGTTCAAATTATTTCTTTCCCAAAGTACTCAAAGTTTTAAGATAATTATGTTTTTTTTTATTTTAGCAACATGGCCCTATTCAGATTCGTTTTCATCTCGGCGCTCTTGGTGTTAGCAAAGTCTGAATTCCCAATCGATTATAGTCTAGATTTGGATGTTGATAGCTTTGACACCAGAAATGATGACCAGGCTTATCGTTTACCCGAAGACTTAGACCCTGAACACGCTGACATAGAAATCACACCTTATTTTGATTCTGATACGACACCCCCAGGAAAGGAACAGTTTACATTTGATGGAATAGCAACTTTGCGGATAAGAGTAAGTTAGAATAATTGAATTTTAAGGTACTAGAAATTTGAAAAGTGGAAGAGGTTCTGTATTCGGCTGATATTTTTATATGTTTAATTTTACCTTATGTAACTGTTAGATTTTTTTACCGTATGTAACTGCTACATTTTTGGTGTTGACTTTTTTGTTTGCATCAGTTTTCTCTCTAGATGTATGTCTATGTGTACCTATAATTTAATTTGCCTATATAAATTTGGCAGAGATCTGATGTGAGATAATTAATCGAACTCCTAGATGATAAACAGTAGACATCGGGTTTGTAATTATATGAAATAATAGTGGGTGCGCTGCGAGTAAAAATACTAGTTTCCCATACAAACTTTGAACTGCCCTTTTACCCATTTAGGGTGAGTTTGAGAATATCCGCTCTTACCGCATGCCTAAATCATAATATGCAACCGCATAACTGAGTCCTCGCCTGCGGGGCAAAGGGGGAGGACAAAAACGGGGACCGTGAGAGCTGCGGGCGGCAAGCACATTCTTGGGAAAACCACAAACGCCTCCCCCGCCCTCACCTCCCATTGTCCCCGTTCTCGTGCTCCCCCACACCCTGTGCCCCGCAGGAGAGGTCTCAGTTATGCGGTTTATCTATAGTAAAAATGAGGTCTTACCAGCAGCAGCTTCTTTTAGTTAAAAAATCAAAATTATAACTATTAATAAAAAGAGTCCATAAAACAAATCCCAAAAAATAAAAAATACAAATAATACCTATCCTCTTGTAGATTTGGAGTAAAATTATAACATTTGCCTCCTTTTTGATAAACGAATACTAAGTATGGATTAGTTACTCTATGTTTTGCCTCTGTTCATTGAACGAGAAATGGCACTTGAGCAACACACGGTATAACATGTCTAAGCTTATTCCTCATTAATAAGGGGGTTAGAGTCAGTGCAATGCCGTGAAATGGATCTGAGTTGACTTTTAATATTTATTGGGTTCGCAATGCACTGACTCAAAATGTTGTTATTTACTGGATTTCAGTAATGGATGAATACAATTTATCATTTTTTACTAGTATTGGTAGCCTTTAATTATTATTACCGATATACCTATTTCATTTTTATTAAAAATCTTTCGTTTTTATAAACTATAACACTATGTATGATTAATTTTATCTTATCAATCAATAGGACTAATAAAATATGTCATTTATAATCTTTTATTACGAAATTGCTTTACCGTTAAGATAACGCATTATATTATGACGAATGGACCTTTATAATTCATTTTGCTGTTTATTATATTTTTATTTTTAGCATTTAACTGCTAGGTGTTTAAATCTAAAGAAAATTTTACTAAAAAAAAACAGGCAGCTGACGGGTGTGGGTTCGAGTCCCTTCTGCTGCCTGGACCACATGAAATATTTTCTAGTTAAATATTCTTTAGATTTATTTCACTTTTTAAAAGATTAGGTTATTATGAAACCTAAAGTTTGACTATCATATTTTTTTCAGGCGGTAAAAAATAACCTTACTAGTGTAATTGTACAAGAAAATGTTAGAGAAATACAAACCGTGACACTCGTGGATATTGATACTGGAGAATTTTTGCATTACGGTAATGAAACAACTTCATTCGAACGTATCAGAGAATATCACTTTCTGAAAGTCAATTTGAAGGATGGAGCCACTCTTCGCATTGGACGCTTATATAAGCTCCATGTTGTATATATAGGAAATATTAACGAAACACCACTTTCAAGAGGCATGTTTAGAGGTTACTATCGTGATCAAAATAATTATGTTCGGTAAGCATTTATATTATAGCATCCAATTAAATCTATAGTTTATAGTGTTTTTTTGTTAAACGGGTGGCAAATAATACCACCATAGCCTAAAGACGCTCGAGATACCAAAGTTATCAATCACGCCTTTGCTGCCATCTTGACTCAATCACGTACCCCGTGGAGCCCTGGAACCTTATTTGCCGATAGAAACACAACTCCATCAAAATGTAGTGAGACTGTTTTAACCACATCGAAAAGGTTACCAGAAGGAGAGTCAATCAAAAATCTGTAAGAAACGCATAAACACTTGATCTTATAACCTTAAATGATCACCTTGCAAATATGTTTCTATAAATTAAGTGAATAAGCTATAAGACTATTAAATAATTTCAAATTTTAAATTTACCTGGAAATTATTATTATTCTTAATTCTATTCATTGTTAAAACTGAGCTGATATTTATTTGAGAATTGTTGCTAATTACAATGCTATCAGAAATTTTATTTTAGCTATAAGCTCAACATCGTTATGTCCTAACAGGACTCATCTTTTGGTATCTTATAATAATGCAAGACTCTGTTTACTACAAGAAACGCAATAAACTTTTCTGATTTCTTAACATAATAATTTAATGTGTGAAAACCTCAGCTGAAAACAATCCACTTAATAATAGTACTTATTGAGAAATAAAATAGGTTTCTCACTACTTATTCGCTTTGGTTTAAATCAATTCTGAGCTACTACATACATATATTTGTCACTGCAAACATGAATAAAAGTGTTCCATAGTAACGGAGTTAATAAATACAGAAATTATATGTAAAAATATGAAGGTGAAAAGGGCACACGATACTATAAACACACCACAGAAATCAAATGATATTAAGATGCATGGAGGCAGAAGAAACGCCACAGCATGTCATCATGGAATACAGGAGCATGGCCGACCAACGGGCACGACTTCTCCAGTCACCAGAATCGTTTCCAAAAGCTTGCAGCAGTCTACCAAGGCTGCTTTCCTTCTGGACCAATATAGGCTGGCCGGAGTAAACGGGAATGTTTTTGAGACACGCACAATGGTCCAATAATTAGGACTTAGTGTGGAAACCGTCCTGAAAAACTCACTTACTGACTATGTGTTTTCTAAATGACCATTTCGTTTATTTCAGATGGTACTCTGCAACTCATTTGCAGCCCACTCATTCAAGACAACTGTTTCCTAGTTTCGACGAACCGGGCTTCAAGTCTACTTTCAATATAGTTGTCAACAGGCCGATTCGTTTTACTGAAACTTATTCAAACATGCCACTCGTGAATGTAACCACGTACGTGAACAAGTTGTAGCTATAATCTTCTTTCAATAGACGTACGACCGTACTCGGAGTTAACAATTACCTTTAAACTTTGATTAAATTTATTGGTGTAATTTTTTTGTTCTTGATGCAAATTCACTCAATCTCGTTTGAACAAAAACTAAACTTGTTGTTAAATATGAATTTGCAGAATTGGGGATCGTGTAAAGGAAGTATTCCAAACTACACCAAGGATGTCCGCTTATTTGATTTCCATTCACATCAGTGACGGATTCACGGTCATAGCGGAATACAACAATCCACAAAAACCATACCGTATAATCGCAAGACCGACTGCTTCTGGCCAAGGAAGATACGCGATGGCTGTCGGCCCTCCTCTTACAGAATGGTTCGATAATTACTTCGGAATCAATTATTATGATATGGCGGACGGTTTGAAGAACGACCAACTGGCTTCACCATTTTGGGCTTCTGGTGCTACAGAGAACTGGGGCCTGGTTACATACAGGTTAGCTAATTGTGATTTCATCCCACATGTCTTTAGTTTGTAAATGTAGCTATAAATTCTACGTTAATTGCAAAATCATAACACGTCGCATAACAAAGTAGTACTAAGATAAGTGTTCCTAGCATGGTGAACACGATAAAATAAAAATACCAGTTAACTTTGAAATCAATAATAATTTATTATTAGGCACAACACGAATACAACACAATGACAGTAGCAGAACAATATGAGAATGAAGACAAATAATGTATTCTTGTTAATACACAATTATATGATAACGATGTTAACTGGTAGGGACGGCCGCAGTCTGGTGCTGACGGGCGTTAAGAATCACCACATTATAGATGTGTGATGTTCTCCATAAGATGGAAGGAGTATAAATGATGAACGAAAATAAGCCGTTATCCTGATTGGCAACGATCGTACGATGGCACGATGCGTTCTCGTCGTGGGATAATTTTAAACATGCATATTTCTTCAGAAGTGTCCTAATTACTGCTCGTAAGCAGTCGCACCAGCGCTGGCATTGTTAATAATTATCATACGATAGTTTTAATCGTGCACCGATCTCTTTTGAGTGTCCTAATTGATTGCGCATCTCACGAGCGCAGCAACACGGGGATCACGGGACGAGCGAGGCAAGGGGCAATAGTTTCAGGATCACATACGCGCTCCAGGGTCTGCCAACTGGGCGACATGTTGCCTATTGGGTTACCTTGGGGACCAACACCGCTATGATTTTTTTTAATGGCGACCTATCGCCTTTTCAGTGACAGTATCGTACGATAGGTGCCTCGCCTGATCTATTAGGATGTTTAGTCATCGAATGATTATTTTCATCGCAGGGCGAGATTTCATCGCGTATACGATCGTGGCCAATTAGGAAAATGCTTAAGTTTAAGCTTTTATATTAGTCATGGGTGACAGAGTTATAAGAAAACTGATTGATCCTGCCATCTGCTCCAAAATAACATACATATGTATTGTATACATGCTCTGCTAAGTTCAGGACGATTTTTTATATTTTGTCGTTTAGAAATGTAATGCATTTATTATATGTGTAATTTATATTTCCTCGTTTCTAGGGAGTTGCGCCTGCTCAACGATGAAAACGAAACAAATGCTCTGGATAGAATGTATATCGGAACTATTACTGCACACGAGTTGGCCCACAAATGGTTCGGCAACTTAATCACTTGCAGGTGGTGGGATAACGTCTGGATCAATGAAGGATTCGCCAGTTACTTCGAATACTTTGGTATGGACGGGGTTAGTAAAATTATTGACATCATTCACGACAATGGCACATTCGCTATGCAATTGTGTTAGATAAGCAACTTTCGCAGTGATCGGATATGAGATGGACTACCGAGAATTGAGAAAAGTCGGATTTTCGTCTTTGTTAAACTATTTGTCTAGGACTGGCTGCTTCAGTAGTCATTGCGATATTTATGTAAGTAAATACATCTTATCTAATGTCTTAGATTTAAATTTAGCGGTCTTACCTACCTTAACTGCTACGGCATCCCTTAGCTATCGTAGATTCATTGAAACTTTGGAATTTGCAGGGGCCATCGACAAAATCAATTTACCAGACAACCTGGTACACAATTGTAGTGGACAACACTCTAAAATCAATCTAAATTTGTTTTCGTTCAGAGTTTATATGGTGCAAATTTCTATAAATTATCGCAAGTGACAAAATCTATTATTAATTAACAGATTGCCAAATCGATGGAGCTCGAAGACCAGTTCATTATTATGTACCTACAAAGCGCATTGTCTGCGGACGCGTCTCCCAACACAAGGGCCTTGCGACACACCGTTAACAGTCCCACCCAAGTTACTGGTCACTTCACTGGAATCAGTTACTCTAAGGGAGCTTCCTTCCTTCTCATGTTGAAGCACATGGTTACCGAGGAGACGTTCAAGAAAGCTCTTCATTTATTTTTGATTGACAGGTAAAGTAAACCGATTATTTGTGAATCTGCTGTCAGCGCTGATTGCAATGTTGACGCATTTATTTTTATTTTAATATTTCCAACACACACCAATTAGCCTAGCCACAAAGTAAGCACTGTAAGGCTTGTGTTATGGGCTACTAGGGTAACGGATAGAATAGATATATTGTACATACATATATATGCAGCGTCTACTTTAGTATAGATTATGGGATACCTATTAAGTTATCTTTCATTAATAAATAATAATATAAATAAATATTTCCAACACTCACACCAATTAGCCTAGCCCCAAAGTAAGCACTGTAAGGCTTGTGTTATGGGATGCACAGAGTACCTTTTGATGGGATGCCAGGGTAACGGATAAGAATACATATACTGTGCATATATAAGTTTATTTATATAGAAATACATACTAAACATCCATGACTGGAGTACAAATGCTCGTATTCATCACACAAACATCTGCCCCCACCGGGAATCGAACCCGACCTCTCGAGTCGGCTACACCATGAAACCCGGCGTATAAACCATTCGGCCACGGAGGTCGTCGTTTATTATTTTCAACTTAACTGAATAAACCTAAAATACCGAATTTTTGACGCTTAATAGTTAAGGAGATGTTCTCATTTCTCTTTTCATACTTGAAAAACTGTTTAATTCATTGTAATCAATTACAAAAAAAAAAGTAATAGGGGTACGATTTTATCCGTTCGAGTCATTTTTTGATCCCATTTTTAAGATATTTACGATCATTTGCTATTTCTATTGTTTTAGAAGTTTTATTAACGTGTGTACTATTGAGATACTTAACCTCCGTTATCTATATTTAAATCAATTGTGATTCGTTTGGCTCGCTAAAACTCGAGAACAGCTGGCCCGATGTAGCTGATTTTGAAATGTTTTTCGTAGTCCAGCCAAGGTTTAAACGGTGAGAAAATATGGAAAAACTTAGTAATGAAGATAGTAAAACAACAATTGTCTGTAATTGTCCCATATAAACTGTACTACCTACTTTCCTGTCAAAAATGCCTGACATTACCGATCAAAATATTCTGCCATTTTAGCGAAGGGAGATTGTTAATGTCTTTAGAATAGATGATATGAAGTACACCGGGTTATCTGGTCACGAATAAAATTCTATTTAGTCCGTCAGTTACATTATTAAAAAATAATGAACGCATGTTTATATTTCGTCAGTCAACCAAAAAGTTTCGGAGTAGGCGCTCGTGACGTCACTTCTAAGGTAAAAATTGGACCAAGACGTGACGTCATGCGAAATTTAAAATCAACATAATCTCTGTGATGTTTTGATTATGTAAAAAAAGGAACAATACGTGTCAAAAACTTATTGATAATCTACCTGATAGACGAAGAAAAAAAATAAGTCATCATTAATTTTATTTTGGTGACTGTCATAAATAAATAAAGATGAGGAACTCGATGGCGCAAGTGGTTAGCGCGTTCGGCTGCGATCGTTGAAGTTAAGCAACTTTCGCAGTGGTCCGTTATTGGATGGGTGACCAAACATTTACTATCTCCAGCCCCTTCGTGCTTCGGAAGGCACATTAAGCCGTTGGTTCCGGCTGCATCTGCAGTCATTAACACCCACCAATGCGCACTGGGCCCCTGTGGGTCATAGCTCAATCTCCCTATTCTATCCATAGGGAAGGCCAGTGCCCCAGCAGTGGGGACATTAATAGGCTGATGATGATGATGATGACTGTCATAAATGCTTCCGCAAATTAGGTCATAGCACTTGCAATGCCTCACATTTAACGAAGATTTTAACAACTAATCAACAGAGAATATCATACTTTTTTAAAGATGAAGTTACTTTCACAATATGAGTTTGTTTCATTAAAATCTAAAGAAAAAATTTCTAGATATTGTTTACGTTAAAATCTAAAGAAAAGTTTGCTAGAAAAAATTGCACGCGGACCAGGCAGCAGACGGGACGGTTTTTTTTTCTAGTAAACTTATCTTTACATTTAAACATCTAGCAGTTAAATATTTAAAAATCAACTTTTTTACGTTTGTTTAATCTTACAGGGCTTATCAATACGCTACACCCGAAGACTTGTTCCGAGCTTTCCAAAATGCCACTGACCAAGATAATATAGTTATAGATGGCCTTGATATAATATCTTTCATGACAACTTGGGTAGACCAACCGGGGTATCCTCTCCTGAACGTGGATGTTAACATGAATACGGGTCTCATGAACTTGACACAGGTATTTGTTTCATTTCATAATACACTCATCATAAGCAATATGTATCATCTACGCAGCTCCGAAAAGAAGTTTGACTTCAAATTGTCAACTTTATCAGTTGAAATTTTAAAGTGAATCGTCTTTTCGGGCGGGGTGTAAATGGAAAAATGATATGGAAAATATAAAACGGAAATGCGTCACGAGCGTCCAATATATACATATATATGTGTGTGTGTGGGATGCGTGCGCAGCTCCTCCCGACGTGCATGAAAGATGGAGAGTAACTCGGCGAAGGCTGAAACGCTACGAGCGTCATACGCGACAATATAATAATAACTGAACAACGATTCGTTCCTATACATATTTTATACACCAACAGCTTGGGAACCCATTATACAGGAGATAAAATCCCAACCCCGAGCACACACTGCAAGACCAACAGATACTATTAGTTCTTTTTGTTTGCATAATTTAACATAAGAAGGAGATAGAAAGCCTCTCTTGAGTTTGTTTCGCCGGTTCTTCTCAGAAAGGTCTCCCAATTTTGGAACCGGTGGTAGTTTACGGTAGTTAGGATCAAATAAATAAACTCAAAATTACAAAATAGAATTTTAAATAAAATAATTTATTAACTAAATTAAGTAATAAATTCATACATAGACAATAAAACTTTAAAAATCGAACAATGAAATAACCGAACGCTCAATAAAAGTCTTTCGAAGGTAGCTCGACAAAATTAAATAAAAATTTGATTCCGACGACGTAGCCTGTAAAGGCTTCGAAACGTCAATAAATAAATAAAGTTTCGTGCATTAACCCGTAAAAAACTAGTTTTATTTAATGAGTGATGTGCGTGAAAACCTAAGAAACAATATAATAATGTCAGTGGAAAAGCAAAATTGCTCATACGCCACTGTGATGCTTAAGAGATTTTGCTTATCCACCTTGATATTGTATACAGGTGTCCCACGGCTACCTCACACGGAGGGAGAGTATATTAAATATTCAAGATAGGATATTTTACTGGAAGAAGATATCATTTAATTTATAATAATAACTAGAACTGCATTCTCAGTTTTTTTTAAATGCCTGCTACAACTGGGAATCAAACTCGTGAAATTTCGAAAAAAAACGACTTATTTTATGATAAAAATCGAAAGGGTTAATCATAAGGATTATAATTTGTTAAATAACATTGCATTTTAAATGAACGAAAAGTCATTATTTTTAACATTTTATTTAAAATTATTTAACACAAACTAATATTAAAACGAAAGGGTGCAAGTATAAAATATAATTAAAGAAGATTGTTCAAATTGTAATTCTTGGCGTAATTTATACATTATTTTACAATCATTAGATTTTAATGGACACCTTTGTATAATATATTAATTTTAAAAAGGACTTTTAATTTTACCGGTTCGGAAAACATACGAATTATTTTCAATCACATTCAGCCAAAGACTGATCGAAGTTGTTTATATAACATAAAATCAAATCTATTTTGTAAAGATCGATAAAATAAATCATTTTTTCATTACACTGTGGTATTAATATCCACAACTTTATTGTCATTTTCACTACATGCAAATGTGCTAAGAAAATTATTATAGATGGTAGGCGACATCATAAAGTCTATTGCCATACATTTTTCGCGAAACACCTTCATAAACACATTATAAGGTGTGATACCTACACTAAAAATCTAAAAAATGGTTATAATAAAAACATAACAAAAATAATGAAGCTACTGAAGATATGGCTGTATAACCTAAATCTCTTAGCTTTCTTTGGTTAACGAGAGTTTGAAAATTCTCTCCAATCTGTGGCTCATTCACAATCATCACACAGTTTCTGTCATAGAGTACCTTAATATAGCCGGAAAAGCACTTTAAAAACAGGCAACTATCTGATAATCTACATTCTAATACGATACATAACTTCGGTACTTAGCTTTATTTCCCTAGTTTACTATATAACTTATTCGTTTTTTATTATTTTAATACCTATGTACCTATTTGAAAACATAACCTCAAAATCATTCAGTGTATATGGTTTATAGAAGTTCTATATATAATTTCGAATCTAGGAAACAATTTTTCATGATTATTGGTCTTTAGGCCAAAGATGTATGGAAGCTGAGCAATCTCCTTTATCAAATGTTCAAAATGTGATCCATTTTGTTGTATGCAAATGCTCACTCTTTTAATAAAATCTCTGCCTGTCGATTTCATTATCTTTGCTTATGAATGTTTGTAATAATACGTCCGAGTTCATTTTGTAACTCCTGCACACTGTCGTACCGGTTCTTGTATACTACACATCTTTTACATAACCCCACAAAAAAGTCCAGTGGGGTTAGATCTGGGGATGTCGCTGGCCATCTAATATGTACAACCGGCGTAATAATTGTATTTGGTCCAGACAGAATCCCTTACAAATCCGCGAGACGAATGATCAAGTGCGTTTTCTTTTAACCGTTGGTATGAAATTGTTTTCTGACTTTTCTTTCATTTAAAATGCAATGTTATTCAGAACAAAATAATCGATATGATTAACCCTTTCCATGGTTATCATAAAAATGTCTTGTATTTTATCGAAAATTCACAAGTTTGATTCTCAGTCGTAGCAGGCGATTTTAAAAAAATATGTGGATGCAGTTCTAGTTATTATTAAAAATAGAATGATGTCTTGTTTCAGTAAAATATCCTATCTTCAATATTTAATATACTTTCCCTCCGTGTGAGGTAGCCGTGGGACGCCCTATATATATATGATGCATGCGCTGCTCCCCATGCCTTATGCACTGCCTACTTCCTACTTCCCTTCAGGGGGCCATTCGCCTTGCGGAAATGCTTTGGAAAACGCTAACGCTAACGATTTCATTTTGTTATTTCTAGACGCCTGAGGTTTTCAAATGCCTCGCGCTCTTTTTTTTCTTTTGCATTGGTAATAACAATATTAAAAAAATGGCGTGAGGTATTTGAAAACCTTCGGCGGTTAGAAATAACAAAATAAAATCGAAAGCGTTAGCGTATTCCAAAGCATTTCCGTTATGCGAATGGGCCCCCAGATGTGTGCTCCGTGCACACATTTTTTGTATGCTATCGTTTTGAAATGTATTATTTATTCAAAGGCTTTTTTGCTTTAGGTAATTTAGCTAAATATCAATTCAAATAAAACTAGATACAGTCTATACAATAGTCCCAAACTGACTTTGGACGCTTTGACATTTTTCTATAGGATAGATCAATTTTGAGTTGAATCGAGATTTAGAAGATTTGCAAGTAGGTCTAAGGCCCGTATTACAGAATGACAACTAAGTGTTGATCTTTACTTGAGTACAGTTAGAAAGGGATGGCGCTATGTGTTTTATATAGCGACATCCCTTTTTAACTATGCTCAAGACTAGATCAATCACTGAGAATCTTTCTATTATAGTGGGCCATAGTCACTGATAAATCAAACTTGTTGTTATTAACAAAATAATATGAGTATTAGAAATATTAAACACCGGTCAAAAGTTCATGTTACTTCAGACTCTTGATTTAATTTGCATTTCCTGGGATACTTAGAAAAATATATTTAAGCGCTAACCTAAGTAAGCTGAGTGTGTGTCAACAATATTGCTGGACGATATTCTTTCATGTGTTTAAAGATGATTATGTCTGTTACAAAACCATTTAATATTAGGAAGGGTGCGGGTTCGAGTCCCGTCCGCTGCCTGGTCCGCGTGGATTTTTTTTTTCTAGTAAACTTTTTCTTAGATTTAAACATCTAGCAGTTAAATGCTTAAAAATAAATAAAAACATAACTATAATTGCTATTTCTTCTTTCAAATGTTTAATACTTGAAAAAGTATTCATTTGACATTGTGGGTTACCTACAATGCGAAGAGATGGCGCTGCCTTGCAGCTTAAGGCTAGGAAAATTTCGACGCGGCGAATAGGGCCGTGGTAGCATAATGGTCAGTGCATTCGCCCGGATAGCGAAGGGTGCGGGTTCGAGTCCCGTCCGCTGCCTGGTCCTCGTGGATTTTTTTCTAGTAAACTTTTCCTTAGATTTAAACATCTAGCAGTTAAATGCTTAAAAATAAATAAAAACATAACATTCAATTTTATTTTGTGTAATGATTTAATTTTAACATTTTAGGAACGATTCTATATAAATGAAAACACTGCACCGACAAACGAAACATGGCCTTTGCCTCTGACTTTTACAAGCGGAAAAGACCTTAATTGGGACAATCTGAATGTGAGCCGTGTAATGACATCAAGAACAGCTCAAATTCAAAAAGAACCAGGCCATGACTGGGTTATATTTAATGTGCAACAAAGAGGTGAGATACCTACTTTATTTAACTAAAACCTAATCTCTTATCTATTAGACAAGTCCGTCCGTCCGTCCGTCCGTGGTGCTGTTTCAGCGGCCAAACCGTAAGAGATAGATAAAGAGAATGTTTAAGTTATAAGTTGAGAATAGTCTGATAAGACTACAAACCGGATGTGAGTAACGTAGCACTTCCGGTTTTCGAGAAATCACGTGATTTCTATTTCAAACGAAACCACACAAAATCTCCGAAGTTCTCTATTAATTAAAATTTTTTTTTTGGTGCACATTTGTTTCATTGGTTTACTAGTTTATGATAATGTGTGTGTATGTTTCCGGGGTGAAGTGTGGTTTAGTGAAACGATAATAGTTCGTTTATATGGTTAAACTTTATTACGAAAAACTTAACGGTAACACGAGCGCGGGAAAATCACAGCACCGTACGTGGCTTTACGTTAAAGAGTCCCGGCTATGGGTGCGGCCAGAGTGCACTCAGATTCAGATTCAGATTCCGAAAACAAGCGCGAGAAATAAACAGTGTAGTCGAAGGGTACGGCCAGAGTGCACTCCTGATTCAGATTCAGATTCAGACTCAGAAAACAAAGCGCGAGAAAAAGCAGGCAACCTGCTTAGACTACACTGTTTATTTCTCGCGCTTGTTTTCAGAATCTGAATCTGAATCTGAATCTGAGTGCACTCTGGCCGCACCCTAAGACTGGCGCGCCGGCGCAGTTGACGATACTCCGGAAAACGTCCCCCCTGCGCGTCCCTTCAACGGTCTATACCTGACAGTTCCCTTAAGGCGGTTACACCCCCTCAGGTTCGAGTGCTCTAGAGGCTCCAGACGGAGAGGAGACTCCCCCCGTGTGGAGATACCATCCGCCTGGAATACCTCTAGAGGCACTCGCCAATTCTCGGCGTGAGGTCCTCTTAGGATCTCGCCGTCCCCGAACCCGGTGACGCTGTAAAGGTCATCTGCGACTTACAAGATACACACTTAAAAAAAAAAACAGTTACATACACGCCACAAATGTAATTTTTGTTGAAGATTTAAGCCGAAGCTGCTTTTTCGAAGCCAGTTGCGCTGGCGCCAGTCTTACAGATAAACCAGCGCTGGTTTGGTGTTGTTTAGATGAAACCATTCAGTCAGGATATATCTTGTGGTCTGCACACGTTTGAGGTTAAAAAATAATGAATTCGCGGCAAAATCTGTTGACAAACTAATGTTTAAAGAGTTTTTTACACTATTACATATGACACTTGTGGCCAGCATTGGCTTCGTGTAAAGAACGTTTTACTCCAGAAGATTACTATAAATATAAAGGAGATTGCTCAAATTGGCCTAAATGCACAAAAAATATTGACATACACGGTAATTCTTGGCGTAATTTACAATTTAATTTACAGTCATTAGATTTCAACGGACACCTTTGTATAATATATTTACTTTAAAAAGAACTTTTAATTTTACCGGTTTGGAAAACATACGAATCATTTTTAATGGCTATGGGTGTAGTAACATTCAGCCAAAGACTGATCGAAGTTGTTTATATAACATAAAAACAAATCTATTTTGTAAAGACGATAAAATAAATCATTTTTTTTTATTACAATGTGGTATTAATATCCACCAATATATTATCATTTTCACTAGATGCAAATGTGCTCAGACAATTATTAAAGATGGTAGGCGACATCATAAAGTCTATTGCCATACATTTTTCGCCAAACACCTCCATAAACACATTATAATCTGTATTGTATGTTTGACTTTAAGGTACCTGGTAACGCCAAAACATATTCTAGTCTCTAAATTTCATACCGTGTCATTCTCTTTTCGAATTAACCGCATCCCAATAGATCCTTCTCCTTCAAACACTGTGCCTTATGCTTATGAGGGAAGAAGACGCAATATATTTGCCTGCAACGACGGATGGCCGGAAGGAAATGGCTCTGTCAGAAGGCTGTCACCGCATCAACAAAAGAAGAAAAACGTTCTGTCACCGCGTAAGGACGAAATGGTCGTATTTTTCATCGCTCCGCAACAATTGTGATATAGATATTTTTCCGCATTAAACTCATATAAATAAGTGTGAAGATTAATAAACAATCTTTAAGTGAACAGTTTTATCGCAAATAGGAGGTTTGTGTGTGATTGGTGATAGCTATCAAAAAGGACTTTCTTGACCGCCATCTTTAACCGCTGGCATCAGGACAAGACTGCTGCAGGAGAAGCCGGCGTATGAGCCAGCGCCACCATCGAGGCCCTCAAGTAAGCACAGTGTTTTTTCATCCTATCCCATAAACCAAACCCTCTTAATACTTCGAACCACACCTACAGTCCACTCTCCGGGGTTTCGACCCCACCAGATATCCTTTACCGCATTCAGCTTCACCAGTACCTGTCTATGGGCCTACGTTCCCTGACTATAAATTAATAAATAAATAAAATTATAAGGTGTGATACACTAAAAATCTAAAATATGGTTATCTTAAAACATAACAAAAATAATGAAGCTACTGGTGTTGATTCTGGCGTGATTCACTACACTTAAAACTAAATTTAACATCAATCTCTCCTTTTCATTCCGTATAGAGAGTGACAAGGATACACTGTTGTCAAATATAAGTTTAACTTTAGAGAATCGTGTCAGAATTGACACTACTGAATATATAAAATAACTATAGAACCTAAATCTCTTAGCTTTCTTTGGTTAACGAGAGTTTAAAAATTCTCTCTAATCTGTGGCTCATTCACAATCATCACCATGAAGCACCTTCATGATCATCACACAGTTTCTGTCACAGAGTTATTATAACCGGAAATGACACCTGATTTTAAAAGTTACTCTTATGCATTAACTTTAAAAACAGGCAACTATCTGTTAATGTACATGCTCTATATACCTGAATCTAATCCATAATTTCGGTACTTGGCTTGATTTCCCTAGTTTACTATATAACTTATTTGTTTTTTATTATTTTAATATGTTCAGTGTATATGGTTTATAGAAGTTCTCAGGGGTGTCCGTTAATAATATTCGTTTCTACAGTAATTTATATATAATTTCGAATCTAGGAAACAATTTTTCATGATTATTGGTCTTTAGGCCAAACATGTATGGAAGCTGAGCAATCTCCTTTTAAACGTGGCTACTGCTACACTGGGTCGATATCCGTGGAATAATCAAATGAAGGTTTCTAACATAAGCAGTTACAGGCAACAACAATACAGCGCACGCGCTTTCTTATACTAAATATATATTAATATCAAAGTTAATTACTAAACTAATTTAGAATCTTATAAATAACTAGCGGCCGCCCGCAACTTCGTACGCGTGGAGTTAGTTAGAAATAAAGGTTCACTCGTTCCCCGTAGGTGATAGCGTGATAATATGTAGCCTATATGTTGACCCGACTTCTTAATAATATTCGTGCCAAATTTGAAGTAAATCCATGCAGTACTTTTTGAGTTTATCCCGGACATACATACAGACAAACAGGCAAAAATTCTAAAAAATACATTTTTGGCTTCGGTATCGATTATAAATCATACCCCAATTATTCTTTTAAAAAATTATTCAATGTACAGTTTTGATTTTCCTACAATTTTATTATATGTATAGATTAAATTTGGAAGTCAAAACATTTTCATCTGTTTTTAACCGACTTCGCAAAGGAAAGGTTTTCAAACTAGATTTATTCCATCATTGTTTAATTGAGATTTTACAAAATTGCTGCAAGAGAACCACAATGATTTTGCATTGTTAACACTCTTTAATTCGTTGATTAATACTTACCTATTACCCAACGAATGTTGAGTATCACCTGACCGGTTTTCGTATGGTTTTTAGTGGCCCTGTTCAGGGCGTTAAGTAGGGCTGTTTATTTCTCCGGACACAAGGCTGGCTGAAATGAACAGGGAGGAGTTCCACATACCCTCTTCTCACTCCCCCGTTTGTTGAAGGATGCAAAGGCATTTCCCAGATACACAAAAAGGGGTCTACAGGCAACCATTATAGTTACATATATTATGTTATTTCCACTTATCCTTCCATCCATCTGAGCTCAGCAATCTATTTTTTAATATATTTCACCACCATTTTAGCGTGACCAAAATAGTGTCTATTCCTAATTGATAGATAGTTTAAAGTAGAACTATCACTACTACTTAACTGTAATTAGGCCACATTACAATTAGTATACCTATATATTAGTCACGCCATAGAGGTAAAAAAAAAAAATTTTTTTTTAATGTAGGTATAAATTCTTAATTTCTTCTTCACTCCATGGGGTGGGGTATCGTTCGATAGGTCAGTTTAAAAATATTGAGGATAAGTCATATAATTTTTTCGATGAAGGTATTCGTTTATAAACGTAATTTTTTTCGAGTACAAATTCAATAGACGTCTTTTTAGTAACATTATTTGCCTCAAAAAATTTAAATTTCCTTTAAATTTTCTCAAATCAATTCGCGTCTGAATAATACTATGTTAGCTTAGCCACTATTTCTTTTTATTTAACCCACTCTACCTTAGCATGGTGGTTATTATTTAGCCTCTGTAACATGCATTGAAACAGTAAACTTTTAAAATATAAATATTAATGGCACCAAAGTAGTAATACCTATGTTTAGAATTTTATAACTCCGAACGTTTAAAATATAATCCATGACATTTAATTTTGACAAGAGAGTGCCTGCCGCCCGGGACCTCTCACGATCCCCGTTTTCGTCCTCCCCCACACCCTGTACCCCGCAGGCGAAGTCTCAGTTAAGCAGTCTACCTATAATAGGGGTGATGACGGGGTACAGTAAACGAAATTCTATTTAGTCCGTCAGTTAGATGATCAAACAATAATGGACACGTATTTTTTCTTTGGGCAATCAACCAAAAAATGACAAAGTTATAGCGCGTCAAAGTTTGGGAGTAGGAGCTCGTGACGTCACTTTTGAGTGAATTTTCCCGTAAGTGTACTCAAACGTGACGTCATGCGACTTTTCAAATCAATATATCTCTGCAATGCTTATATTATGTGAAAAAAGAAAAAAATACGTGTCCAATACTTTTCGATAATCTACCCGATAAACGAAGAAAAAAAAATTAGTCATCATCCCTATTGTTCATTAGTGTTACGTTCCGAGATAAATAAAAAATCTATCTTGGATTCGTGAAATTGCTGAAATTTTTCTCATCTTCATTTTTTTTAACGTGTCTCCGCCTGGAATTTATTATGTGTAGCTAACTGGAATTGACTGTCAGTTTTATTACTTTACTTTTTGAACAAGTAGAATTGTTGCCACAGTCATTATTAAAGAAAATATCTTTATCTTTACGGCTATGAACATTGTTACAAACTTTTCCTATTTTTTTTTATTCTAATCATTATGGCTGCAACGGCTGAGAAAAATAAGATTTAAAGAAACTATAACTAGAAAAAATTCCACGCGGACCAGGCAGCAGACGGGACTCGAACCCGCACCCTTCGCAATCCGGGCGAATGCACTGACCAATTATGCTACCGCGACCCTCACGGACCGCGTCGAAATTCCTCTAGCTATTCTTAAGCTGCAAGGCAGCGCCATCTCTTCGCATTATAGGTAACCCACAATGTCAAATGAATACTTTTACAAAGAGATGGCGCTGCCTTGCAGCTTAAGAATAGCTAGAGGAATTTCGACGCGGTCCGTGAGGGCCGCGGTAGCATAATTGGTCAGTGCATTCGCCCGGATTGCGAAGGGTGCGGGTTCGAGTCCCGTCTGCTGCCTGGTCCGCGTGGAATTTTTTCTAGTTATATTTTCTTTAGATTTAAACATCAAGCAGTTACATGCTTTAAAAAATAAAAAATATAAAAATAAGATTTGTAATATTTTACTTATGAAAAAAGCCAAATAATAACTTGTAACTTTTTTCAGGAATATATAGAGTTAATTACGACACTCATACCTGGGAAATGATTGCAAGTACCTTGAACAGCAATCATAATGCCATTCACCACATAAACCGAGCTCAGGTAAACATATGAAGAAACCTCTTATTCTTCATTTTTTGTTATAAATCTTGTGTCAACTCGATTTTTCTTCAAATACGCCGAAACTGACAACACCGTTGTATATATTTAATTTTTTAGATAGTAGACGATATTTTCGCGCTGATGAGATCCGGAAAAATAACATTCCAACTAGGTTTTCATGTACTCGAGTTCCTGAAGAAAGATACAAGTTACTATTCCTGGTATCCCGCTCTTACTGGTTTTAATTGGATCCGCAATAGATTCCTGCATATGCCAGATGTCTTGGCCGAATTTGATGTGAGTACTGTATGTTGATGTGAGTGTGCGACCAGGTTTGTATAATGCGATTCAACTAAGAATAAGACCGACTGGGCGCCATATTTTGATGTCATAGCTGTCAATTCAAATCAAAAAGGTAGAGTGAGCAAAAAAAAAATTGCCATTTAATAAAACTTATTTACTAAGATTAAATGAGACAAAACATCAGATTTTTTAATAACATTAATTTACTAAGGTTGAGAAATAACATAACCGATTCTTAATAGTATTTCTTAATTAAGACTGTGTGAAAAAAAACATTAATCAGAATCTAGCTCTTCAATTTCGCTTATCTCTGCAGTACCGCCGGAGAAGTTATGAATAATCATGCAGGTCACATACGAACATGCATCATATATGTAAACGAAAGTTTGTAAGTTATCAACCCAAAGCTCAATAAATGAAAAAAAAACTAATATTAATTATCAACATTTGTTATTGTTTGTTTAAAAATCTTTGGTTTTTATTCTAGAATCAGCTGAGTGCTAAAAAGGTGTTCCGAGATTTTTTTGCAAACCGTACTTTTCAAGCGACCTTTGACAGATGGAGGTCATTGGCTTTCCTATTCTTATTTGAATCGCATTATACGTTATGACAACGGACCGTGAAACGTTACCGCGCCGTTCCACGTTAACGACGTCGTGAAGTGGAGATATGGACAGGCACTTAGGCTATACACAACGTGTCTTCTCTTGTTAATGATTTTTTCAAAAGATGCTCGAAGTTTCACAGTTCTTGTTTAGAAAGTTTTGGCAAATAGAGGAGAACATACTAGAAACCTTCATCTGTTAAGAGTAGTATAATATATCAGGCGAGAGATAAACTACCTGAATTTTTTGAGGAACACGACCTTTATCAGAATCCAATATTGCATTAAATATCCTTAGCAATATCGAATTCCAATTTCTGAATTCGAACTCGATATGTGTAAAATGGCGAGAAAATTTGTATGGAAATTTGAACAGCGCCACAGTGGACGACGAGAATTAAAAATCTTCCATACAAAACTTCTTGACTTTCATAGTTAATGCTTTTACAAAACACTGCGCAACAAACCTTTCTTCGCTTAAGACAGCATAAAGATAACAATACCATAAAACCAGTGTCTATGTCAGACCATCACAGGGGACGCCACGTTAAAATATTCCTTACGTTTAATGAAATTTTAATTTTTCCAGGCGATTCTCTACAAATATTTAGATGCAGTCATCACTAATGTGCTGTATTTCGCTCCTAGCAATGAACGTTTAACAAATTCTCTGAATAGAATATTTGTACTATCTTTTGCTTGCAACATTGGCCATCCTGGGTGCGTGGCAGATGCTGTGGAGCAGTTTAGGCGTTTCAATGCACAACCTTCAGTTCCGTAAGTGTTCTTTTATTCTATTCGATTATATATTTTGCTGTGGAATATTTATTGAAGCGGGTATAAGGCGGCCTTTAGACCTACAAAAACATCGTGCACTACTTTTATTGTACAATAAGATTGAAAGCTGCCATGATTCCAAACGAGCAATTATATTGCACAATGTTTTCGTGTTCAGTCAGAGAATGGAGGTGTTTCTTGAGCTCCTTCCGGTAGTTAGTTCTTAAAGAATTGAATTTTTTTTTCACATCATCTTTGCTTGCCTGTGGAAACATCTCTTTGTATTTAGACAACAATGTTTCGTAAGCAATGTTTCTTTATCACGGTCATGATATTCTTTGCTCTTGACATTCCACAGAGACGGCAATTCTCTGAATTATACATTCACAGATAAACTCTCTTTCCTTAACTTTTAGATTCTTTTGTAGTCGTGTACTCCTCGTGACAACAAACCACAGATTGAAAAATATTGCGTAGGGTTAATACCCTACACGATGCAATGGAAAAATATGATGCCATAAAAATTAGACTCGCTCAAACTTTCGGTCAATAATTGCGCAATCTTCCATATTAAACCTACGTAATATTGCGCAATATAATTAAACGCTTAGAGGCCGCCTAAGGGCGGCAATTGCGTCGCGATGCTCAATATTAAACATAGGTATATAAGCAATGAGCTCGTTAGACTAACGCTCGCTCAGAGAGACCGCAGCAAATAAAGGATCGTTCCTAATCCTGTCCGATCCTTTTATTTTAATTTATTTCTCTTTATATTCTGTATTACTTTTGTTGTTTTGTTTCGTTTTTACTAGTTTTACAGTTTAAATCTGCTAGGTATCCCGTGACGCCCATCTTTTTTGTGAAGAAGTGTAAGCGACATATTAATATGACTGTTAAAGTTCACAGCCTATAGACACTTGCATTAATGCAATACCATTCCCACGTTGCCTACCCTGATCTTCTCTTTCTAGGATATACGGTTAAATTGTGTCCATGTCCAGGGCTTCACGGGGCAGGAGGATGGGGTGAAGAACTTTGCACGTGTGTTATTGACTAATTTTAATATAGCTCTGATTCCAAAAGCCAAGATAATTGGTATCCATATCACTGTAATAGGAACAAACAAAATTCAATCAAATTATAGCAAGGGACCATGTATTTGGCTAGATTAAAATTAATTCATACATAATTGTTTAATGTTTTGATAATTAACAATAAGTGAATCTTTCTTCCTTCGATATGTTTTACGGAATTCAAAACAAAATGGTATAGGATGTGATGTACAGCTGATATTCATTACATCGTGCCAGCCATAAAAGCAATTTCCCCATGTCCAAATATAAAGCTATTACTATGATAGGCATTAATTTGCTGATGCACTATAATATAACAAGAATGGTCACGCATGCTTTTCAAAGAACAAGATTAATCGCTTTTACCTTGGCAATTTAGACTGAATATCTAATATATAAAATTCTCGTGTCGCGGTGTTTATGGTTAAACTCCTCCGAAACGGCTTTCCCGATTCTCATGAAATTTTGTGTGCATATTGGGTAGGTCTGAGAATCGGACAACATCTATTTTTCATCCCCCTAAATGTTAAGGGTAGTCCACCCCTAAATTTTTTTTTCTTCAATTTTAGATATTTTTTTTTTATTTTTTTTATGATACATTAAACAAAAATACATACAGCCCTAAATTTTCACCCTTCTACCACCAACCCTTATTTTTTATGGCGGTACGAAGTTCGCTGGGTCAGCTAGTATCTACTATAAAAATATTGACAACTCTTTTAACGTTTGCCTTGTAATGCACCATCTCTTCACTGGTGAATTTCTGTAAAATAAAATGGAGTCAATAAGTGCCTGTAAAAGCTTAGGTTTTTAAACTTATTTTGATTTGACCTTGTCTTCACCGACCGGTTTATCCAACGGCAGGGCTCCTGCTTTCTGCTTCAAAAAGTCTGGGTTGGAAACTTGATATTTGAAAACGATTTTCTTTTTTTATTAATTTGATACGTAATTTAGTTGGTCAAGATCAGCTTATTTATGCACTGTGAATTTTGAATAACCTAAGAAACTTAAAAATCTTGTGAATAAAAATAGTGCGAACAGTTATAAATAATGAATTTACTACAACACACACTAATACAAAAATATTGATTTAAATCGTTTAGAAAATATCCTAAAATGGCGCAAATTTGTAAATGACATAACTGTTACGGAATTATTATCACTTTAAAGTACGTAGATCCTAAAAATATTTTTATTTTTATTATTTTTATCATCATCATTATCATCATCAGCCTATTAATGTCCCCACTGCTGGAGCACAGGCCTTCCCTATGGATGGAATAGGGAGATTGAGCCATGACCCACCACGCGGGTCCAGTGCGGATTGGTGGGTGCTAACGACTGCAGATGCAGCCGGGACTAATGGCTTAACATGCCTTCCGAAGCACGAAGTAGCTCGAGATAGTAAATTTTTGGTCACCCATCCAATGACCGACCACTTCGAAAGTTGCTTAACTTCAACGATCGCAGCCGAACGCGCTATCCACTTGCGTCATCGAGCTCCTCAATAACAATTCCTCCTCCTAATAACAATTGAAATTGTTAAGGTTTCATAATTGCCCAATTAGTGTTAACGTGGAGACATTTTGCGAAAAATAATTACATTTAAAAAAAAGTAGCGGAAATATAATCTAAATCGTTGTCTATATTGACTAGTAAAGTTTCTCGTGTAACTCAAAATTCAAGCTGTCAAAGGCTAAATAATGTTGGTCCGGAATTTATTTATTTATTTTGGTCTTTTGAACGGGAATGGTTAATTAGTCAGGAAATGAGCCGCTGTGTGTATTTAGTAAGAATTAGTTATTGTAATGCAATTTTTCAAACCTCCGTGGTGTCGGTGCGTAAGTTAGGTTCAAGATGTCCCGGGATCAATTATTGATGGTGGTAAGGTTTGTTTGATGAATACGAGCACTTGTATCTGAGCCATGAATATTTATGGTTTTCTAGAAAAATATACTTTTATATGTATCAGTATATGGTCGTTCTGAAACTAATAGCTGTGTGCAAAAAATATAACTTAGAGACATAACATTTAATATTTGAGGATATTTTGGCTGATGTATATAACATTTCTAAGTAACCTTTGTTTAGCGTTATTATGCTAAGATTCACATAACAGTCTTTGTATTCAAAATTTCAGTTAGTATACCAGTCATAATGATGAAAATATCGAAATATTTAAAAAAAAAAGACATAATTATAGCATATATTGGTTTGACAACTACGAATTTATTCTATCCGTTACCCTAGGGTAGCATGTAAAAAGTAAGCAGTTTAAGGCTTGTGTAATAGGATATTAGTATCCTATTACACAAGCCTTATAGTGCTTACTTTGGTAATAGGCTAATGCTGAGCATTAAAAATGTTTGTTTATTTTTCAGCGTCCATCCGAATTTGAGACGCCATGTGTTCTGTACCGGTCTTCGTGAAGGAACTTACGAGAACTGGCAAGCAATCAATAACCGGATGAGAAATTCTAATAATCAAGCTGATGAATTAGCAATGCTCAGGGCTCTGGGATGCACTAATGATTATAGGGCAGTAGAAGAGTAAGTATTGAAAATCATTGATGATTGTTTCAGCTAATTTAAAAACAGAAAAGTTAGCTATTTTATTAACAAATAGCCAATAGGGGTGATGACGGGGTACAGTAAACGAAATTCTATTTAGTCCGCCAGTTAGATGATCAAAAAATAATGGACACGTATTTTTTCTTTGGGCAATCGACCAAAAAATGACAAAGTTATAGCGCGTCAAAGTTTGGGAGTAGGGGCTCGTGACGTCACTTTGAAGTGAATTTTCACTTAGAAGTGTACTCAAACGTGACGTCATGCGACTTTTCAAATCATCTCTGCAATGTTTATATTATGTGAAAAAGAAAAAATACGTGTCCAATACTTTTTGATAATCTACCTGATAAACGAAGAAAAATAATTTGTCATCATCCCTATTATAGGTCTTCGCAGATATCAACAGATTAAGTTAATAATGACACACTATTTGAGCACATGCACGCATACACTAATATTTACTGCAATTAATAACAGAATAAAAAAAAACTAACATTATTCAAAAAGCATATTAGAGATAATATGTCTAGCCGAAGAAATAAGTATAACCGAAGCCTCGCTAGTGTTAAAAAGATCTAAGTTGATCTGCTTCGAGAGAACATTAAAGTTCTTACAAGCATGTAATAGATATGCATTCTGCCGATAGTTAGTAGACGCGGGAGGGACACATAAAATTGGGTTCAATTGAAGGGGCTTCACTGGAACTCTTGAGGTTAATTTTAGACTCAAGTTCCAATCGATCAAGTCTATGGCACTAGATGCTATCTTCATGAGAAAATACTAAAAACTGTGGCACAGTTGCCGGTGCCCCTACCTAAGGACAATTTTATATAATTTTGGGTCTGAATAGAGAACTATAAACTATATTGTAACAATCAAGTCTAATAGAAAACAAGCCTGTTTCAATGTTTATATTAAACAGAGATAATATGAGATCAGTTTCTAACAAAATCTTTTGTATATCTTTAAATAAATTATTATAAAGAAAAAGAAAATATATATACCTATATTATATTATTTAAGTATTGTTAAAAACAAAACAATAGAGTTTTCAACCAAAGCTTTTAAGAAATTATTATCCAAATCCTTATTAATTCTAAGCGCAATAACATAAGAACCATTAGGTTTTAAAAGATAAGATAAAATAGGGAATTATTGGGCTATCAAGAAGCAATTCAAGCGTGCAATTCACCTTGAGACATAAAAGGAAAGAGTTAATTACATACCTTTAGATTATTGAAATAAATGATAAAGTAAGCATAAGTGTTTGCTGTGTCATTTATTTCGTACTAACTCGATGGTACATTAAGATATGACAGCGAGTATGGACTCTACTTCAAGGAAAATCTCTTATCTATTAGACAAGTCCGTCCGTCCGTCCGTCTGTGCTGTTTCAGCAGCCAAACCGTAAGAGATAGACAAAGAGAATATTTAAGTTATAAGTTAAGAATAGTCTGATAAGACTACAAACCGGATTTGAGTAACGTAGCACTTCCGGTTTTCGAGAAATCACGAATTTCAAACGAAACCACACAAAATCTCCGAAGTTCTCAATTAATTAAATACATTTTTTTTCTAATCACGTTTTGGTGAACATTTGGTTCACTGGTTTGCTAGTACTGCTATAATTAGTTTCAAATGACATACTGAGACAAAAATATACCCCTTATTAATAAACAAAGTACAAAAACACATAAAATACAAAATAAAAAATCTTTGGGATCAATTGTGGAGTACTGAAAATACAACAAAATTATTCAATGTCAGACATTCTATTTTTGAGAAATCACCTATAATGTTTAATTGTAGAAAATATGAAGTAGTAGTTACCAGATTACGTATTGGGCACACAAACATAACTCACATCCATTTGATAACTAAAGCTCCCAGAAACAAATGCAAGTGCGGATTGGATTTAGTTTAGTTAACCATCTTTTGATAGAATGATCTGCATATGACAATGAAAAACTATTATGTAATGTACCTAATATTTTGAAAAATTGTTTTAACCAAGATGGATACACCCGAACACTGGAATTCCTAAAAATGATAAATATGTATAACTTAGTTTAAGCTTAGTTCACATTATTAAAATGTGGTCGCTAATGACCTAGATGTTAAAAAGCGACCTAAAATAAATAATAAAAAAAAAGAATAAGATTGGATTAGTTACTCAATGTTTTGTATCTGTTCATTGAATTCAAATGGCATTTGAGTGATAACAAAAAACGGCGTAACTAGTTTATGCTTATTACAAACAAATATGTTGTGGGGTGAAATGTTGAATTAGTAACAACCTTTTTAATGAAACATTGAATGAGTATCGACTATTTGACCCTAATAGTTACTTGCATATCGCGCAGCAAATTTTGCTGTAATATATTCAATTGGGATTTATTTTTTTGTGATATTATCGTAAATACAACATATATAAAACTAACGGCCCGCTCTCGCTTCGCTTCGCTGTAGAGCTGAAGTGTAGACTACAGTTTTTGTTCTCAGGCTTGTATTATACACAATGACATTCATCTATGATTCTTCTTATACCTGCATGCAAAGTCTCAGCCAGATCGATTTAAAATTGACAAAGTTTCATACAAAGTTTCATTCCCTATTTTATATATTATATTTTTATGTAGAAATAATCAAAATCTTTTCTTAGCGGATGCCTACGTCATAACATCTACCTGCATGCCAAATTTCAGCCCGATCCGTTCAGTGGTTTGGACTGTGCGTTGATAGATCACTATGTCAGTCAGTCACCTTTGAGTTTTATATATATAGATAAAACTCTATATAAATTATTTTGATTGGATTCCTATATGATTTAAAAAAACAGATGATTGTTAGGTAGTAAGTAGTGGGGTTGTATATATTGTATTTGTGATACATATTTGTTGTTCAAATACGTTTTTTTAATATTTAATGTATTGTATCATTACATTAGTATAAAAAAATATTCGTACACAGCTTCATGAACATGGTCGTCTCCGATGACATCAAAGCTCAAGATAAGGTTAATGCCATCACTTGGCTCCTGGCTGGCAACAGAAACAACTCTGCGTCATTCCTCGAGTTCTTGAAGGCGGGAGACAATGTGCAGAAAATAAGACAAGCGTGAGTACAGATTGTATAACACCACTAAGGAAACTAAAGTAAAGATTTGTAAGATTACCTTATTGATACCGATCGAATCATAACGAGTATCTGTCAATAATATCGATTATACCAGTTACAATATCAGTTATTAGTACCAAGTTATTTCTTGTACTGGCAACATTGACATTGATAAAAAAAAATTAAATCCAATTAAACAACTCGCTGGTCGGTAGACATCGAGGCGTGTTAGCGAACGTTACGTGTCGGAATAAAATCTTTAATTATCTTGAGAATCATTGTTTCATTTCTGAGATAGTAGTTGAATCTTATAGATTACATTGTCAGAGAGACATTACAATTACTAAATAGCCAATCTCTTCCTGACAAACAATGATGGAAAATTAACTATATTTATAAGACCAAAATATGAGGGCTGGTGTAAAAGCTATATTGTAAAATAAGATAATTTTAATAATAAATCTATATATCTTTGAAACCAATATTAATTGTAACTTTTAGAAAAAAATTTTCGCCACTCTCCGAGCAAATGTACTGACCACTATGCTACCACTAGAAACGTCTCACAATTTTGTATTTACTCAAATTTATATTGATTTACTAAATAATGTGTTGATATTTTTTTATCTGTTGCTTAATACACGTTTCTGTTTCAAAACATTGATGGATGATCATGTTGTCAAATGATGATTTGTAAAAAGAACCGTTTTGTGAGATGCAAAGCTGCCGTAACATTTTATTTATCAACAAGTGGCCTGCCTTCGCTTCGCTTCGGCGTAGAATTGATCAAAATTCTTTCTTAGCGGATGCCTACGTCATAACATCTACCTGCATGCCAAATTTCAGCCCGATCTGTCCTGTGGTTTGGGCTGTGCGTTGATAAATCACTATGTCAGTCGGTCACCTTTGAATTTTATATATATAAATTCAATGTTTGTTGTTCATTTTCAGTCAGGTGAATATTATTAAAGCTATTGTCGGGACTGTTACCACGTTCCTTGTTTTTATGTGTCTCTGATATCTCGGCACAGTTGCAAAGGCCCGTGGCCCTTAAAACTAACTACTGTAACTGAAGTAATTGCGGGTAGATAGATGTTATTGGCAGACATATCGGTCTACCCTCTGACGTCGTCTTTTATTGCGTTCGATACCCCTACCACTGGTCACATTCTCACTATTCACTCGCACCTGTTCCCGACAACACAATACTCACAGTATCAGATCGCAGAACGACACTTTTTTGATTTTTGCGGTTTGTACACATACGCACCACTAAATTCCAGACATTTGACAATTTAAACCCATCTATAGAATTGAAATTCTTGTGTTTGGTTATTTCAATCGCTTCCCTGATCAATCTTGGTATGTAGTGGCGTCCTGTCGAGATAATTTGTGGATTATGGAGCTCAATCCAGTGATAAGGACCCGAATCAATTAAATGCTCCGCGATGGCTGATTTTTGCGTATCATTATTTCTGACTTCTTTTATGTGTTCTTTCATTCGACACGCTATTGTCCGCTTCGTTTAGGCAATAAACGAACTGCCACAGCTGCAGATCTTGTATACACGAGGTTTCTTCAAAGGGAAGTTGTCTTTGGGAGACCGTAGAACCGGTGATACTTTTTACAACGCGGTACATGGTAACAATCCCGTTATATATAGCTGAATATTAGTTTTATAATGAATGGAAGGAAGAGCTCGATGGCGCAAGTGATTAGCGCAATTAGCTGCGATCGTTGAAGTTAAGCAACTTTCGCAGTGGTAGGTCATTGGATGGGTGACCAAAAATTTACTATCTAGAGCGCCTCCGTGTTTTAAAAGGCACTTTAAGCTGTTGATCAGCCGTTAGCACCCACCAATTTGTACTGGGCTCGCGTGGTGGGGTCATGGAACAATCTCCCTATTCCATAGGGAAGGCATGTGCCCTTGCAATGGGGACATTAATAGGCTGATGATGAGGATGATGATGATATTGATGGTGAATGGGACGTAATACGTTAACCAAAGCAATACGAGATCATCAATATAAAACTGACGACCTCCGTGGCCGAGTGGTTTGTACGCCGGGTTCCATGGTGTCGCCGACTCGAGAGGTCCGGGGTTTGAATCCTGGTGGGGGCAGATGTTTGTGTGATGAACACGAGCATTGTACTCCAGTCATGGATGTTTAATATGATATGTATTTCTATATAAATATACTTATGTAAGTACTGTATATGTATTCTATCCGTTACCCTAGCATCCCATAACACAAGCCTTACAGTGCTTACTTTGGGGCTAGGTTATTTGGTGTGAGTGTTGGAAATATTTATTTATTATTATTTATTAAAACTTTACATGGAAGATAATTATATGAATGCTATTTTATATCATCACCTGAATAAGACTAATAATAAGCTATAGATAAACAATTTTTATAACTATATATTTAATTTGTAGTAAAAACATGATCATGGTGAGATGTCAGAATTTAAAGAGAATTTCAAGTTACCATTTAGGTAGTTTAGTAATTATTATATTTACGAATATCATTTTTATTAATTTTCTTTTATATATGTTTTCAGTGTAATTTTACCTGCTTCGTTCAATACTGTTCTTTCAACTCTGGCATCATATTTGGATGTCGAAGGTTTAAACGAGGTAAATATGGAAAATTATTTTTATTTTATTTCTTAGAACCGTATACCTACCTTCATTTATTCATTTTGTTCTCCTCATCGATTCCTTTGATAAAACTGATTTCATCCTAATGAGATTGAATTTTGTTGGGTATCAAATTTTTTTCTATAATCCTCTTAAGAAATAAAGAAGTTTCACAAGTTTGCAATGGAATTAGTATTAAAGTTTGCAGTAATTTTCATTTTTATAAAAATATTTAAAAGAAAAATGTACATTATGTATACCACTTCAACTTTTACCTTTACGCATTCAACTTTGATCCTTGTTAATAATAATAATTTCTTAATTATTATTAATAACAATACATCATTAACTTAACCTTAATACATGTAAATCTAGTTATGTGAGAGACTGGCGTAAATACATATAAGTTTTTAAGTGAAATACAAAAACATAAATAGGAGAACAAAATAAAACAAAAGAAGGTAGTGTGTATATGTGATGGTGTGAGTGTATGTGTGTGCGTGTATCTATTGTGTTGTTAATTATAGTGGTTAATTGTGATTATAAGACGGTGTAGTATGAGGGTGTCTCTGTTTGTTTATGTACGTACAAGTGAAAATATGTTTATTGATGGTGTGAGTGTGTGTGTATGCGTGTATGTATTGTGTTGTTTCTTTTAGTGGTTAGTTGTGATTATAAGACTGTGTAGTATGAGTGTGTCTCTGTTTATGTACGAACAAGTGAAAATATGTTTAAATAATGTTTAAGTACATTTCACGAGATGACAGCCATACATGTTTACCGCGTTTAAAGAGTAAATGTGGCGGACTTGATGGAATAAGAATATGACTGTATTATTTATGTATCGTGCATAATTCCAATTCAATTCTCATTCAATTTTAACTTTTTTAAATTGAAACTTCAATGACGAACAAAGAGGAGCAAATTTATTTTATATATATACCTACAACTTAACTTCGTTATTTAGCATTATTATTAGCTTAACTTCAACAAGGTACATACATAGTAACAATCCCGTTAATAGCTATAATTCTTAAATTTTATTTTTACCTCATAAATCCTTTGCATAGATGGAGAGGTGGCTGAACGAAAATCAACAAGCTGTACCAGAGTTCAATGTTGGTCTTAGTGCTATAAATTCTGCAAGAGCAAATCAGCAGTGGGGCACAGATAAAGCAAGAGACATTCTGGAAGCAGTTAGAGATTCCTCATCTGTGCTAGTGCCGTCTATCATGCTAGTTCTCTCAACAATGATCGCTTTGATGTTGAAATAGATAAATATGACACTGTTAATAGTTACTGGACTATAATAATGTACTTCCAAAGATTTATTAGATTTAAGGAAAGCGTCCTTCTCTTTTCTCCTCCCTAATTTTATATGCTCAATAGGCTCAATAATATGTATGTTCATTTTATAATAACTTTTTGGGAACGGTTGCAATAAATATTGAGTATGGAGATCGTAATTTGTTATCCTGGGTGAAGGTTCAGGAATTGACATGTATGAAAGTTCAATTCAATTTATTGCACTCATGTCGTTACATCGATGGTTACAAAATGCTTATAGTACCTAACATGAACCCTGCCAGGGTATCGCAATATGAAGTACAGTTAAAGATAGTTAATATATTAGTTTTAAATTCATTAATTCATCAAAGATCACATGCTATTAACAATGTTGATTGTGATATTTTATTTTTTATACAGCGTTTGATAAATTTATATTTATATGAAAGTTGGTTTACGTTATATTAATTTGTAAATGTGGATTATATTTAAGAATTTTTCAATAAATGTATTTTTATATAATAAAGTGCTCTTAAAGTAGTTTATCATATTACTGATTTCTAGATTCATAATATAGTTGTAATTGAAATCAAAAGCTTTTAAATATTACTCACCATTGCCTCGTCAACTAGACAAATGGCTATTTTGTTAAGTATAGTACAGTCAATCTGTCGAAAAAAATATCGTTTCAGTGAAAAAAAAACCTAATGGGTAAGTCTTGTTTTTTCTGTTGCCAAATGACGTCAGTAAGCCACCTTGACGATGGGCATGTTCAACTCGTAGGCGTTTTTTGAAAAACTCAAAAAAACCGTCAAATTTTTTTGAAACGCATTTTTCTTGTTTTGTATGCATTTTAGAAACTTTTTTTTCGACCATAATTGTAGAGGGCGTTGAGTACTACAATTTATGTCATTGTTGCAATCTCGTACAACAAAAAATGCGCATTGCAGGTGGCGCTAAAGTCTCAAAAAAAGTGTTTTTTCACTTTTTCACCCTGAAAATATCATTTTAATGGAAAACTTTAAATGGCTAAGTTGTTTCGTACATAATTACCATCAAGCAGAATAATATATATATTTTTTAAATAGTCGTGCAATTTCATTTCAAATCTAAATCCTCTTACAAAAAATTTAATATATTAAATTTATTTTTTGGAATGGTAACCAATATCGTAAGTAGAAAACAATGAGTTTTGTATATATTTTAAAGGTAGAAAATAGGCATACATATGCTTTATAACATGTAAGAAAGCCAGTAGATATACCTATACATTCTAATTAATAAAAAATAATATACAAAAACACTGTAACTTATCTCTTCTGGTTACTTTGATTTTTTTTAATATCTCAAATTGTATCGACTTTAATAATATAGGTAACAAAGCTTTATTGCTGGACCGACAGTATTTTTTTTTGATATCCTTGAGAGAATTGAATTCAAAGTAAATTAAAGCATAAGCTAACATTTTCAAATTACTGGTGGAAAATAAGAATGAATTTGGAGGTTATAGACAGATAATAAGGACGTTTGCGTCTGCGCGACACCGTTTCTTACAAAGCGCGATAACGGGCGTCAAAAGGATGACCAAAATGTAGCCAAAATTTGCCTTCCGCCAGGATACACTAGTTCTCAATATTTGTAAAACACCTTTAACAAACTGGCAATAAAACAAAACTTACTAAAACTAACAATACTAGGGGTGGGCGTTTTTAGAATAACGATGCGTAATAACGATGCCAAGTTTGGATGCGCGCATCCACAGACCAATAGGCGAACAAGTGCGCATCCGATGCGACTGGATGCCGTTATTGGATGCCGATGCCATCTAGTTTTCATCAACGTTACTATAGCAACAGTGCCACAAACTTATCTGTGCCGGTGAAGATGTCGCTAGCGGTAAACAAATATGTCTTAAAAATGACACAATTCTATGGACAAATTGTAGTTCACATTTTCGCCACCGGCACTGAAAAGTTTGTGATACTACGATACTGTCATTCACTTGGTATCGATGCGATGCCGGCATCGGTAAGCGGATCCGATACGATTTATCTGATACCGATGCGCATCGATTTCATAAATATCTAAAAACGCCCATCACTAAACAATACGTTGTCTACACCCCATATTGTTAGCTGAACTATAATTTTAGGCGAGCGGGTTGTGATTCCTGTACATTTAACTACATAATTCGTTTCCCTTTGGCCTTTTTCGAAACCATTTTCTGAAACCAGTTTCGAGAGAAGAATTATAATTCTTCTTTTAAAACTGGTTTCGAAAAAGCCAAAATATTTCTACTTTCAAAACCGGTTGCTAAATAAGAAATCTGTTTCTCTTTTCGAAACTGGTACAAAAATACCTTTGTTTTTTTAATTTTTATTATTTTAAAGCATGTAACTGCTTGATTTCTAAATCTAAAGAAAATATAACTAAAAAAAATCCACGCGGACCAGGCTGCAGACAGGAATCGACCGTGCACCTTTCGCAATCTGGGCTAATGCACTGACCAATTATGCTACCGCGGCGGCCCTCGGGCCCTTTATTTTATGAAAAGAATAATTCTGATAATAAAGGCGTAAAGTTCCATGGGCATCTTAATAAATTAAAATTATAACGGAACGTACCCATACTATGTGATGCATTTTTTTTCATTTTTTACCCCTCTACCCCCTCAGTGACCTCCCGTGGTACATGCCAAGACCCCTACCTTCATCGTCTAGTTTTCACGTAGTATTTTATAAATATGGATATAAATATATTTTTGCGCGTAGAAAGTAAAAAAAAAAATAGTCTTTATATTATTACTAAAAATCTTAAAATGGAAAAGTATGTTTGATCTTTTGTTACGTGGTTACGTCACGTGACCAAAGCGAAACTTATAAACGTTTCCAAAAACTTGTCAAATAGCCTATTCAAATAATAAACATAATGTAGTAATTATTATCAAAGTACTCCCCTAGACTAAGTTAAGTTAGGAATATTCATAAAAGCAAGGTGCCAAGGCTCCACGGGGTAGGGGTCAGAGTACACAACAGAGCAAGTGGATTGAGATTATAGTAGCGTAAGCGTCTATAGCACGGTAATATTATCTATACAATATTGTCACTCGGCCCTGTTCTTGAAATAAATGCCTACGGCCGAGCGGGATGTATCTCCGCGGTAGGGTTGCCCGCCTACAGTGGAAAGTGACTATTTGAGTAACTTACCAAAACAGTGTAACTCCTTTGTTCTTATGGACACTGATCATGGTGAGGTAAGTGATATAATACAGTCCTTAAAATATAGCAGTGCCCCGGGATGGGACGGTATTCCAACCAGTTTTATCAAATACGCAAGTTCATATATTGTTCCAATTATAACTCATTTTGCTAATCTGTGTTTTAAAAAGGGGACTTTCCCGTTGGTACTGAAACAGCCAATAATCAGTCCAGTTTATAAGGCTGGGGATAGAGACAGTGTTAATAATTACAGACCAATCTCTGTGTTACCTGTAATTTCTAAAATTATAGAAAAACTGTTAAATACGAGGCTGCTTAGCTATCTAAATAAATTTGACATCTTATCACCATCTCAGTTTGGCTTCAGGCGAGGGAAATCAACTGAAGATGCAGTTTTGGCACTTACATCGATTGTTACTCAGCAGCTCGATGCTCATAAAAAATGTATTTCAGTATTTTTGAATTTACAAAAAGCTTTTGACACTGTCTCTATATCCATTCTGGTGAGAAAACTAGAAGCGATCGGACTGAAGGGAGTTTGTCTTGAATTGTTCAAAGATTACTTGTCGGATAGGCGGCAAAAGACAAAGTTAGATTCCTTCACTAGTGATGATGCAGCAGTGACATATGGAGTGCCTCAGGGTAGTGTCCTTGGACCTACATTATTCCTTATTTATATCAATGATCTTTGTGCCATGAACATTAAGGATGCAAAAATTTTGTCGTACGCTGATGATACTGCAATTGTTTTTAGTGCAGACTCTTGGGATGCTGTAAGGGAAACAACCGAGAGCGGCTTGAAACAGCAAGCAAGCAAGCAAGTGGTTACGTAATAATTTTCTTACACTCAACACTGCTAAAACAAATTATATCTGTTTCAGTCTATATAATGACGGACAACCAAACAATGATTTTTGTTTAAAGATACATGGCTGTAATTTTAGAATAGGTGGAGTTAATTGTAACTGTCCGGTTCTTCAAAAGGTTGAGAATGTTAAATATTTGGGTGTCTATGTGGATCAGAGATTCTCTTGGTATCAGCATTTAGAACATGTAACTTTAAGACTCAGAAAGCTTACTTGGATTTTCAAGACACTCAGGTATATAGTACCAGTCCCAAAAAAGGATAAGGGTGATTATGGTTCGGTAAGAGATCTCCTTAAAGAAATTTATATTTCGTTGGCCCAATCTATATTGACATATTGCATACCTGTATGGGGTGGCGCAGTCAAAACGCGTTTTATTGATGTTGAGCGCGCTCAGCGAAGTCTCATTAAGGTCATGTATTTTAAAAGAAGGCGATTTTCTACTGAGTGCCTCTACAAAATTAGTAATTTATTATCTGTAAGGAAGCTGTACATAGTTCATGTTATTCTAAAAAAACATAAGTCTCTAACGTATGACCCTAAGATTTCAAAAAGGAGAAGGAAAGACATTATTATACGTGCTCCTAGAACCAACACTTTATTTGTTAGCAGTCAGTTCAATAGTCGATCTATACACATATACAACACCATTAATAAATATATTTATGTATATGATAAAATTTATTATCAATGCAAAGAGCTACTGATAAAATGGTTAACAGCTAAAACATATGATGAAATCGAGATACTATTAAGCAGAACCTAGTATTCTTGCACACACTAAGACACATATATACGCACACACACTACACCAACATACACACACACACACACACACATGCATACAAAATACAAACACTCACTCCCACATTTACAGCTATGTAGGCATAAACACCAAACGTCTAAACTAATTAGATCTTGGTCATGGTTTGTTTAGATTTCATTGGATTGGTATAATTATATATTTTAAGGAAGACCTGTATCTCCTGACACAGGCTATTTAAGCTTAAAAGGAGATGCAGGTAATTAGTTTAAGATCACATTTTTGTCCAAGCCAATAAAAAATTATTATTATTATTATTACACCAGCCATCCTCAGTCTGCCGGCCTGCATGTTCCTTCTTCACGCCTCTTTTAAAGGATCCCAGGTTGTAAGAGGGAGGGAACACGTGAGCGGGCAGAGCATTATATATTAATTAATTTAATTATATATTTTTTGACAACCTCCGTGGCCGAGTGGTTTGTACGCCGGGTTTCTTGGCGTCGCCGACTCGAGAGGTCCCGGATTCGAATCCCGGTGGGGGCAGATGTTTGTGTGATGAACACGAGCATTTGTACTCCAGTCATGGATGTTTTATATGTATTTCTATTATATGTAAAGTATATGTATTCTATCCGTTACCCTAGTATCCCATAACACAAGCCTTATAGTGCTTACTTTGGGACTAGGCTAATTGGTGTGAGTTTAAAAAAAAATTGAATTATATTATTTTTCCGAAAACAGCAGGATTTGGTTTTACCGGTAGTCATCGGCAGGAACAGGATTTGGTTTTACCACCTGTTCCTGCCGATGACTACCGGCCCACTTATTACGAGTATGTGTGTACTCAGATTACAGAATCTGTGTAGCTACCCATACTTGTAGTGAGCGTAGTCAATTCTATCCCATTTTGAATAGAACGTAAACTAAACTTGTAAGTAAGTTAATCCTGTGGTTTCGCAAAGTATACATATTTGGTATACATAGAGGAGCTCGCGCAAGTGGTTAGCGCGTTCGGCTGCGATCGCTGAAGTTAAGCAACTTTCGCAGTGGTCGGTCATCGGATGGGTGACCTTAAAAATTTACTATCTCGAGCCTCTCCGTTCTTCGGAAGGCACGTTAAACCGTTGGTCCCGGCTGCATCTGCAGTCGTTAGCACCCACCAATCCGCACTGGGCCCACGTATGGCCCATATGGGTCATGGCCCAATCTCCCTATTCCATCCATGGGGAAGGCTTGTGCCCCAGCAGTGGGAACATTAATAGGCTGATGATGACATATTTGGTACTTTTTTTACATAAATAATGATAATAATTTATTTTATTTATTTATGAAAGTTTATTGAATTTTAAACATATAAGAATAATAAAATAGCTGGACGTAATTCTCTGCCAGTCAACTTTTGAAATAAACGATGAAATGAATTATTATCACTGAACAATATAAAAAATTAAAGAAAATCGTTTGATAAGTAAAAAACCTTAATAACAAAAACTAACGATTGAAAACTCAATTCACGTTGTACAAAAGCATTAAAATGAGTAAGGATTAAAATGATAGATTTATTAGTCTAAAGGGATTTATTTCTTGTAAAAACAATACTTAGTTTTTAATAAAAGTTATACATAGCTCGTGATTCTGTAATAACATTTTCCAAATTTAAAATTCCATCACAAAGTAAATGCTATTCTATTCTTACAGACGTTATATGTCGTAAGATGATTAGATAAATCAAAATTTTCAAAAATGCAATTAATAGGGTATTTGACAAGTTCTAGAAAACGATCTCACTTTATTGGCTAATGTTTATGAAGGTAGCGTTCGGGAAGCTTAGGCACATCCTCACGGCCAAAATTCCCCAGTGCCTGAAAAGAAGGGTCTATGACCAGTGTGTGTTACCAGTGATGACTTATGGACTGAGACGTGGTCTCTGAATGTCGGCCTCATAACAAAACTCAAAGTCGCGCAGCGTGCTATGGAGAGGGCTATGCTCGGTGTTTCCCTACGTGATAAGATCCGAAATACGGAGATCCGTAGAAGGACCGGTGTGTACGACATAGCCCGAAGAGTTAGCACGCTGAAGTGGCAATGGGCAGTCCATATCGCTTGAGGATCTGACAACCGTTGGGTAAGAAAGGTCCTCGAGTGGCGACCACGTACCGGACGACGCAGCGTGGGGCGGCCCCCAACAAGGTGGACTGACGACATCGTCAAATGTGCTGGGAGCCGCTGGATGCGGATAGCGCAGGACCGCGCATTGTGGCGTTGTATGGGGGAGGCCTATGTCCTACAGTGGACGGATAAAGGCTGATGGATGGATGGATGGACTAGTGTATGACGTCACACGACTGTTAAAACGTGAAACGATACAATGTAATGTCACTTTAACCGGAAGTTTACTTGCGTGTGACGTCATTTTAGTTTAGTAGTTAGTTGACGTTTTGGGTCACGTGACAATAGATAAGAAAACTATTATTTTTTTCGTGGGCTTTTAGTAAAATTATGAATATTTTTTTTGTAATAATCATAATATTAAAAACCCCTATCAATATTCATTCTAAACACAGATGCTAATAGTTAGCACTTTATTTTTAATACTGTCAAATACCCTTTAGACAAGTTGGCGTCATCTTTGTCTTCGGAAAGGCAGCGAAGCTCAAAAAACAGGGCATGGTATATGGTAACAATAACATCTCCTTATTCGAGACAATTAACTGTGCGAATGTGGTCTTGATGAGGGTACAATAATAGTTTTTACTCTTATCCACAAATTTTACTCTTACGCAAAAAATCTAAAAACTTACAACTTTCTATAGCGAGTTGGTGAAAATTAAGGTCCCGCTTCCTTTATATATTCGATCATTTTTTGGATTTTTTTACACTACATATAATTGTTATCTCGGCGAAATCTATCCATTATATAACAATATTAAACTGTGAAGGTGTAGTGTAACTACAACTAACTCTGTATAACTCCATTTATGATAAAAAAAAAATGTGTGTGTCAGCTCCGACGAACGACTGGAGTTTACTCCTTAAGTTCGATAGTCTAACCAGACGCAAAAAGAGTTTATTTAACTTAAAAAAGATTGATACTGTATGAAAGGGTAAATTAACAAATTAATGAAAATAATATACATATATAAATATATATTTATTCATTTCATATACATTTATTATAACTAATCAACTAAATATTTTACATTAAACTTTTTACAATAGTCAATTTCAGATGTGCATAAATATATCATTAGGAATGTTGATAAATTATGTAATTATTATTATCATTTTTTTAAATATTAATTAAATCAACATTGTCTGCATTATTAATTACAGTGACAAGTGGTTTATGGATATTAATGTCAATCCGTCATCTTTGTCAAAGTTGCGCGACATAGGATGCGCACCAAAAACGTAACGAGGTCATTCATCGATAGATTTTACTCCTCACATTTTTCTCATACCGGGCCCCTTATATATGCAAATAGATTCTTAAGGAGTAAACTCCAATATTAATTTCTAAAAAAATGGGAACAACTTCTGTCTTCATATTCCCTCCCTCAAAACTAATCTCTAAAAATAAAAATAGATATTTGACACTGATAACTCTCAGTAATTTAGCAGAAAGCACATTAGCCAAAAAGAATATATCGACCATGGACAGGCAAAATCGCTTAAACGCTACTTTAGTAACTATACAGAAACGAGGATCAAAGATTTTTTCCACAAAACAATCATAACTCATTGTAAATAAGTAGTAGCACTTTAAAAATAAAATCCTCTTATTAAAAAGTTACACAGTGCCTTTACTTTACGAATTAGATGTCACTTAAGCGAAAATCATTCCTCCCGTCCTACATTTTTGTCAAGCAAACAATCGCCAAATAGTAGGGCGAAAGTGCCATTGGTTCAAAACACTGTTTCAATATATGCCGAAGGCAAATTGGCGACCCGCTCAATTGTTAAAATTTCGACATTGATTGTTTTAGTAAGGTTACCATCATAAAACACGGGTTGAAAATATCAGACTTTTGACTATATATAATATATAGCCATATCCTCAATTATCGTCTCCATAGCTGTTCTTTTACTAAGAATCCTTGCTGGATAACAATATACATGACCTATTGGAATTCATCGTGCTAAGTAGGAAGATGCCAGCGCCAGTGGCAAATTTGGCCGTGGCCTTAGCATAAATTATTTAAATTTTACTTTATTTTGTAAATTATTTTTTGACAAATTAGGTCGCTTGAGCTTTAACATACTGTTGCTATTTGCAAGATGTCATGAAATATTATTAAATTAAATCTATTTAAATATGGGTAAAATGTCCGACCGTATTTTTTTAAATGAGATTTTGTTTATATTTTTTAACCTTAAAATTTTCTTAATTTAATGCCAACATAATTTTGATGATACAAATTATATTAACAGTCAAATTTCCTAATAATGCAACAATGAAGAGACAATTTTCATATTTTAAATCTGTTATTAAAATATTTGGTAAGTTGATGAATAATTAGGTCATTATGGACGAAGAACTTGTAAGATAGAACAAGTCAGAGGTCATTACAGATCTTGATCCATGGGATTCCAAGCATATTCAGGAAATTCACGACACACCACATCAATACATTTTATCAATAACAATATGATGTCATATTTTTATACTACTCATCAAAAGTATTTAATCAATATGAACTATTTGTAACTTTCAACCGATTTTTAATACTTATATTCTTTTGTTACTGATAACCAGTTTGTTTTCTTTGTGACTAAAGCAAAAAAATCCTTGCCTAAATCTATATATATATACCTATATAAAACTCAAAGGTGAATGACTGACTGACATAGTGATCTATCAACGCACAGCCCAAACCACTGGACAGATCGGGCTGAAATTTGGCATGCAGGTAGATGTTATGACGTAGGCATCCGCTAAGAAAGGATTTTGATCAATTCTACTCCGAAGCGAAGCGAGGGCGGGCCACTAGTTATACATTCATAACGACAATATCAAACATCAACTGGTAAAGTCGCAGTTTGCATAAATGATGTATGTTTAAGCAATAAACTACTTTGATGTCTGTTTATTTGATGAAATATCCACACTATAACTAGGTACCTAACTAAATTATATGTGAGTTAAGAAATCCAAAAATCTTACGAACTACTATCAACAACACTCTTTAGAATTATCTAGTCTTATTACTGATAACGCTATCCTTAAGATGATTCTTATCATTTGTATTGTCAACTGCTTCTTTGGACTGTCTCAAAAGCCTCAGTTGATAGTATAACTGAATATAGTGAAAACAACAGGTATGTTTTTTTTAATAAATAATAATAAAATATATTGTCCAATACTTTAAGTATAATATATAACAATAATTTAAGCTTTGTAACTAACAGTGAATACCTTTACTGAAGCATCGACTCTTAACTGTGACTCCAGAATTCTACACTAATATTATAAATAATTCGAAAGTGTATGTTTGTCTGATAACTCTTCACGCTCAAACCGCTGAACTGATTTTGAAATAGTTTGAGTTTCAAGAAAGGAGTTATTTAAGATTTTATTGTGACAATAAAGCAAGGAGAGGTTACGGTATAGAAGGGGATTTATATGGGAAAAAATATAACTCCATATCCTTCATAAAAAAAACAAATCTAAACATTCCAAATTTCCCAAAATAAAAATATGCGTGGAATTGTTTTATTGTTTATGAAGGATATGAAGTTATTATAGATATTAACGGGATTGTTACCATGTACCTTGTTTTTTATTAGTCTCCGATATTTCGGCACTGTTGCAAGCGCCATGATCACGGAGTAACTGGTTACAAGGTACATGGTAACAATCCCGTTAATATCTATAATGTTAGTGACCATGAAAGTTTAAAACGATATGAAGTTATGTTAACTTCATATACTTAATAAACAATAAAACAATTCTAAACATTCCAAATATTCCAAAAAAAATCCGCATGTTTTTTGAATATAATAACTTATATTATGTAATAACTTCATATCCTTTATAAACAATAAAACAATTCTAAACATTCCAAATTTCCCAAAAATTCCACGCGGACTAAGCAGCAGAGGGACTCGAACCCGCACCCTCTGCTATACGGGCGGATACACTGCTCATTATGCTTATACTACTGCGGCATCTTCGCATTGTAGGTAACCCACACTGTAAAATGAATACCTTTACTAGTATGAAACATTTGGAAGAAGAATAATTAGTCTGCTGCATGGTCCGTGTGGATTTTTATCTAGTAAAATTTTCTTTGGATTTTAACATCCGGCAGTTAAATGCTTAAGAAATAAAAAATATGATTCTAAGCATTTTTTACTGAATAAAACAAATTATAGTGATGTTCTTGATATCTTGTTCTTTCTATTCTAGACATGTATCGTCTGTTGATATTGGCTTCGTGTCTCCTTATCCAAAATGTGAACAGTGATCAAAACTATAGGCTTAACACTCCAATAAGACCATCTGAATACTCCGTTGTCATCACACCATACTTCGATACAAATGACAGCAAAGCCTTCACTTTCGATGGAGAAGTAACGATTACATTTACGACTAACGAAATAACAAATCAAATAAAGTTGCATTCTGAAAATTTGACTTTCGCCGCAGAAAACGTTACTGTGTCAGTGCCTAGTTCATCAAATCGAATTGAGCTGGACAATACAAATCCCCTTAATTTTGATACTTTTTACACTTTTGCTTTTATCAACTTGCAAACTGAGCTTCAAGTTGGAGTCGTGTACGAACTGAAAATTGTCTACACTGGTCCGATAAGAGATGATTTGAATGGTTTCTACAGAAATTATTACATTGAAAATGGGGAAAAAAAGTGAGTACTTATCTATTTCTTTTCTTTACTTTAAATGTGGCGTCCAATATTTTAACAAACAATGTAACCACCATTACTGCTTTAATTTCCCCTATCCAACGTAATGAGTAATTTGGAAGTACAACTGTGGAATAGCGTTACAAAACCATACATGCTTAGTGCTGAGCTTGAAATAATCGTGCAGTCCGACCCTTTTAATCTACTCATTCTATCTGCCTTTACTTTACATTAGTATAAATAAACCTTTTATCAAAGTGATTTTAATATCAGGATGATTTAATTTTTCATTTCTCATGATTATATTGACATCCAAAGTTTGCCTCGCTTCGCTTCGGTATACCTATACCGAAGCTAGTTAAGTAAGACTATAGTATTTAATTTTAGGTTTGTATTATACATTGATATATATATATATATTTCAACACACACCAATTAGCTTAGCCCCAAAGTAAGCACTGTAAGGCTTGTGTTATGGGATACTAGTGTAACGGATATAATTCATATACTGTACATATATAAGTATATTTATATAGAAATCCATATTAAACATCCATGACTGGAGTACAAATACTCGTTTCATCACACAAACATCTGCCCCCACCGGGATTCAAACCCGGGACCTCTCGAGTCGGCGACACCATGAAACCCGGCGTACAAACCACTCGATCACGGAGGTCATATGTTATCTATTATATGCAGATTGATAGATTTGATTTGTTAATTTCTGACACCCGAAACACCGACTCCAAATGTTAGTTTGACTTTAAATGTAGATCTAGTGGTTTTGTTTTTATGAAGTTGGTTTTTATTTTAGTTATAAAAGATTTTTGTAGATATTGATTGTGTTCTATAAAACTGCAGAACATCACTTTGCTCTATTGTCTATAATTTTTGCAGTGTACGCGATATAAGATTTATTTGGTATTTTGTTCACATGTTGGGTTACAATATCGAATTTTCATGCGGGTCCCTAATTATTTTTCAATATATTCTATTGCCTATGTTCATCAGGGATAATATAGGATTCTAAATGAAAATGTTTTTTTTTGAAATCGGTCCAATAGTTTCGGAGCATATTCAATGCAAACAAATATTTTTTCCTCTTTATAATATTAGATTAGATGGTGATGATTCATCGTACATATACGAGTAATAATACTTTTTAAATAAATTATTCAATAGGGTATTTGACAGTGTTAAAAATAAAGTGCCAATTGTTGGCATCTGTGTTTAGAATGAATATTGGCAGGGGTTTTAACTATTTTTACAAAAAAAAATATTCATAATTTTACTAAAAATTAACGAAAAAGATAATAGTTTGTATTGTCACGTGACTCACAACGCTTGGGATTGGCGGAGCCTAAAATGACGTCACACGCAAGTAAACTTCCGGTTACAGTTACATTACATTGTATCGTTTGACGTTTTAATAACAGTCGTGTGACGTCACACACTAGTAAGACGCCATATTGCCCAGAGAAACGTTTTCGCGGCAACTTGAAAAAGGAGTTTTTTATTTGGTTATTTTTACTGAAATACACAACAGAATGATGAATATCCACTTTTTACGGACTCCATAAACATTAATCAATAACGTGAGATCGATTTCTAAAACTTGTCAAATACCCCATTATGATATTTCTTTTATTTGTAATAAAGTACTGAAAATTTTACATACGAGGATGATATGGCAAGAATAGATCAAATCCTATTGAATACCTACCTACAAATTTGAGTTGTAGCAACAGTATCAATAACACGTCACTTTGCGTTAAAGAACTAAACCAAACACTTAAAGATATATAACTATTAGATAAATCTTTATGCCTATCGAATGATAGAGTTTTCGATGATTTTTGTTACGAGTCAAGACTCCATCAAGAGATAAATATTGTCGCCTATTGAACTTGGCTTAGTCTTGAAATGATTTTTCAAACTGTAAACTTGTATCGAAATTGTATTTAAATCTTGTATTTAACGTTATATTGATTTATTTTATAAAAGTTTCTCTAAAGTAAAATGTTCATGTTATTTCGAATTGTTCGCAGCCGCAAACGTTATTGTAAGGAAGCGGCAATTTATTGTAGTTCTTAATTGTTGTTTACTTATAAGTACTGCAAAATGTCTGAAAAAGTAATTTTATTAATATTTAATTGTTAATTGTTTGTCAGAAACGATATAACATAAATTTCCCTCGCAGATGACGAACTTTTGACTTTTGTCCCCGTATTATGAAAAAAATGTATATTGAGTCCGTGTTAATTACAATACAATGATATGAATTTACAATATAAAGTTGTCTACGTTGTATTGTAATTAACATGAAGTTTAAGAAAAAAGAAGGCGTTCTAAAAGAGAACCTTCATATCGAATCGCTTGATTGATTTATATATGTTACGCTCAAAGATTAAAAACGGTCAGTGAGCGGAAAAATAGCTCACAACGCGTTGTGGTCACAGTAAAACATTCACATGGCGAAATTCGTGTTATGGCTCTAATGAAAACGCGCACGACGCATTGTGGCAATCACAGAAAGACCAAATAGCGAAATTCGTGTCGTGGCGTGGCTGACATGCTATTCGATCTCAACGCGTTGTGGCAATGAAGAAAAGCCATGAAGCGTTCTGAGCATTCATTGTTTTAACCATATCACGACGGACAGCAACACGACAATGACGTTTACTTGTTTACTAACACATTTACTAACTTGTTGACGTCACAATCATGGTGGACAGCGTTAGGCCATATACAGAAAGAAAGCCGAAAGCCGATCGGCGCCGATCAGCGCCGATCGGCGCTTATCGGCGCCTATTGACGCTGATCCTTTTTCTATGGCACGGCGCCGATAAGCGCCGATAAGCGCCGACACGCGCTGGTCCGAATAATAAATAATTTGTATTTGAATTATTATCCTTAGATTAAATCAATCTAAGTTATAATCTTTTTATAAATCTAATAACTTTATCTTTTATTAACTAAGCGCTAAAATTATTTGTTTCGTACTTACCGAATGGTGACAACAAGTCTTTCTTCTGGAAGGATTGGTTGTTTATGCCAATTGCCCCAATTTTTCATCAAACGGTTTTTCACTAAATCCAAAATGTAATAAAATGTTTCTTGAATCATTCTTGTATATGTATAAAATCTTTGTTCATCAAATTTTTTTTTTTACAAATAAATGATGGTATTCTCCGAAACGTTTCCTTTCTCTATTTATAGGATGTATAGCTGTTTTTCGCATTTTTAAATAAATATTTTCTAACAAAACCAAATCATCGTCCGATGAGTCCGACATTTTGCTTGATCTGCTTTAATCAGCTTCCTTTATGTAGGAAGGATCGGCGATCGGCGCCGATCGGCTTTCGGCTTTCTTTCTGTATACGGCCTTATGAGTGTTTAAAAAGCATAGACTAAAAACCATTTTTCAAATTAAATTACTACAGCCATCTTGTAATTTTATGAAGTGTTATTTTTTTATGTATTTAGGTTCCTCAGACCAAACATTATAAGAAATAAACATTTGTATAGTTTCCTTAATAATAAATCCGTTAAGATTATTTTATTTGCATTTCTGATGATGAAATCTATAGACGCTAAAGAATTACTTCAACAGATATTTCGCCATTGTTCTTTCGGTCATGATACTCTTTTTTTGTTTTATCATAAATAAAGGAGTTCTTATTCCCATTTCTGCACAACGTACATCACTATCGAGCGCGCACCGCGGATTAAAGTTCACCGTGCGTTGCCGCCTCTTGTCTCATAAATGTTCTTTTTTTTCGTGTCCGGTCCCTCGGTGTCCGCGGTAGTTCGGAGGACATTTTGTCCGCGGTATTTTTAATCCATCGTGTGCGTTACTCGGTGCAATTGTAAGCGATCTAATACGGCGGACAAAAGTCCGCCGTGTGCGCAGGACAATAATCATACTAATGCATCATTTTTGTTCTTTAATAAAATTGCAATATATCATAAAGTAGAAATACGAAGAAAACACAAGCAATTCTTTCACAAGCAGGAATTTCCTCTTCAGTAGGGACCTGGTTTTCATCTTATCTTCGTGGACGCCAGCAGGCTGCACGGGTAGACCAAACCATATCGGACTGGTGCGCTCGCACTGCTGGTGTTCCACAGGGCGGTATTCTCTCTCCTCTTCTTTTTTCTTTATTTATTAATTACCTTACTACTATGATTTATTCCTCTTACCATCTATATGGTGACGATCTCCAACTTTATGTTCATGCAGATATAAATCGTTTGTGGCCCTGATATGCCTGAATAATGATCTTCCGAGGATTTCGGAATGGTCCAACTGTTATGGTGTCTCTGTTAATCCAACAAAATGTCAGGCAATTATAATAGGTAGTTCCCGGCAGTAGGCCCTTCTTGATTTAGGTTCACTGAATCCATTACTATACAATGGTACTGTAATTGAATTTCAACCGTGCGACAAGAATCTTGGCCTACTCATTGACTGTACTCTCAGCTGGGAGAATCAAGTTGAAGAAGTATGCCGTAAAGTTAATACACTTAGGGGTCTGTACAGGTTAAAATTCTTTCTCCCTTCCTTCCTTCCTTCCTTCCAGTACAAAGGTTTCGCTGGTACAGGCTCTCGTTCTGTCCATCCTTGACTAAGCTGACGTCTGCTATTCTGACACCAATCAAAACCTTCTTTCTAAGCTGGATCGTTTGCTCAACAGCGGTATTCGCTTTATCTTCGGCTTACGTAAGTACGACCATATCTCCCACTACAGAAATAAACTCAATTGGCTGTCCATACGTGACCGTAGAAATGCCAGAATTTTATGCATGCTTTTCAGTGTTCTAAACGATCCACGTGCCCCAGAATACTTGAAATCTAGGTTTCAGTTTCTGGGTCCCTCCAGACCACGTGATCTTCGCTCTTGCAGGCACCTTACCCTCAAAACTATTTTCACCATTCTGGGTTCGTTTCCAAATCTTTTGCCATCACAGCTATACGTCTTTGAAACGCTTTACCACTGAATATTTGCAGTGCACGTAATAAATTACAGTTCAAAAAACTAGTGCGTGCTTACTATCTGTCAATCTAATTTTCCTCTTAATCTGTAGTCATCTATATATCATCATATTTATTTTATTTTTACTAATTTAGTGTATGTATATTTATTTATAAATATATATATTTATGAATATATATGTGTCAGTCCAGCCAGTCTGAAAATAATCCTTTATAATATTATATAATCCTCAGTTATTCAATAAGGTAAAGGTTACTATTGCCTCAAACGAGTTCTAAAAAACACTTTTCCTTAATTCCCTATGAATTACACTTATATCACAATCTCTCCTTTTCTTCCTCTATAGATCAGACCGTATAGATAATAATATACTGCTTTCAAATTTAGTTTAAGGTTTGAAGAATCATACCAGAATCAGGCCCACTCTTAACTTTAATGTTATCAACAGAACATTATCTTTACAATATTGACAGAAAGTACATGAACTGTTGAGATTCTTATCATTGTGAATACAATTCAAATATCATCAATAGTGCTATTTCAACTTAAACTCATATTATACGAATAAATGTACAAACTAGACCAGAAAATTTAAGTAAGGCATATGTCCTATTTAATTGGCATTGCCGGTTTAGTTTGTAGCCACTAAATTAATAATACTTCATTTTCACAAATTCAATTACAAAGATTAGAAAAACTTTGTCGATTCCAAAAAAACGTCATTAGACTCACAAAAAATAAAACAAATATCAATATATTCCGCTAATGTATCTTGTTCTGTTATGACATTGTTTTAGAATATTTGTTTTTACCGTTTCAAGGGAGTAGTTTACAAACGATTGACACTTATCAGACTATCTTCATAAGCAGATGTGTCAAAAAAAAATTTCTTCATCATTATTCATTGAATAATTGGATTGATGTCTTTTAAATTCAAATTATCGTGCGCAAAGTCAAATGGAAAATCCACTTTTATTTTCACGCCTCAAGCGTTTCTTGAGACTATTTGTCATTCAATACCAAACATATGTCGGTACATGGTTGGCACAATCACTTCTCCTCCACATACTCAACTACACCAATATCTATTACTGTTCATTCAAGCCTGGAAATGAACGAGTATTTTGTCATAAAGCTTATGACTAATCACGGGTAACCTAAGAAACATGAAGACCCTCATCTACGGGTTACCGCAGTGGAGTTTGCATAATCCCACCATTACTTTGGATGGATTGGTTTGTTCAGGTTGGAGTCGCCAGAGCTATAAGATCGCAGATTGGCAGTAGAACATGTTGGTGGAGGATCTAGCACGCTGATCTAAGGCATAATGTGTAGAAAGCGGTGCACACCTGTCCAGACCCTGTAACCGAGGACGGCAAATATTGTTGGCTATTGTGGCCATTAGTCTCTATACGCTAGACACTACCTGCCATTTTTTATGGGGTCCGAAGATATCTTCGTAGAGATTAGTCTATCGTTGCCCGCCCGTGGACCTACCAGGGGGACATGTTGGTAGGACCAGGGGTAATACCAATCAGTCCTTTCTCACAATGTAACTTATCCTGTACACATACGATACCTTGCAATTATGAGTATAATTTAAAACAACTGGTATATTATTATTTGTTTAATTCTTATTAAATGCAGATTCTAGCACAGGTTAACGAAAATCTTTTCATGCTCAAAAAGTTAAGTTTGTTTCCCGCTTCCATTACATTATCTTCGCTATCGCAGATGGCTCGGTGCAACTCAAATGGAGCCCACGCACGCAAGGAAGGTGTTCCCGTGTTTCGATGAACCAGAATTAAAAGCCACCTTTGATTTGACAATCGACCGACCCGAGAGCTATAAGCCGTCTTTGGCGAATACTAAAATGGAAACGTCTATTAACTTGTAAGTACTTTGGAAAATATTGATCACTATTTAATCATAAATGATAAATTTCAAAAGAGATATCTAGGTCACACACGTTCATCAATAAATAAAATGGGAAAGACGCAATTTTAATGTAAACCGTGTAACATAAAAGTTACATATATGTATTGGATTTTAAACATGTTTTGTTATTCGTTTGAATACAGACTGTGCGATAGTTGAGTATTATAAGTTTTTTGTTTCATGAGTATCACGTACAAAAATAACTATTTAAAAGTGAAATCCAGATCGTCACAGTTATTACTGGGGCTTTGTCTTTTGATTTCAAGTACCAAATATTTGACTCAAAGAAGATTTCTAGTTTACCACCGACTATTTCAGGGCGTACATGAGACTCGAAACTTATTTAATTTAAAATCAGGGCGCCGTGATACTGTGATTTGAGGGAGATAAATGAAAATGTCTAAAACAGCAGTGAACAAGATATTATATTGTTAAAAAGATTCAGATCTTATTTCATCATGGTTAAAACTTAATACTAGTCACATTCAAGTTAAAAATACATAGTTATATTTCTTCAAAGATTTTTCTTTTGATTTAAAGCTATTCAAACATTCAAGATCATGTGCTAATACAGTAATACTCAATTTAAGTTTCTTATATAAACAAATTATTAAACAAGTTATAAAATATTAAGTTTTGAAAATCTAACAATAAAAATTTGTTATGTACTTATAATGGCTTTATAGTTTACTAATAGAAATCCTTTATCACGTTAAACAGAAATTGTTATCCGGAGTATGCACTGGTTAAATATCAAGAAGTTATAAGTTTTACTTAGCTTGGCAAGATCATGGGAGCATCAGGATCACTCAAATGTCCTCAGGGATGAAGCAGGACTTGCTGTCATCACGTGAACCCGTCACTTTTTTGCTCAAGGAAGCTTCACAGGCTCATATATATATATATTTCCAAGGAGATTCCAATCAGGATTAAGTAAATGTGACTATTACTGTTATTTATTAGCCAAATTAATGGACCTAGAACCAATTACATATTTTTCTATAATTCAATAAAAAAAACTAACTGGACCTACAGCCTAACGAATCAAATGTATTGAACTTACCCGTTAATCCGGGGAGAAATATTAAGTATATAATGCACTGACTACCACTGTTAGTCTTAATGCTATTTTCTAAGTATGGTCTTCAAGGTTCTATCAGCCAAAAGAGAGCGAATCTGTTTGTGCACTGCTATTTATAGGCTACTACAACACGTGACAGCGTCATTGCAAATTTCTCTCATATTACCATATTTGGTATGAGGAAGCACACGGACCGGTTTTGCTGACTCCGCCTTTCAATGTTTCCAGAACATTAATGTGACGTCACATCCATTTCCGCATCTCATTCAAAAGAAATTGCACACTAGCTCCCTCTAACTTACATTCCAAATGCAACTACTAGGTTCACACATATATTGTACTTGTCCATTGCTTTTCAAAGTGGATTTCGATATTGAATAATTTATATGCATGATGATAGATGGCGCTGAATAAATAATAATATTTCTACGACTTAATATTTAAGAATTATATTGCTAAGTTTTTAACGTTATTAAATTTAATTGCTACACAACATCCCCCTTATCTCAAAAAAATTTTTCCCAAAAATTTTTTTTTTTAATTAATTAACCTGCAACTGACTTACAGACAAATCAACAATACTAAGTATTAGCCAAGATAAAAAAATTTAAACTTATATACGTGAGTATCCATTTATTTACTCCACGTAATGTTCTAAACTCTAAGTCAATAGCAACAATTAAATATTTGCTGTTTAATGATTTTTCTTTTAGTTTCATGTTAATACCTTTCTTGGATCTAATATCCAGTGGTATAACATGGCTTTTTTTTCATCTTAAGAACTTAAGGTAGTTAAGAAAACAACTCAAGATTAAAGAAGTTTGTATGTTTTCTAACTCAAAAGATTAAGATTATTTTCCAACAATCTTCCTATCTTTAATTATCAAGTCTAAAGTATATGTCTACTTCCTTAAGCTTATGCCTTTCTTACATCAAGATCTATTTTTCTATTAAGTATTAAAATAAATTGCACGTGCTTATTTTGAAAAAAAAAAAACTTTTCATACATCACGCATTTCATACTACTCTCATACTCATATGCATATCAGTAAACACAACTTGACGAAAATAATTTTATCAAAAAAATTTTTTTTTTGTGTTAAAATATTAAAATTCATCGAAATATTTTTTAAGTGTTCTTTTAAAAGTGAGAATTTAAGTTAAAAGGGTTGTCAATAAATATTTATTTAATTAAAAGAAAAAAATAATTTAATTTTCGGGCAGGTTTCGAACCGTAGCCCACAGATTTCCATATACACTTTTTCTATACTTCAACTCTTCTTAGCCAACCGATTAATACTGAAAGTGACCAAAATAAGCATCAAAAGGGATTCAAAGGTTTATTAATTTTTAAGTTTGTTAAAAAAATTTAAGCTATCTTTACTAAGTTAACATTACATTAAAGCAAAAACATCTACGATCAAGATTGGACAAAGTATCAACTGGTGGTGACAATTAAGTGGTTACCACACATTTAATAAATATTTATTCCTTTAGTGGGAAACAATTAAATATTTTCTCATCTTTTGGAACTAAATATTATTAAGTTAAATAATTTTCATTCCTCTGGTGAGCAGCAATCAAGTATCCGCTTACCTTTTGGAAGAAAGTATTATTAAGTGTAAACTTTTGTTCCTTGGGTGTGAAACGATTAAATATTTCCACACCTTTTGGAAAAATTGTCAAGTTTAAATTATTTAGCATTCCTTGGGTGGGCAGCAATTAAGTGTCTGCTTACCTTGTGAAAAAAATTTATTATTAAGTTTTTACCAACTACAGCTATGCCTGTTGCTGACCGTATAGGGTGCAACATAACATATTTCTGAACTTATATGTTATTACAATTAAATACGTCTTCTAATTTCAAGTGTGTGGAAAAGGTTCAAATAAATCTCAACTATTAGTAAAAAAAGTTTTAGATATGGGCTTGCCGTATTGACATGTTAATATTATTTCTTTTCTTAGAAATTACACATATTTATGTACCAACCATCCTTCATTCCTTTGGTGAGAAACAATTAAATATTTCCTCACCTGGTGGAAAATACTAATAAGCTCCTGTAACTTTTTGCAAGTAAAAAAGTTACAAGTACCTTACCAATATCCAGAATGCAGGTAGATAAATATATCGTAATTAGGGAAAGTAATTGGAGGTATCAAAAATGTTAAGGTTAGGTTCAATATTAAAAAGTTCCATTGGAAATTAAAGTTATGAATTAAGATTATTTTTAAGTATTTATCAAAATAATTATTAACTAACGATATTCTTAATAGTGTCTCAATATATATATTTTTAAATAAAAGTCAAGGTACTTGGTGAACACTAAACTAAACAGAGATAATTAAATAATCAATCGTAATTAATTTATGAATTGCATATTTATTAAGTATTTAAGATTTATTAAAAAATTTTACTTTAATAGAGAACTAATCGTCATAATTTGTTTTTTAAATCTATTTCAAAATCAGGAATATCAAAGTCTTCTCTCAAGTTAATTAATAGGTCAGAATATGAAGTAAAATTATCTTTATTACTTCTGTACCAAATTAAAGCAGAGTCCTCTAAGAGGTCTGAAAATGAAGTTAGCATACGAGATTGCGGAATCTCGCGGGCGTGTCTAATTTCTTCCAATCTTTCTATAAAATTTCTAACGCAAGTAGAACCATCATATTTTAAGTTAAATGAGTTTAAATTAATGCGTCTATCTTTAATTAAGTACACCTTCCTCCTTTCGTTCATCTCGCTCGTTCTCTCACACTCGGGAGTTGCCTCTTTACTACTTAATTCGTCTGAACTACTTTCTTCTTCCTGTTCTACCTGAGCTAAGATACGTATGAGCCTGTGGCGCAAATCCACTAAAGAAGCATTGTCAACCTCCAATCGAGCAAGTCTATCGATTAGATAATTAGCCCTAACTGACACACGTAAGTGAAGATTACTGTCCTTTCCGAGGTCACCTGATGACAGCCGATCCTCGAGCTCAGCAATTTTCGGCGTACATGCCTTGAGCTCGCTTGCCGGGAGTGGTGTGATCACTGGAGCACACTTGATGCTGCCACGTCTCTTCAGCTTAAAAATTTGGCGAAGCTGCTTTCTCAGTGCATCCACCGATGTGTCAGGAGCTGTGGAAATGCCAAGAATATCCAATTCATATATGATTTCATCCTTTCTTAAGTAGTTTACATATTTTTGTATAGAGAGCATTTTCTCAGATTTTTTCAAGTTAAAGTCAGTTATTTCTGTTACTAAGTTAATTATTAAGTTAATTATTAAATTACGTTTAATCAAGTTTTTAAATCAAGCTACTTATTCAAGTTATTTAATCTAAGGAAGTTAAATACAAAGGAATTTAAAAAATTTTTTTTTTTGAAGGAGGGTACTTTTATTATTACAAGTTTCAATTCTTAAAGACTATCTTGTTCACTGTTCAAGGTCAATTTTTTTTTTTACGCATCCAATCAATACGAAAGTGTTATTGTAGTATAAGTTGATTAATTCTAATGTGCTAAGTTAATTAATGCTAGTGTGTTTATTAAAGTTTTCTAAGTTATTAAGTAATTTACTTCTAATGTGCTATTCAGACTGATTGGGGATTTTAAGCATTAAATTTTTCCACCAATCTTTTTATCATCATATTAACACATTAGTATTTCCCTCAAATACAGTATTTTATTGCTCGGCCCCACGTTGGGCGCCATTTTGTAACAATTTTTGTTACCACCGACTATTTCAGGGCGTACATGAGACTCGAAACTTATTTAATTTAAAATCAGGGCGCCGTGATACTGTGATTTGAGGGAGATAAATGAAAATGTCTAAAACAGCAGTGAACAAGATATTATATTGTTAAAAAGATTCAGATCTTATTTCATCATGGTTAAAACTTAATACTAGTCACATTCAAGTTAAAAATACATAGTTATATTTCTTCAAAGATTTTTCTTTTGATTTAAAGCTATTCAAACATTCAAGATCATGTGCTAATACAGTAATACTCAATTTAAGTTTCTTATATAAACAAATTATTAAACAAGTTATAAAATATTAAGTTTTGAAAATCTAACAATAAAAATTTGTTATGTACTTATAATGGCTTTATAGTTTACTAATAGAAATCCTTTATCACGTTAAACAGAAATTGTTATCCGGAGTATGCACTGGTTAAATATCAAGAAGTTATAAGTTTTACTTAGCTTGGCAAGATCATGGGAGCATCAGGATCACTCAAATGTCCTCAGGGATGAAGCAGGACTTGCTGTCATCACGTGAACCCGTCACTTTTTTGCTCAAGGAAGCTTCACAGGCTCATATATATATATATTTCCAAGGAGATTCCAATCAGGATTAAGTAAATGTGACTATTACTGTTATTTATTAGCCAAATTAATGGACCTAGAACCAATTACATATTTTTCTATAATTCAATAAAAAAAACTAACTGGACCTACAGCCTAACGAATCAAATGTATTGAACTTACCCGTTAATCCGGGGAGAAATATTAAGTATATAATGCACTGACTACCACTGTTAGTCTTAATGCTATTTTCTAAGTATGGTCTTCAAGGTTCTATCAGCCAAAAGAGAGCGAATCTGTTTGTGCACTGCTATTTATAGGCTACTACAACACGTGACAGCGTCATTGCAAATTTCTCTCATATTACCATATTTGGTATGAGGAAGCACACGGACCGGTTTTGCTGACTCCGCCTTTCAATGTTTCCAGAACATTAATGTGACGTCACATCCATTTCCGCATCTCATTCAAAAGAAATTGCACACTAGCTCCCTCTAACTTACATTCCAAATGCAACTACTAGGTTCACACATATATTGTACTTGTCCATTGCTTTTCAAAGTGGATTTCGATATTGAATAATTTATATGCATGATGATAGATGGCGCTGAATAAATAATAATATTTCTACGACTTAATATTTAAGAATTATATTGCTAAGTTTTTAACGTTATTAAATTTAATTGCTACAAGTTCCAGTTAAAAAAAAAATTTCTCAATTACAGAAACAATGGATACGTCAGGGAAAAATTCTATCCCACTCCTCGAATGCCTACTTACTTGGTTGCATTCCTAGTTTCTGAATTTGAAGCGGCCAGATACAATATCAGCCAATCGAACGAGTTCGGTGTCTTCACAAGGCCGGAAGCCGTGAACCAGAGCGAATACACTTTCGATTTCGGCCTGAGAGTGGTCGAAGCCCTGGGGCAGTATTTTGGTGTAGATTATTATTCTACCAATTCAAATTTAAAGTTGGATCACGTAGCCCTAATAAACTTCAGAGCTGGTGCTATGGAAAACTGGGGATTAGTCACTTACAGGTAAACAAAATTGCAGTTAATGAATGTAGTTATCTCATTTATTTTATCGCGATAGAACGATTAATAATAATTTTAGATTCACTGCATCAGTCTTTTGCTGAAAACTCATTATATTTGTTATGTCTAGATTAACCTTCAAATTGTTGGCAGTTAGCCATTTAATTATTGATGATAAAGTCCTATTTATGTTATTTTCTAGCATTGTCAAATCTTTTCCGCTAAATAAAATAGTACTGTCATCAGCATACAGTGTCTATGTTTGATAGTATAAACTAAAATACGGGAGAACCAAGCACACTACCTTGTAGCACTCCATATATCACAAGCTTTGGTTTTGACAAAAAAGCCAATTCCGTTTTGGTAATTTTGTCAATTTAGTCTATTTTTGTCATTTGGATTCTGTTTGTCAAATATGATTTTATAAAGTTATAAATGTTAACTCTATTGAATAATATAATATTTAATATATTTTGATTTGGCACACGCAAAATAGAAATCAACAACTTTCGCCCAAAGACCAGAAAAAAAAATTTGTTATCCGTGCAAGTACTGATATTAATAAAACTCAACAGGGAATCGCTACTTTTGTACGTCCCCGGGGAGTCAACACCATACTATAAGTACAGAGTTGCACAGATCGTAGCTCACGAGACGACGCACATGTGGTTCGGCAATCTAGTTACATGCCATTGGTGGAGTAACACTTGGCTAAATGAAGGCTTCGCAAATTACTTCCAAGATTACATTACCCACTTGGTAAGTAGATCAAGTAAAAAACTTAATTGATAGTATACCACAATATTTTTAAGCATTTATCTGCTAGATAGTTAAATCAAAAGAAAATTGTTTCTGCATATCTCTGAGATACATGAACAATTTTGATGATTCTGTTTTGTTCTGTTTGTTTGAATAAATTTTTGTCAAGATGGACCATCTATCTATGGATGGATCTATCAACATGCATGGCATGCAATATGCATGTCATTTAAATATGAGTAAAGAATATGCATTATTTCTTCCTTTTTTAAGAGGTTTTGTAATATTAAAATCGGTTTTTATTTTTGTTGAAAAAGTTTTTTTATCTTTTAATATAGATTGAACCAGAAGTAGGTTCTGGGAACATACTAGTGACAGGGTCAGTTTACGCCGCTTACGATGCAGATGATTCTCCAACATCACCGCCAATCACAAACAATGACGTGAACTCTCCAGCTGAAATCAGTGGCCACTTCGGTACAATTACTTATCAGAAAGCTGGGTCCGTTATAAGAATGATGCATCATCTTTTAGGGGATGACGCTTTCAAAATTGGTCTTAACACTTACCTGACATCCAAGTAAGTAGATCGCATAAAAATTCTTTCCATCGATCGATTTGAAATTCGTAAAACGAAGTAGGTCGATTTATCAAATTTTGAAATACCAGACTTTTCCAAATACTGTAATTTGCAAATTATCTTTGTTGAATTAAATATTGTGATTGATTATACTTATATAAATCTCAGGATGCAGATTCCTTTTAATCTTTCTAAACCGTTGATTTGCCATAGCTATTATGCCTATTCAAATATGGGATATCAAATTTGGATTGGCTTATTTCAGCCAGTTTCAATCAGGATATCCAGATTTACTATACGCGGGATTACAATCAGGTGTTGCTAGCACTAGTGCGTTAGCATCGTACCCAGGGGCCACTGTGGCCAGTGTTATGGAGTCTTGGATAACTCAGGCTGGCCATCCTGTCTTGGAAGTTACAGTCGATTATGAGAAAGAAGTCGTCACACTTAATCAGGTATATATCTTTGTATTGTTTTAAACTTTCATAGTCCCTAACATTATAGTAAAAACCTTATGTTAAACCGGAATATTCAAAAAAGTTTCCGATTCTGTGAGTGCTGTGTGTCGAGAACAGTTTTGAGTGAATAGTGAAAATGTGATGAGTGATACGGGTATAATAAAAAAGACTTCGTCGGAGGGTAAACCGATATGACTACCAATAACAACCTACCCGCAATTACTTCAGTTACTCCATGATCATGGCACTTGCCGAATATCGGACACTCGCTAAAAACAAGGTAAATGGTAGGAATCCCATAAATAACATAAATTACTGTAATTTTAGTGACAACGAAACTTTAAAATTAGACTTAGGCTTTAAGATATTTAGTTTTTTTCTCACACAAGTGAAACATTTATCTATGAATGATACTTAAAAATAAAGACCACCTGTATATGTCACAACTATTAGGTAACTAATACAGAAGTCAAATATAATCATAGTCTATCCCAATACCGTAGTAGTTTGTTCTAGTTTTATAATAAATGCTGAAAACGTAATAAAAGGTAAAGTTATGTACTAGTAAGAGCTAGGACCAACTGAGTTGCGAAAATCCCAACTATCCCTTTCTTTATTCACAATGAACTTAATTGATGGAATTTAAATCTCTTCATCGATTCATTCTTAATGAAGATATTTATCGTATTGTTCGCAGAGACGTTTCTACGTGAATGGATCGCATTCGTCAAATGAGATTTATAAAATACCTATAACATACACCACAGCTGTGTCACCAGATTTCACTAATACCAAACCTTTATTAATTATGGAGGCGAGATCAGTTTCTATGAACGTTTCTAATATAGGCTTAAATCACAGTTGGATAATTTTCAACGTACAGGAAACAGGTAAATTAAGATCTTTAGAATTCCAAATTGTAGTCATAGAGCAGCACAGACAAGAAAATTTGTTTCCTTACGGTTACTATTACATACACAATCTGAAGCCTAAGAACTCACAGCATGATTTTCTCTCACTCGCCGCGGCTGTGCGACTGCAACTCGCGTAGAAATTTTAAATTGTATGTAGCAAATGTAGCGCAAAAGCAAATTTTATGGCGCGATTTACTGTGAAAGCCGGTCTCGTGAGTTTTTAAATAAAACAGCTCTGCGGCCGCCCGTGGTGGGAGCGAAAACCACCTCTTCGTGAGTTCTTAGCCGAAAAGTCATTAAGATCAGGAAAACGGGCAAAATGGTCGGGAGTTAATATGACTGCGGATACGGATGACTACAATTCCATAAATGGAAGGAAAGAATCCAACTCTTGGGTGTTACTGGTACATCGAGTGGTTATGGTTCTGTAGCACTAACCATCTGCCTCTATGAGCTAATTCTTTTTAACCGACTTCAAATGAAGAGGTATATGCTGATTGAACTATTTACTGCTTGGGTTATCGAGGCCCGAAATCAAATGTTAATTTGACTTTAAATGTACATTAGACATATTTAAAAAAAATGTATATCTTACTTTTTAGGAAGGTGGTTTTGTTTTTGTTAATTCATTTTAATGTCTAGTCTCTGTTATTTGGATTGGCCACAATACTTCAAAATATTGACAGCTTTGCGTATTTTTGATATCGTGTATATATATCGCTTTTTCAGGTTTTTACAGAGTAAAATACGATGATCATGCATATCAAATTATCGCAAACGCATTGAAAGGAAGTCAACGTACAGATATCCATCACTTAAACAGAGCAAAGGTAAAGAAATATCCGATTCGGTAAACAGTTATCATTATATAAAACTTCAAAGGATAGGATATATCATCATCAGCCTACTAATGCCCCCACTGTTAGGACACAAGTCTTCCCTATGGATGCAATTGGGAGAATGTGCCATGATCCACCACGTGGACCTGGTACGGATGCTAACGACTGCATATGCAGCCGACCGGGACCAACGGCTTAACGGTTTTTTCCGAAGCACGGAGGATCGGAGATGGTAGTTAAACAACTTTCCCAATGGTAGGTCACTGGATCTTCTCTGTGGCGCTACACTCTTGACGGAGTGGTTGTGGTCGTCACAATAGGATTGGTGGCGCGCTTCACAATACGCCGTCATTCCTCCCGCACTGCGGCACTCCTCGTGCACGCGTGGAGTGGACCGTTCAGGGCCGGTTTTATCTGATCATTCCAGCGCAATGGTGCTCTGCCGCGCGCCCTTACGCCCTCGACTTTGCCCTGCACTAGCAGCCGTTCCACTGACGCATCTTCTCGGCATGAGATGTGACCGAAGAACGTGAGAATACGACCTTGTACGGTGGAATAAAGACATTGTTTGATAGACCGTTCCTGGAGGATGGATTCATTGGTTCGGAATTTGCATTTTGGTTACTGGATGGATGACCGAAAACCGAATATCTTAAGCTAATCCGTGCTTCGGAAGGCACGTTAAGTGATTGAATCCGGCTACATCTGCAGTCGTTAGCACCCACCAGTCTGCACCAGTAATGGTCTGCTCAATCACCCTGTTCCATTCATAGGGAACGCCTGTGCCCCAGCATTGGGGATAACATTTGGCTGTCGTGATAAATTTTAAACTGTACTGTTACTTGCAGATTGTGAACGACTTGTTCGCATTCTTCTATGCTGACGAAGTAAAATTTAGCTCCATATATTCGGTCTTGGACTTTATGAAAGAAGAAACTGATTTCTCTGTATGGTACGCTGCTATCAGAGGCTTGAGCAAGCTGAGGAATATGTACCAAGGAACAGACGCTTTGCCTGAAATTGAGGTAAATTAGATTGTTTTACTTTTACAAACTTAATAGGAATAAATCGAGCCCTCTATTCTTCCCTCTATTATATTATAACGGTGTTCTTTTGGAGGGAAATATCAACAGAGATGGGTCCGTTACGGTTTAAAATATTAGTTTCCACAAAAAACGCATTTCGACAAAAGTGTCGCTTACGATAATTTGGCGGTAAGGGCTCGAAATGTTCTGAAGCGATTATGTGACCTGCTGAGGCGCTAACATAAGGTAAAAGAAAACTGAAACAAAAACATTTAAAATAAATAATATCTAAGTAGTAAAGAAGATAAAAAATACATTTAAATTATGTACTGATATAATTATTATGTTGTTAAAAAAACTCCAGTAAAACTGTATGGTTTTCCTTTAAGAAGGTCTTGTAAATAATATATTTTAATTCAATGATAAATAATAATTTTTAACTTCCGAAAAAACTGATCTGCACCAGGATTTCTGATGCACTGACAATAAAAATACTTTTGACAGACTTGACGAAATTTAAATATAAGTTTAAAATAATATATCTTTGAAATTAAATTAAATAAAACCCATAACAGAACATTTTAAAATAAGCGATGGCCGAAAAGGTTGGATATGAAGGAAGTAAATAATCCGATTTGCGGCTATTAAATAGCGTTATACTCATATGTATTATATGTGTATGTAGAATACGTGTTGTAAAATGGTCCAATGACGTGGTTTTTGTTACGTGTCTTCTTGTCTCCATTTTGTTATTTTATTTATGCCATAGATTATCCACATTTTGTTTTATTTTCTTCTTTTTGTGTATCCGAGTCTTCGTAGGCAAAGAGCTAAGCCCACACAGCCTCTTAAGTTAAGTTTCTTGTTTTTGTGACGGACTTCGCATCCTTGGGCATGGTTGGTATGCGGGGTCCAGATTGTTTTTGTTTTGTGTTAATATTATTATATAAATAACTTCCTTTATTTTGTTTATTAAGTGATTGTCTTATCGTATTCCATCCGTTGATGTCCAAATTAGGTCCCTCCAGACTACCAGAATTGCAGCGGCAATCCATTTTTACCGTTGCTATATTATGCTGAGGTGGGGCCTAGTTGACGATGTACCTTTTGTTTTATATTTGATGTGTATTTAATGTAATTGTTATTGTATATCGTCAATAAATGATTTTCTTTCTTTCTTTCTTTATACCGCCTTATTACAAAACGTAGACTAAAGTTAAACCTGGACTAAAACTAATTCTGTCATTTCTGTTTCCTAAAAACGAAGACAGAGATAACATAAGGTTTAAACCAAGACTAACTTTATTCCTCGTTTTGGAATAAGGGGAAATGTAGGTAACCCATAATGTTAAGGTAGGTAAAAAACTTGCAGCTTAAGGCTAGGAAAATTTCGACACGGCCAATAGAGCCGTGGTAGCATAATGGTCAGTTTCATTCGCCCGGATTGCGAAGGGTGCGGGTTCGAGTCCCGTCCGCTGTCTGGTACGCGTGGATTTTTTTGTAGTAAACTTTTCTTTAGATTTAAACATCTAGCAGTTAAATGGTTAAAAATAAATGAAAAGATAAGGGGAATAATGTTTTTTAGGCGTACGCATTGAGTTTGATGGATAAAATCATTGCTGATTTGGGTTACAAAGAGAAGGATGGCGACGACTTTGAAACGCTGCGCAATCGCATGCAAATCCTCGAGTTCGCTTGCAAACTTGGACACACTGGCTGCATCGAAGAAGAAAACAAATTGTTCAGAAGTTTCGTGGACAATGGTGTCGCGTAAGTTGACAGTTACATTGATTGGTTCATCATCATCATCATCATGTCAGCCGTCATAACGTCCACTGCTAAGTATAGGCCTCCTCCAAGGATCTCCACACCGATCGGTCCTGCGCAACTCGCATCCATCGGCTTCCCGCCCTTCACAAGATCGTCGGTCCACCTTGTAGGGGGCCTACCCACTGAGCGTCGTCCGGTGCGTGGTCGCCATTCCAGAACCTTACCGCCCCAACGGCCATCGGTTCTTCTTGCTACGAGTCCCGCCCACTGCCACTTCAGCAGAGCAATCGTTCGAGCGATATCGGTAACTTTGGTCTCCTACGGATTTCCTCATTTCTGATTCTATCGCGTAGGGAAACACCAAGCATCGCTCTTTCCATTGCTCGCTGTGTGACCTTGAGCCTTCTTATGAGACCCGCAGTAAAGGACCACGTCTCGCTTTTGACTTTTGTCTTGAGACACTGAGGTAATTTGGACGCGAATATTTTTCGTAGCTTCCCGAACGCTGCCCATCCGAGCTGGATACGACGAGAGATCTCTTTCTCAAAGTTGGACCTACCTAACTGGACTGTCTGTCCTAGGTAGACATTGATTGGTTATTCAGTACTTAATGCTCAGTTTGTTTTTAATACGAAGAGCAACAATTTACCCCGCTCCACCTGATGTTAAGTGTCCAGTCGTTAAGGTAGATGATTCAGCAGAGAGTTTGCCGCTCCAGGCATCTTCATCTTGCCGACCTGATAACAATCCCATTCCCCGTGAAGAACTCACCAGCTGAAACACAATAGCACCAAAACGTAGAGTCGTTTTACTGTGGTCTTATGTAAGATGAAGGTTGCTTCCCCATACGGGCCCTCCGATTTGTGCGGAAAATCCGCTGTGCCCTATCTGTCGTAAGATGCTTAGTTTCGTACCCAAAAGGTAAAAAAACGGGCGAGCCTTACAGTAGTCGAGTATGATGTGTAACATTTGAAACCTCACCTTATATTAGTAAAAAAAGAAATAAATTTTACTACAAAAGGCATAATCCATTTGAACATTATGTTCTAAAATCAAATCAAATAGCGCGCGCTTCTGAGACTTCCTGTTACACACTTCCGTCCCACTTCACGTAATCAATCCCACAAATTGCACGAAAGAGAGAGGAAAGACGTTACACATCAAAAAGAGAGGGTTAGTTAGTTTTTCAGGGCGGTTTCCGCACTTAGTCCTAATCATTGGACCATTGTGCGTTATAGAGGGTTATAGAGGGTTATTTAACACTAATATTTTATTTGAGTAATTTCATATTTCGTTTTATCATCATCATCATCAGCCTATTAATGTCCCCACTGTTGAGGCACAGATCTTCCCTATGGATGGAATAGGGAGATTGGGCCATGACCCACCACGCAGGCCTAGTGCGGATTGGTGGATGCTAACGACTGCAGATACAGCCGGGACCAACGGCTTAGCGTGCCTTCCGAAGCACGCAGGAGTTCGAGATAGTAAATTTTTTGTCACACATCCAATAACCAACCAAAGCGAAAGTTGCTTAACTTCAACGATCGCAGCTGAACGCGCTAGCCACTTGCGCCATCGAACTCCTTATATTTCGTTTAGTGCCATAAATAATTGAATATGTCAGATAAAGTAATAATTTGTGGTTGACACAAACAAAAGTATTTAAGAAATATTGTGAGCGCCACAGAAACACTGTTATAGGCACAGTATTAGGGCGTGTTCAAATGACACTGGTCGATCACGCACATTACGCACAGGACGACACACGTTGTACTCGCCTTACACCCACGCGCAAAATCGGCACGCGACTCGCGCCCACTTACTCTACTAGTAACTGCACTACTTCGTTCAATAAGCTAGTTGACTCATGTCGAATGGTATTAAATAAATGTTTATTTCTTAAAGTATTTTGTCTAAGAAACCTAAATATATCGATTTCACTTCATAAAAGCAGAAGATTACTGTAGAAATTTAATTTAAAAAAACAATTTTTAGTCTATACTTTTTAAACACTAAAAACGCTGTTCGCCACATCCGCCGTGATTGTGACGTCTGTTTTAGTAAACAACTAAATGTCATTCATACATAACTTTAAAACTTGTATTATTAAAACTGATAATAAATGAAGAGACTTAAAATATTATTCAATGAGTATTTACATCAAAGTGATCTTCGCAAAAATAAATTTTACTATGAGTCGTTAAAGTTGCAGGATCCCTTTTAGCAAGTTCTAACCAGATATTGCGTAGGTTAATTTCTTTCGGCACTTTAATCCACAACTTTCCTGGAGTCTTCAAAGATTTTTTTTTTACATTCTCGTACAATACAATAATAATAATTACTATATTTTTCGTGGTATCTATTAGAAATCATATTTTCTTTTTATTATAAACTCAGATGGGTTATTTTCTACGTGCTTACGAGTTTTTGTTTACTACTGTCAACGTCATAGCATAGATAATCTATAGACTAAAATGGCCGGCAGCGTTTTTGTATGTCCATGAAAAGTCTATTTTAAAATTAAAGATTTGTAGCTTTCTAGGTCTCAAAAAAATACAATACATTTTTTTCGGTCTAATAGAACATTTATTAACCATTTAAAACCTTTTTCCAAAAAGGGTCAACTAGCCTATTGATATAAAGTACACTATTCATAGCACGGGCGCAAAGCGAATGCGGGGTGGGTGCAGCGCGTGTGCATGGTGAGCGCGAGTCGACGCGAGGCGGGCGCATGAAGTGCGCGGCTTGACTTCGATAAATGGAATTTGAGATTTATTAATGTAGCATAAGGCTAATATTATATAAACAAATTTCAAAACGGGTTAGACGTGGGTGCTGACACACGTGGCGTACTCTTAGCGGGCGCGTGTCGTTTGAACGCGCTCTTAGGGTACTTAGTAACGAGATTATTTCAACCCCGGCCGGTGCCGGCTCAAGCACGGTTTATACGTTTGTCACGATCCTAAGCCGTGGCTAGCACCGGTAGCCTTCAACCTTCATAGTGTCCCATACCTAACTGGTGACCGGACGTATGTATACATGGTTCAGAAGGTATATTTTTTGAGAAATGACTTTCCTGTGTGCATAATATAATAATATTTGGGAAGGATATATACTGTCAACCATACCGATTATGATTGACAGATAATCGGTATTTTTAATTATGGATGATTTTATTGTGCCTGATATAATCATTTATTATCATTAAAAGCTTGAATGGATATACTTAAAATCCAATCATTAAAAAAGTAATGAAAACTAAGCTTCTATTTAATGAAATTTACTTTTAAGACTTGGTGATTTCATAAGAATATTCTTTAATTATTTTTTTAAGTATTTCTTCGAGAGCTTCTAAATATTATATGACTATTTTTGATTCCTCAATAAAATTTTTGTTTTTTTAGTATATCTCCGAGTCTACGACCTGTCGCTTACTGCACCGGTCTGCGTGTTGGCGACGAGGCTGACTACAACTTCCTGTGGAGAAGGATGTCCACAACCAACGTGGCCAACGAAGCCCGCCTCATCGGCGAAATACTTGGATGCGCCCAACACGAGAGCAGTTTGAAGAAGTAAGTACTGTAACGTCCGTGACGTTATAGCCTCCTTGTTTAGGTAAACTCTTTGCTTTTGCAATGCCTACGGTTGGCAGTTATATTAAAAAGTTAATGTCATGATTTTAACATTTGAAATAAGGAATCGTCTGTCTTTTGATAGAAGATTCCATTCAAGAGTAGATCTTCAGGCACCAAGAAAACCTCTCGTATTTAGATAAAATTCTTTATATTCGCCTGAATGATAATATAAAATAATAACCATCGTCTAGTTGTTTTACTGAAGAGTTACGTACCCACCAAAAACATATTCATTCAAAATGTTGTCAAGACGAGACCATATGAGATATTAGTCGCACTGTCAAAATGTTATCAGTTCTTGTGTCTCTTCTTCTTACTCCACATGACCTAATGGCTCAATTACATTTGGTCGCTAGCCCGTATTCACGAAAGATATAACTCGAATTCGGGCACCCGAATCAGTATTTATTTACACTGTGGAGTACTGGCAGGCATGGAAACTCTCTAAAAAGACACAAGATCTCAAACGCGAATCTTGCGAAATCGCGAACAAACACCGCCATTAAATACTAATTGCTCTGGCAGAGGGAAGCAGCCTGCCAGTATCTAGCAGGGCGAATCTCACGGTAATAAAAACGGCTACCTAGAGTTTCCTCTGCGGGTGATGTTGGCAATCTTCTCAGTCGGCTGCAGTATTGCGATCACCAACCCGTCGTGGCTGGCTTGGTGTTATGAGTTACCTTATATTGAAGTCATTTTTCAATTTGACGACACTGTATATAATACAGGGAGAAATAAACAGCCCTTGCTGAGTTTCTTGCCGGTTCTTCTCAGTACAAGGTCTCCCGCCGTAGATTTGCGAACCGATGGCGTAGCTTTTCGACATTACAAGTGCTTGTAACAGCCTAGACTGAATAAACGATATTGAATTGAATTGAATTGATAAAGACTTACGTAACCTCCCATAAAAATGAGAAACATAAAGAAAAATCGACCTCGAGTTCGCAGCGCTTCGCCACTCCCCGGTCCGGGCAGTGGCCGGGTGACATGGGTCAGGAGTGCGACAAGTAATCATTGGGAGTTGACACGCTGCCCAAAAAACTATACTTAGCGACTTACAATATCCAGCTGCTGTTGCAAAGGAGATCGGCTGTTTAAACTGAAATACGAACTAAGTAACATAAAATGGGATATCCTTGGTCTCTACGAGATTTTACGATCTAGCGAAGAACTCATCACCCTCCAGTTAAGTCATTTATCATACCATCGAGAAGAACCATCGTCGGGAGTCGGAGGTGTGGGATTTATTATAAATAAGAAACTTAAACACCAAATAGTAGAAATCAACAGTGTGTCGCAACAGTTTCCCTACCTGAGGCTAAAACTCCTATCTATGTTTGAACTGAAAGTGATTCAAGTATATGCACCGACCACTGATCCCCCAGCTAATGAAGTAGAACATTTCTACGATAAAACACAATAAAACAAGTCGTAACATCATATTAGTGGGAGATTTTGATGCAAGGTTTGGTATAAAGAAAACGACATAGCAACCAATTTAGAGAAATGTGGTGATAACAAACCAGTAATTTTAAATATGGTGTCGGAAAAAGGAACCACACAAATTCTGTTAAACTTTTTGCAACACAGACTTTGTCTGTATGCTTCTAATACTTTCTTCGATAAGAACTCTTGACAAAAATGGACATAGAGGCACCCTAACAGCTGTCCTTAGAACGAATATGAATACATTACATCGAACAATTAAGGAATTATCAACGTCATCTATATTCTTAACCAACTTTCTACTGGCAGCGACCGCAGACTTGTCAGAACTGAGTGCGTGAAAAAACCTGATCACCAAAAGACCAATGCTGAACTACATTAAAGCCAAAATTGTAAGACACAACAAAAACGGCATCAAAAATTATATCAGCAGAAATCTGTCTTTTTTCTGTCTGTCTCCTTATTGCGATCACCAAAAGACCAATGCTGAAACTACATTAAAGCCAAAATTGTAAGACAACAAAAACGGCATCAAAGATTATATTAGCAGAAATCTATCTGTCTTTTTTCTCCTAATTGCGAATGCAAGACGTTCATCATTATAGGCTTGAATATATCATCGTCGGGTTGCTTCTGCTGGCGGCGGGCATCTTCGTGTTCCGACGGCTACGTCAGCGGCGTCGGTCGGCGGGCGCGAAGGCATGTCGAGAGACGCGGGAGACTGGCACTGCCGACACCGCTATCGATACATTGCAAGATGATAGTGTTAGTGATCATGTGAATGTGCCGGGCAAATGTGAAATTAGTGAAGTGTTACTGAATATGCCGGGTATTAAAAATATGCCAAGTGAAATCAGACAAACAGTATCGAGTGATGATAAAGCCACATCTATCTCTCCGATAATTTACAAGTTTGATATTTTAGAAGATTAGGCACTTTTACATAATCTTAACTTTTTTATATGCTTTGTTTTTACAAACACTATATTTCCACTAGGTTTTATTTTAAAAAAAAAATGTATTATATGTTTTGTTTTCCTAATCATAATTATCTATCTGTATTTGATTTTTTTACATACTTTTTAAACTTTGTTATGTCGATATCATATTAAAGGTAACTCAGCTGACTTCAGCTACTTATCACATCTTGTGATGTCCTTTTTGTTTATGTGTACATAATTTTAAGGTCGTCCGTCCGCGTTTCGTAAGCGCGTGTAATATGTATAATAATCATGTTTTAATTACCTATACGAAATAAATCAGTGACAATTTAGCACTCTAACGGGATGCTTTTTGATTTATCACCACCCAACCGTTCGAACGTAGTAGTATTAATAATCATTTTCAATTAAATGTAAGAAGGCTTACGCATTAGCCCTTACAAGTATGCTTACTGTATATAACTTTTCTCACTATTTTAGCTATTAACGGGATTATTACCATGTACCTTGTTTTTTATGAGTCTCCGATATTTCGGCACTGTTGCAAGCACCATGATCGCGGAGTAACGGAGTTACTCAAGCGCCATGATCACGGAGTAACGGAGTTACTCAAGCGCCATGATCACGGAGTAATGAAGTTACTCAAGCGCCATGATCACGGAGTAATGGAGTTACTAAAGCGCCATGATCACGGAGTAACAGAGTTACTCAAGCACCATGATCACGGAGTAACGGAGTTCCTCAAGCGCTATGATCACTGAGTAACTGAGTAACGGAGTATAGCTATATACTCCGTTATAGGTTATAGCTAACCTTTTTTATAAAACATAAGTGTTTCAAGCTGTTAGAATCATTTTTGCATTTTCTTGGTTGCCCTTGGTATGTTTTTTTTTTGCTATAATGGTTCAAACTACTTGGGACGATTATGCTTTTTATACAACATGGAAAATATTACAAAGATCATTCTGCTTTAATATTCCAATAACCTAGAATCATTTTAACTCATTTCTAAATAACACATTCGGACTATATGATTCAGACCACATGAATATCTATTTGAATATAGGAAAACGAAAATTTTAATTCTTAAAAACGATTCACGTTTAAATATAAAATTATCATTAATATTTCAGCTATTTAAAAAAAGGGAATATTATTTTTATACCGAAAACTTGAATAAGGTATGCATTTCTTTAATTTTAAACCATCTATTATGCGTACGCTAAGGCATTGTTTTGTGGGGAAATAGCGTTGGCATTTTAAAACTATTTAAACTCCAAAAGCGCTGCCTTAGGATTATAGCAAATATTGATCTAAGGACAAGTTGCCGACCACATTTTACAGGTGAAGGTATTCTAACCCTTACAAGTATATACATTTTGGAAATATATTGTATGTTTGTTAGAAAACACACTCATCTTTTTCCCCAACAAGAACGACCAAGTAGATTAAGACCGCATCGAAGATTATCATCATCATCATCATCATCAGCCTATTAATGTCCCCACTGCTGGGGCACAGGCCTTCCCTATGGATGGAATAGGGAGATTGGGCCATGACCCACCACGCGGGTCCATTGCGGATTGGTGGCTGCTAACGACTGCAGATGCAGCCGGGACCAACGGCTTAACGTGCCTTCGAAGATTAGCCCCTCCAAATTCCAAATTGCATTTAGTACACACAGGACCTTTTGCTATGGCCGTAAAAGTCTACGATAAAATTCCCGAACATATAAAAATTGGAAAAAACACGGTCAAATTTACAAAACTAATTTCATTTCACACAGTAATTTTTATGAAAGAACAGTTTCTATTCGATGCAAGAGTTCTTCAATTTTTAGTAGTACCTAGTTAATTTAAGCAAGACCTTATTTTTTGGTTATGTTCCTACGTAATGTTATTGAAATTAGTATTGTGGGTTTACCTATAATGCGAAGAGATGGCGCTGCCTTGCAGCTTAAGAATAGCTAGAAAGAATTTCGACGCGGTCCGTGAGGGCCGCGGTAGCATAATTGGTCAGTGCATTCGCCCGGATTGCGAAGGGTGCGGGTTCGAGTCCCGTCTGCTGCCTGGTCCGCGTGGAATTTTTTCTAGTTATATTTTCTTTAGATTTAAACATCAAGCAGTTACATGCTTTAAAAATAATAAAAATTATAACTGAAATTAGTATTATTATTTTTACTGAATGCTATTTGTGATTGTATTAGTTACTGATATTTTCAAGTTAATTTTAATTAAATTAAGTATTTTTTTTTAATATAGGGCATTTTACTATAAATTGCGATACCCTATCAGGGTTCATGTGTCTGTATCTATATTTTTTAAGTAACATCTGTGATAACCACATGAGTGCAATAAATAAATTTGAAATTTGAAATTCTGTTTTTTATTGCAATTTTATGTACCTTTTTTTATAGCTAGGTAGGCAAATAACATTACCCCACCTGATGTTAAGTGGTCATAAAGTCCAAATGCGAAGATACTTCTTCACGCCTCTCTTAAAGGACCCCAGATTATAGGAAGGAACACGTGCGCGTTTTAAATAAACAATAAACGTGTAATTTTTTGCTTTGTTGAAATTTATTGTATTTTTTTAGGATAATGTGGTCATGTAGACAAACTTATTGAATATCATTTATGCCACCATCATTTTGAATACGCTAAACTTTTGCAAAAAAGATTCAAGTGAGGTAGATATTTATTGTAAAACTTTAAGCGCAGTGAAAAAATACTGTTAAAGTTTTACAAAAACGATGCACGTCACATGAATCTTTTTTGCAATAACGTTTTGCTCAGTGTTTTTTCTTCATTTAAATAGAAACACAAAATGAACTGAAGAGCTTGAAACGTGAAATATGTACAGTTAAAAAGAGACAATGATTTATTCATTTTTTCCAGGTACTTAGTTTCCATGCTTGAGGTGGACAGTCCCATAATGACACAAGACCTCACGATGCCACTGAGCGCTGTCCTCGGGAATCGTAGCCACGTGCCAATAGTTATTGAAGAACTGAAGAACAACTTGTCTACGTGGAAAACTATGTAATAAATATTCTTTCTTCACTAGCTTTGCCCCGCGGTGTTACCCGCGGTTTATAAGGGATATTTTCCCGTAGTAAAACGTAGCCTATGTGTTAATCCACGGTGTCAGCTAACTGCATACCAAATTTTATTAAAATCGCTCCAGTCTACAGAAAAGATAACTAGAAAAAAATCCACACGGACCAGGCAGCAGACGGGACTCGAAACCGCACCCTTCGCAGCGAAGAGATGACGCTGCCTTGCAGCTTAAGAATGGCTAGAAGAATTTCGACGCGGTCAGTGAGGCCCGCGGTAGCAAGATTGGTCAGTGCATTCGCCCGGATTGCGAAGGGTGCGGGTTCGAGTCCCGTCTGCTGCCTGGTCCGCGTGGATTTTTTTCTAGTTATTTTTTCTTTAGATTTAAACATCAAGCAGTCACATGCTTTAAAAATAATAAAAATTATAATCGCTCCAGTCGTTTAGATTTGAAGAAATAACAAACATACACACTCACAAACTATCGCCTTTATAATATTAGTGTGATATACTTCAATAAATTTATCGTCTTGTTTCGAATTCTGCCCCCGTAACATGAGCACTATATTTTACATTATATCACGTTTTATATCGAGTCTAACTGTCAAACTCCATACTAATTTGACACATGAACGTGATAAAAACGCTTTACAAATCATATCACGGTGCTCATGCTAGGGGGCCTGGGCTACTAATAATGGATAACACTTTTTTTAAATTAAGGTTTTTTTACAATTATATATCTGAAGAAAATACTACCAAACATCCCAAAAAGATAGATCTAGGAAAATCTCCTTTACATCTTTTTATCTCTCTTATAAATCTTTTATCTTTCAGATATTCAAGCATGGACACTGTTTACACGTCTATAGCATCTGTGCTGCGCACTGAACAAGAAATAAATGAAGTAAGTATTGTGTTTTCTTTGACGTCTATTGCTTTTTACAAGCTTTTATTTAACTTGCTATGTATGTTTGTTACGGTCAAATCTTACAACTCAATTTTAAAGCACTTGCCCTCAACCGATTAAGCTGAAATTTGGTATGCTCGTTCAGTTCGGATGACAATGCATGCTTAACAGTGTGACGTCATTCTAAATCCAATATGGCGGCATACCCAAAATGGCGGACCAATCATTTTTAATGCATTCCTACAATATGGGTATCAAATTAAAGGGCTTGCTGAGAGTAACTCGAAAAAATGTGACGTCACTCTCAATCCAATATGGCGGACTTCTAAAATTTGAAAATCTATTTAGAAACAAACTTTAACTAAATTTTCTTTTTTTCTTTTTAACGCATTTGAATAAAAGCTTGTTTTAAAAAAGGTTTTTGTACCTTAATTTTATTCAATATCATTCTTTGTAAAACTGACATAATATAATAAATGAGCAGACTGCATTCACTCCTATAAAAAAATTGAAGGCAGAGATCCTTCGATAATATTTTTTTCTGGAAACAAGAATAAACATAAATGTTTGGAGTATTCAGAAGGTACAGACAGGCTCATTATGTAGAGAGGAGCTCGATGGCGCAGGTAGTTGGCGCGTTCGGCTGCGATCGTTGAAGTTAAGCAACTTTCGCAGTGGTCGGTCATTAGATGGGTGACCAAAAATCTTCTTTCTCAAGTTCCTCTGCGCTTCGGAAGGCACGTTAAGCCGTTGATCCCGGCTGCATCTGCAGTCGTTAGCACCCGCTAATCCGCACTAGGCCCGCGTGGTGGGTCATGGCCCAATCTCCCTATTCCATTCACAGAAGGCACTGTGTGGGACATTAACAAACGATGTAGTGAAAGCAATCGGATGCTAAGTGAATACTGTATTTTTCTATGTCAAATAAACGAAACATTGATTCATCAAATCATCCAAAAGTTGTTTACCAAAAGTTCTGAAATGTCAAACTTAATGGGAACTCATTAGCAAAATATCCCTGTTACCAGCCAAACAAAGGGCTCTGTCATGAATGCAGGGTTGCCAATCATACATTTTCATCGTACATCATATGCAGCTAAAAATCTAGTTATCTAGTTTTCGAATCCCGTACACTATTTGCAAGCCCTTGTAATACTTGTAATAGCAATAACTTGTAAACAAATGTTTTTTTCTCTCTTTAGATTAAAGACAAAATTATAAAAATCACAGACTGGTTTGGATACTTACGGTTTATGCTCCAACATGTTGCCTGCAATGAAAATCTTATATGTAAAATTCTCGTATCACAATGTTAGTTACCATACTCTTCCGAAACGGCCTGACCGATTTTTATGAAATTTTATATGCATATTCCGTGGGTCTGAGAATCGGCTACTATCTATTTTTCATATCCTTAAGTGATAATGGTTGTCCACCTGTAACGTAGTGTTCTGAAACCTTACAATGCGCCTTCGCGCCAAAATTCAAACTTTTGGGTATTGTAACGTAGTGTTCTCATATGGGTTAGGAGGAATGTTATCCCAGGAAATTGATAGAACACTACGTTACACATCCCTAAAAATTTTTATGGATTTTTTTTAATGTTGTATTAAAAATACGTACAACCCTTCTACAACCTGCCCCTATTTTTATGGCGGTACGAAGTTCGCTGGGTCAGCTAGTCATGTTATATATTTATCTGTCTAAATCTCGTACATATGAGTAAAGTTCTCGTACCCCGTACGGAAGACCATAAATCTTGTATTTATACGAGAATTCTTTGTTGGCAACCCTGAATGAATGTATACACATTGTCTAATATTTGTCGGGTCATTGAGGGCGCTGCAATTAGTTGGGACTTTTTCGTTTGTTGATCGTCAAGTGTTTGCAAAGTTTCGGTCGGGCTCGGGGACTCGTGTACAATCTAAAATAAACCGGTCAAGTGAGTCGGACCACCTAGAGTACAAATTTGTAGGTAGTGTGGTACTCCATCCTGAAGGGAGCGCAGCTATAATCTCTTATCTATTAGATTATTAGTATATATAAATATGTAAACATGTATTTATCGTATTATAAATATATAAATATGTTATATATATGTAGTTATTTAGGTATATTTATAGATGTTAATTATTATATTAAGTAACATGTAGTTTTATGAATTCAATTTTGTTTTTATTTCTCTTTAACTATATATAATGCTTTAATTTACTTGACCGCATAATGTCTCTGCTTAGCCCGATGGTTGACTGGTAGAGAATGCCATGTGGCATTAAGTCCGCCATTTGTAACAAAACAATAAAGAGTAAATAAATAAATTAGACGAGTCCGTCTGTCCGTGGTGCTGTTTCAGCGGCCAAACCGTAAGAGATAGATAAAGAGAATATTTAAGTTATAAGTTAAGAATAGTCTGATAAGACTACAAACCGGATTTGAGTAACGTAGCACTTCCGGTTTTCGAGAAATCAGGTTTTGGTGAACATTTGGTTCACTGGTTTGCTAGTTACTAAATAATAACGATTAGGGCTTTTTACTTGATTTGTTCGACTCAGAACATACATATTATCTTTTATTAATAGTCTGCCGAACGTTTTTGTGCCTGAATTCTATCTGCTGGAATCTTCAATAAGAGACAAAAGAATACCATATTCAAATCTTTCAAATAGTGACATTAACTTTTTTAATATAACTGCCAGCCGTAGGCATTAAATGAGCAAAGAGTTTACACAACCAAGGAGGCCGTAACACAACGAGCGTTACGGACTCAATCTCTAAAAAAAAAAGCAAAAAACGTTTTAAAACCAAGCTTTTATATATTTATTTAAATGCGCTAAAAAGAATAAAATATTTGTTCTTTTAAAACTTTTACTATCAACTTCTCGTAGAACGTCGTTAAACAATTCATATAATACTAGCTGTGCCCCGCGGTGTAACTCACGCTTTATTAGGGATATTTTTACGCAGTAAAACGTAGCCTATGTGTTAATCCAGGGTGTCAGCTAACTCCACACCAAATTCTATTAAAATCACTTGGGCCGTTTAGACGTGAAGAATTAACAAACAAACACACTCACAAACTTTCGCCTTTATAATATTAGTGATAGTGTGATAAAAGCTTGTCTCCAGATTTAAGTAAGTATTTACTAAGTTTGTAATTTTTGAATTTCATATTTTGTGTATCTAACAGGTAAATCTCGCGACAAGCTTTTATATTCTGTAAATTGTGTAATATTACGTTATAATTTGATAGCAAAAATTTCAAAGGAAAATTAAAATATTAAAAAAAAATGTCTTTATTTTACTACTAATTTGTATTAAATTTCAACTCCATACCTCCATGTATTCCCGTGATAAAAGGTCTTGACAGACAGATAAACGGCAGTATCTTTGTTTCTCGTTACTTTAAGTTAACTTACAAGTTTGATTTTTGTACACCTTCAAGGGACTATATACCTGAGGTACCTCCAGGCTTTCCCTAGATAAAGCTTCTTAGTAGACAGACGGGCAGACTTTTTAGCCGAATAATGTACAGAATACTGTCAATAGAAATCTTTCGTGAAAACAAGGTTTTTAACCTCGGAAACAAAAACCAAGAAGAGAATTAATGCGAAGCATCGGAGATGGTATTTTATTATGTGAACTTTCATTCAAATGTTCTCAGTTTTGGACTTATTTTTAAAAATTATACCTACAACATTTTTTATATTCGTGGCAACGATAAAAAAGATTTCTGTACCCTTAGCACGAACCAATATCGAATCCCTAACGTTTGCGAGTCGGAAATGTCATTGTCCGGAGTATTTCGGGCTTTTTGGGGCTTTTTTCGGATGGGTTGAAGGACCGCCAATGGCTACCTACTGAAGTCAACGCAATTAGCGGTTATTATAATAATACACACAACAAAGGACACAAGACATAAACAAATAAAAACAGAAGAAAGAGTACAATAGGCGGCCTAATTGCTAAACAGCAATCTCTTCCAGGCAACCTATGGTGGAAGAGGAATAATAATATAGATAAATATAGAGGGATGCAAAAGTAAATACAGGAGATAATCTTTACATAAATATTCAAGAGAAGCAAAGAAATGGGATGCTAAATGAATTTTAAGAAACGGAAAGGAAATAGCTTTTAACTTGATCGCTAAAGGAATTAAGTGAACGAGCCTCTCTGATTCCTTCAGGGAGAGAATTCCACAGCCGAGCAGCGTGCACAGAAAAGGAATAAGAAAAGAAGTCAGAAGAGTGACAGGGAATCCTCTACTAAATATGAACTTTTTGTCGGAGTATTAAAATAAAAAACTTTTGAATGTCATTCCCAAACAACATCTTAATATATATAAATCTCGTGTCACAATGTTTGTCCTCAATGGACTCCTAAACCACTGAACCGATTATAATAAAATTCGCACACCATGTGCAGTTCGATCCAACTTGAGAGATAGGATAGTTTAAATCTCAAATTATAGTCGCAATTTTAATTTATTGCAAATTATTACTTTTGGGCGGTACGAAGTTCGCCGAGTCAGCTAGTCTTATATATAAAATTCTCGTGTCACAATGTTAGTTACCATACTCCTCAGAAACCACTTGACCGATTTTCGTGTAATTTAACATGCATATTCAGAAGGTCAAAAAATCGGCTACTATCTATTTTTCATACCCTCAAGTGATAAGGATTGTCCGCTCCTAACACATGTTTAACATTTTGTGTTTTTTTTTTATTTTTTTTATAATGTGGCGTTAAAAATACATAGAAACCTAAATTTTCACCCTTCTACCACCCATATTTTTATGGCGATACGAAGTTCGCTGGGTCAGCTAGTAAATATTATAAAATAATAACAGTGAGCAATCGTAGTGAAATCGCAGTGAACCGACAGAGCGCTAAACATTTCATAGTAATCTAATTGAAATCAAGGTGAATCATTCCTATTTACTCCAGCACTGTTGGCATTTTCACATTTCACGATAAATGTTTGTAAATTTTGCTATTTT